AACATGTACAGGAGCCAGGTTCAAAAAGTTTCCTTAATTTTGCTCTGCACCTCCCCCCCCCCCCCCCCCAACCCCCAAATAGATAATGAGCAGCCCTGTACAAAAATCTCTAGATTAAAATGTATGTCTTGTAAAGTAAAGCTTAAAAAAATTGATGGATTTTTATTGGCTGTATCCAAAACAAAAATCAATCTTTCCCCTTTCCCAGAGCTCCTAATAATATGTGTAAGACCCCCCCCCCCCCCCTCAGCATTCCAGGTATATATATTGCTCTCTTCTCACATGGTTTTATTTCTGCTGGTGTAACTTTTTTTCCCCTCGTAGATGCTCTGTATATATTCTTTTGCTACCTACCAAGCCAGTATATGGTCAAACTGGGAGAAATCCAGGTATTAAGGTATATTAGCCTGGTATTTACACAGATTAGAGGATAACTTTGGTATTGGCATTGGCCTTACAACTTCAGCTGATAGGCTGTGTAACGTTCCCCAATTATCTCCGATTGTACACAAAGTTTTATTGCCAGCAGTTTACTTTACTGTCAAGATACACATCGATTGCTTGTACAGAGTAAATACCTTGTTTAAATTGTGATACTGGTGGTACTTAAAGTAAATGATATGTTATTGGAGGAAGATAGTAGTGGTATGTACCAGTAGCTAATTGTTATTAAAGGTAAAGACCAGTTATGGTCATGCGATTGCATTGTGAAAGAAACGTTGTGGAATCGATCAGAAAAGGTTGATCATCTAGCATCTAGCATCTGCAAGGTTCTGGAATCATCAAAATGATAAGAAATTTGGCCCATTCTTCGTAAAGTTACAAGCACTATACACAGAAAGATGTATATGGGACTACCCTATATCTCTCACAGACCATGAGAGAAACAAATTTACCAAATATATGAATTAGTAGACGGTTTTCCGGCAAATTTTTTATCATCATGTATTAGTCAAAACATATTCTTTCACATGATTGGTAATGAGAGCTTCCATTTCAATTTTTTGAAATTGGGGTGTTTCCAATACTGGTTTTTACCTTTAAGCACTCCTATGTTGGTTTGTTAGGAGCAGAGCAACATATTTTAGAAACCTTGGCATGCATTCCCTAACTCTCCTTGTAAAGGAAAGATAACAAAAAAACTCAAACATATATATATATATATATATATATATATATATATATAGTCAGTTTTGGTGCCAGAAGGGCGTTAACTTATAGACATGTATTCTACTAAAATTTGAACCGATGCCGGGCCTTTTTGCTAAAAATTGGGTTCAACAAATGAAGTTTATAATATAGTCCAAGGTCTAAGCTTTCATGTTTAAACATGATCTCAACATGATCTGAACATGATCTGAACATGATCTGAACATGATCTGAGAGTTAAAATGCCTGATTGCCTGTTGGCTCCAAACATAAATGTTCTTTAAATGCATAATAAAACCTAATTTAAATGAGGAATTGAATAAATATAATCATATCCAATGTTCGTGTCAATACTGAGCCTTCGGTATGGAATAATTTATATTTAATTCTGTGACTCAGAAACATTGGGTGGTCCGAACGAGTAAGAACACCAAATAGAACAATAAAATCAAGCTGTCTGCGATTATGGTGTTACAATATCTATGACTGTGAGTTGATAATTGATTGGCATGCAGCTGTGATGTATTAATTAATTGAAACGGCACATCATTAGTCCGCCCAAACCCCGCGCCAATTGCGCTACATATGTACACTGTTCCTCGACATCTGCTGTACAATAGACATCTAATGGTAGTCATTAGTGCAGTGAGATAAGTATGGATATTAATAGACCAGAATTTTTATGCTCTTGCGATGGATGGTGATTTATTTTCATTATTTTTAATGCATACAATACACACCCATACATTTAATGGTAATTTAACAACTGGTATTTATTTTGATGGATGTATGAGAACTAGAGTGAAAAAGGTATTGGATGAGTTTGGGTAATTTCAGATGAAATATCATTTTTTAAAACTTTTTTACATTTGAGATTTAAATCAGCAGTTCATGTCTAAATGATCGATATTGTGGCATGAATTTTCTAATAGTTAATTTGTACCTTTAACTTTGAACGTTTAGAAATAATATTTTCCATCATCATACAGCTATTGTGGGCGCTGCCTCTACCACTACCAGTATACACGTACACGCGACCTTGGTATACATGCACTAGATAAGTGACTGTTAAGATCATTTTATGAACAGCTGGATATATTGGAAAGGGAGGAGAATCTAGCCCCCAGGAATAGCATGACATACTTGCAATAACTTCACCCTGAGTCTCATAATTCTGTCACCAGATATAGTTCTTCCAAACTGACTTGATTGATATCATAATTATTATTAGGGCGGCTTGACCAGCCAGCCCTCATACGCTATCCATATATTTTTTTTTACTTGCCTGCTATAATATTTAAACCTTTTTGTTTGCATCTTTGAGATTTTTTTCTACATTATGAGTCTTTTGTGGAGCCACAAGGATGTCAGCTCATATAGTATCACACAGAGAGATAACACCGGTACTGGTTTCATTACAGACAATATTACAAACAAGCATTCAATTCGATTCAATTTAATTAATTCAATTCAATTTTATTTCAGTATTACAATCAGATATATTACATAAAATTTTGGACAAGGACAAAAAAATGAACTGAATAGGCTGCAACCTGAAAGGAATTCAATGAAACAATCTGCTGTCATGTTAAAAATGCAAATAATCATGTAGGCTAAAAAGTATATTTTGTTTATTTTTCTTATGCCTTTTATATCCCCCTGCATGAAATCAATGTTAAGCTAGCAGCCTGAATATCATTTTGAATGATTATTTACGAGCCAAAATACCATGATAGTATAGTAATCCCCAACAATACCTGATGTAAACAGTAAAATCTAATCAAACTTCATCCACCTCTTTTTAAAACTGATCGTGTTGGAAAATATGTTGTTTTGCGATCTCAATACCTTTGTGGACAAGTGTTTACAACGATTGCAGGCCAGGAAATTACTGAATTTCATTAATACTTGCTGAAAATTTTTATTAATTTTTCCAGGGTCATTTGCAAATTTCTGCCTTTCTACCTTGCAGCAAGCTCCCCCACTACCTGTACATATAATATATTACACATGGTTCGGTTAATTAACTCTTGTATAATGAGCAGGTATTTCTTACATATGCACTGCATGCTCATAGCATAAATTGCATATGCCGGCTATGAGCTTCATGGTAATAATTAGTGCTAATCAAAACAGAGTGCACATCACATAATTTGTTTTCATATGGTGTCATCCGCATTCAAGCAGTGCATTCAGGAAATATGAGCATTGTTCAAACTCAAATTTAGACTCTTTCCAATTTTATGAGCGATATTTGTAAATTCTTGAGCTATCTCCTTGTTGCATAGCAGGGTAATTTTTTTTCTTCTGCAGATAGGATGAAGGGCAGAAGGACATTAGATGTACATGCTAAGTGCTATGTATTAATCCCCTTCTTGCTCTCAGTCTCTGCAGACGATATCCTCCGTTGAGAAGCAGAAGGGTGTTTAATTCTATGTCAAAGTGTACGAGTTGATCTCCTTCTTGCTGTAAGCATACCGTAATTAACGTTGTATAAACCGCCCTCGTGTATTAACCGCACCCCTCTTTTTCGCCCCCGACTTTGAATTTTTTTCGGCGGCAAAAAGGTGCGGTTAATACACCATTAATCAAAGTAGACTATTTACAGTTGAGAGCTAGAATATACACAGAAAAGGGGTCATCTTATAAAGCATAAGCTTGAAGTGAGGTCCTTTTGTGAATGAAAATAAGAATACATACAATATAATTATACAAAATATTATGTTATCTGTTTTTTGTATTCCTTCTATGGCCTATCATAATGATAATGAGGTTGTATACAGAGGTGTATATATATTAGTACTGCGAGTGGCACCCACTCAGAGTCCATTACATTGGTTATTCTCTCACGTATCCTGAATTATTGATCTCTGCTGCTCTTTTCAATTTGGACCCTTTCTGCATTAAAATTTAGACTTGCTTCCAGGCAAATTTGATTTTTTTTATGTGAAGCAAATCAAATAAGGTACATTTAAGTATCATTTGTTGATTAAGGATACTTTTTTGTTCATAAGAACCGAGTTATTGAACCAGCATTCTATATACATAAGTATAGTTTAAGTTTTCAGATATATTCTCTGATGTTGGAAAATGGAGAATTATATTTCTGTGCTGAATCAAGACTAGCTTTAACATTGCATTGCAATTACCCCATAGTGCTTTAAGATTATGATTGTGCTTTTCAGTATTTTTTCATGGGGTATGGTATGAATAATTGATGTACAAAGTGGCTTGATCAAAAAAATGACGTAATTGAAATAACAAAGAAAATACGTACTGATATAGGTTTTGATGAGGTTTAATGACATTATATTTATGGTGTTTTTTTATGTCTCTTGACAGCATCATCGAAAAACCTATTCAATGATCTTGTCTTGTAAAAACCAGGGATAGAAAATTACCAAATCTATCAGCTTTTTGCTCTGTGGATGTAGTTTCGAATAATTTTATATTATACATAAGTTTTTATAAACAATTATAGTGTTAGATGAAAACGTTTGTAATGTTTTTTTCTTTTCCAACTAAAAAGAACCTGGGAGCATACATGTATAGGGAGGGAGAGCGGGAGAAGATGGGGGGTGGGGGTAGGGGGCAACAGGCAACATGACATATAACAAATTTTTTTGATTGTACAATGTTTCTATACGTCCCTTTTGTATTAGCCTGCACAGATGACACATTCATGTTATAAGTGTTGAGACTACAGCTATATTTTTCTCTTGTACATGTATATTGGAAGATCACACACAATTACACATCCAATCCTCACAAGGCATCAATTTGATGCCATTCTGTATCGGTAGAAACTTCCTCTCTTGACACTTCCTTTGTCCCTCTTTTTTCACTTGAAGAACATACTAATGCTGGACGATATCAAGCAAGCTGGTCTCCACTTGGAGGTTAATTCACAAAGTAGCACCAGAAATGGTGACCCGACATTGGCTCTGGCGACATTTGACCTTACTTTATTCCCTCAAAAAATACAGGGTTAGGGTTCTGGTTAGGTTAAGTATTTGGTCAAGGGTTAAATTGAGAATTTGGTTAGTGTAGGAAGTTTAGTGAGCGAATTGTCGCCAGAGCTTGTGTTGTAGAACCCTAGAAACATCTTTATACTCGTCACTTGCATTCTATCTTGCATGTCATCTTATGGAAGACAAAAGGGCGTTAATTCTGTATAGCTGTACATGAGTTAATGTCCTTCTGGCTTTCAACATAGTATATCATCTGATGGGAGAGAGAAGGGTGTTAACTCAATGTAAGAGTTTGCTACTTTTTAACTCCCTTCTAGCTCTCATGCAGATGATATTTTATGACATAAATCAATATATTTGGATTTTGTCGATCAATTTTCCATTTCAATATGATCCTTTACATCTTCAACTGTATTCTAGCACTTTTCTTTTTATATTACTATAATATTTATTATAAATTTTAATATCATTAATGTTACCCGATCAACACAACATGATGATGATTGATAGTATTTATAATGTAGCATCTGTACATGGGAAGTCATTGGTGGTTATCAAGAATCAGAACATATCTCAAGTCAAAATATAAACCTATATACTCATCATATTCTACAGACATTATATGGATAATTACATATTCGTGTAACCATAATTTGATTTGTTCGTGTATTACAGTAGAGCAACATTTCATCTTCTTCAAAATGTTCTATTTTTTTTTTTTTTTTTAAATATTATCGTCCATTCTTTCTAGTCTTAGTGGTCACAGTTGAACAGCATTCTCATACCTCGAAGGAATTCCCACATCATCAAATTCTACAGAGGTTATATGTTAACTGTTAACAATTACATATTAGTGTAAAACATCATTGGATTTGTTCATGCATTACAGTAGAGTAACGTTTCATCTTCTTTATAATGTTGTCTTATTTGTGTGTGTTTCTTTAATAATCATTGTCCATTCTTTTATTATCTAGTCTTAGTAGTCCCAGTTGACCGGCATTCTCGTACCTCGATGGAATTCCCACGTAACCTACACCCCTTGAACTAATCCACTATCAATACGTTTGATTTGTTTATATATTACGTTATAAAGTAATGTTTTATCTTCTGAATACATTGTTGTTCTATTTGTGTGTGTTTCTTTAATCATTTTCCATTCTTTTATGATCTAGTCTTAGTAGTCACAGTTGACTGGCATTCTCGTACCTGGCTGGAATTCTCACATAACTTCCAGGTCCTCCACCCCTTGCACTAATCCACTATCAATACGTGATTATCTTTCACCCCTTCGCACCACTCCAATTAATCCTCATGCTTTTCCCCCATCTATAATTATGCAGATTGTAATCATCGCCAGTACTGGTTCATTTAGATTGATGCATCAGTTCTTCATCCTGATTCAGTCATTTTTTTCTCTCGATCCTCTTCATCATAACTGTGTTAAATGTGTTCCCATTGACAGAAATCATATAGGGTCCGTCCTCATAATGTGCTGTGTGCAGCGCGTTTTTTTTAGTTGCCATGCATGCTATTAAAGAGGGAGAGAGAGAGAGAGAGAGAGAGAGAGAGAGAATTGTTGGCTATACTATAAATGGCCAAGTACATTCTATTTTGGCCAACACGTTGCCAACCAACCGTGTCTAAACACTTAGTACATGCGATAACTGTATTACTTTGATAAGCTCAAATATAAACAAATATTGAGTAAAACAATACTTCTGGTGTCAATTTATATCATAATTCCATATTATATGGTAAGTATTAGGATACCAGATGATCATCATATACTGGACTTGCTCAAACGGTTCTCACAAAAGAGAAGAGACTCAATTTGACTATGTGATTTCTGTTAATGGGAATGCAAGTTGAAATAAGTTTATATGTTTCTTTTTCCTTTCTCCATGAACAGCATATATTGTATATTTATATGTTGTTTTTCTTCTTCTTCTCCAAATTAACAATCAGAATAACCCATTCATGTAATTCATTTTCCATCTACATTGAACTGGAATGTAATATATGCATTTTAGAGTAGAAATACATACAGGAATTAAAAAATACATTAGATAATAAAGAGCTACACTTGTACATATGCATAATGCCATGTTATGAAGCTACCAGTATTGTCAATTAACAATGTATATTATTGATTTTCGTTTATCTTGAAATCAACAACAAAAATGTAGATTTAGCTCATGCATAGCTAATTTCATGAATATAGCGTATGTTCTCTATCTCTGGAAGGAAATAAATTAACTTTATGGAATTAATAATAAGGCAAATGTGAGAGACACATGGTCTCATGCACTCATCATTATTAACAGGGATGGTTTCCTTTTGTTGTTTTTATTTCAACATTATCACATTATGTGCATGGATCTTCATATCTTTACCAATTACATCATCATCGACAGATAAAAATGGTAAATAATGTCATTTTTTATGCTTGGATCATTCTATTAACCCATTTGCAACCAAAAAAATATTAATGGCATTACCGATTTTGCTTTTGTTTTCTTTGATTTCGAAAACATTTGTTGCTTGCCCGCTTTAACCTGTTATCATCACCTAACTTGCATTTTGCCTGATTAATACAATTAAAGCAACACCCTGTATAGAAAGACCCCTATCCCTTTTCAAGCATTGCTTCCCATTGAAACCTGTATGAGCAAAACACCATTTCGGCACTGCCTATCAAGACCACCATTTTGTTTCCTTTGAGCAGTTTGTATATTTAATGTACTTCAAAATGTTGCAATTTTGGTGTCAATTTTATTTACAAATTGGTATAATGCAACATGTACCTGGTATTTACTACCTAGCTTTCCACTTTCTGCAAGTTTTTGGTCAGTGTGGTAGTAATGATTTGTGAAAGGTATGTCAGAGGCGCCTCATGTAAACTCGCAATAATGCAAATGTAGCGATTTTGTATCTTGTTTATGTTTCATTGTCAAGATGAGAATACATCACTTCACTTCCAAACAAGCTCCCAAATCAAAAATTCATGACTTTGAATAAAACTATTGTATGTCTTGGAAAAAAAAAATCTAAATGTAATTGATTATAACTTTGATCTTTAGTAGATGTGAATGTATCAATTAAATTTTTGTTGGCTGTAATTCAAGCTATTCTAGTAGCTGTTGATAACAATTATATTAAAGTAATTAAATTACGAACAGATGAATAAAAAGCAATCATGAGTTGCTTTGTGCACTACTCAGCAAGAACAATAGGTAGATGTAGATGACCACATTGAGATAATTGTATATTTCAAACTTTTGTACACTCTAGTCAATCTTTGCCATGGTAACAATAGAGTACACCTTCCTGCAATCTTTGGCATACCATTAATACTTCCCTTTTAGTTTAGAAGAAGGAGAATGATATTTATTTCTTTCACAAAATTAATAACTTACTACATGTCACCCAAGTATGTTGCACCATTACCAAAAAACTGTGTTTTCCCCCGTTTTTTCGATGCATCATGTTTGACAGCACGAAGACCATTATGACTAACCCCAAATTCCACCCTCATGCCTGTTTCCATTCCACCCATATTTTCAAAATAAAATATCCAACCTTCCTTCCTCTTTCCTAACCTATTTATTTTCAGTTCTTTTCATTTTCTAGCTGCAACCTTTCGTAGCAAAACCGTGATGCAAAGTGTCCTCATCCACCTGTTTTCTTCTTATCAAAACAGATTTCCCCCTTTTAGTGTGAATGTGAAATGTACAGTCAGTGTACATTACACGTAAAAGTGTGTTTTATTTGTAATCGTGATCATAACCTTGCAAGGTGAGGTGAAGAGGCGTCGTCGAAGGCGTCGCCTCTTGTCATTCTCTTTCAGCTCTGTGTCGCGATGGAAGAATCTTCCTCCCACGACACCCATTCTTGTGTCTCATCAAATTCCAATCATCCATTCCTCCTGTTTGTGCCCTCAATGTGTGAAGCAGCCACCATGTTTAATCACGGCTTGATCAATGTGAACATGTACCAGACTTTCCGTGTATATGAATCACTCTGTAAAAGATCATTTATTATCAGACTGACACGTATTCCCTTGTGGACCATTCATATCACTTTGACATTTAGCTCTCTTATTTGTTAATCCCTCCTGAATGTGAAGTTAAAATTTGTTACTCCTGACATTTTACTCTCACTAAAAATAATTTTCTCATTCATCAATCCACATGAATTCCATTAAAACACAAAGATGCTGAATTAGGTTTGTACTATAAACTACTCGTTATTCTAGTAGTAGTAGTAGTAGTAATAGTAATTGTAGTTTGTAATTTTAGAAGAAAGTGTCACTGGGAAGATATATTATATTTTGTTGTTAGTTACATTTCAGTTCCTCTATTTGTTCATTTTCTGTTTCCTCATTGATATTAGATTAAGTTAGGTTAGTTAAGTTAGATTTGTCTTTTTATTGATATATAATCTTTATTGAAGTAGATTTTCCAAGTTTTCCTGTGTAGTCCGGTAGAGTTCTATTTGAATGATCCCTTCTTCCTGCAAAGAAATGTTCTTGAAAATTACCCTAAAACTCCCCAAACTAACCCTATTTTACCTGCTTTCAATTCTTTTGGAGAAAAAAAAATCTTGTAAGTGGATTGAGATACCACGTTGCTAAATCAGCCTTTTTTTTCTTCTTCTTTTTTTTTTAATGCATGAAAATGTAGAGGGCCCCATCCTTTGGTTTGCCAAGAATGCAAAAAGAATGAAAAAAAGGAAGCTGTCTTCAGATTTGTTATTATGCCAATATGTTGTTTTCCTCATGATGCATGATTTTTAGTTTTTTTTAATGAGTCTGGAAATGGTAGACAGTAATTTTAGTTTATTTAAAGATTTTTTTTTTTTTTAATTGTTTCAATATTGTGTTCGGAGTCTTTGATGATCTTGTATAAGAAAAAAAGCTTATGCAAGATACCTCTGTATCATAGATTATACAAATCTTCTGTTGTTTTTTGTTTTTTATCTGTACATTTTGTTTAATGTATGAGTGTTCTGGTCAAGTCTACCTGTGCTCTGTGAAATTAGAGAATATATTTGTTATTTGTGTTGTTCAATATGTTATCAGGCAAATTCATTTTTGTTGGGGCATTGTGGTGCTACCAGTAAAATCATTGCTTTAAATTTGTGACGTGTTTGCTTTTGAAATTGTCTCCAAAAGTAATTTATCCATCAGTGTGACAACAGTGTTACCATTATTTCATTATCAAGTTCATGTTATGGTACATTATGTTGCTCATAGAAGTGCCTGCAGCTAGCATCAGTGTGAAAAAGTGTGATTCCTCAAATTACCAAAAATAATACATGTGTCCATGTTAAACTTGAATATATTGATATTTTTTTACTAAATGTGTTATGTCATAAATTTTGCAAAATCTTTGCAAAGCATTCCAAAATGCCTTTGAAATAGGGTCATTATTCCGTCAAATCAAACACATAAAATGTTGACACGTACAGTGGAGATGCATTATGAAACTGGCAATTGGTATTATGAGACTTTGCCAAGTTACCATAACCAACAAGCACCTGACAAAGACAAATCTCTAGATATGACACTTACAAGATCGCACAATTTAAGCGTTTTATGAGTACGAAATTTGGCTATTGGAACATACAGCCAGATAGATGTTTATTTGATAGGGTCCAATTAAAGTAGGATAATTTTATTCAGTTCTCTAATAATAATCTAATAATTCTCACATTCCTCAAATTTTCCGGTAAATCTTGTAGTACTCCTTTCAGTCCCTGAGACAAAATAGCAATGGGTACACGTATGGAGTCAGTCGTGCATGCTGGTTTAATGCTTGTCTGTACTAGTTTGGCCAGGGGAATTGGACCTCCCTGCAAGGTCACTGACAGGTGGTTATCTCAACAAATCAGCTCTCAATTAACATAAGGAAAAGGGGATCATGGGGCCCCAACAGGCACCAATTAGGCATTGTTTGCTTTATAGAGGGCACAAGTAGCTATAAGTAGTACAGTGGGGATTTAAGGCATATGGCATCAAGTGTCTTTAACCATCACCTCTGCCTCTCTCCCCCTCAGCTCCTGGAGCTTCGTACCTCACTGCCGGCCACATCGACAAGGAAGCCGTCGGCGAGTTCATGAAGGAGATCGGCAAGCACCCCGACCTGGACGAGACGACCATCGCCAAGCTCCTGGCCCTAGAGTCACAGCAGCATGAGCACCACTCCCGCGGTTGGTACCGTATCAACGCTTCCCGTTCCATGGCTGGTAGACAGAAGGTCTCCCCTTACGTAGACCCACACGTCATGGAGGTAAGTTAGAGCTTGTCCTGTTGGATTTCTTAATTTTGCATAAGGCATGACTGGGGTTTATTCATGTCTAATCGTACTATATTGTCCTCAAGGAGGCTTCTATGCCTTCAGGTAGCTAGTGCTCAATTGACATAAGAAAAAGGGTACCACTGGGGACCAAGGGGTACCGCTTAGACATTGTCTGCTATATAGATGGCGCAAGTAGATACAAGTAGTGCAGTCCCACTTTAAAGCTTGGTCCTCTGAACAGTTCATTTCCCCGGATGGTTTGGATCTCTTATTTAAAGAACATATAAAGTACATAGTAAAATACAATCAATATGAATATTGTAAAGGATAAAGATAGAAAACAAGTCATCCTAGTAAATAATCAAGGTACATACAGGAAGGCAATTAGCAGTTGAACAAACATGTTAGACAAGGACATATAAACATTGGAAGAAGAAAAAAAATCATAAATTATAAATCCAGGTTTTAAGAGCCTTGCACTTATCGCAGGGAGACGAGTCCTTCAACAATTCTTTATTCCATCGTGTGCTGCACAAAAAAATGTGTGTTACCATCATTGTCTTCACCATTTTCCCTCAACTCTTATCCGAAATCTCACCAGCTTTACCGCAAGATCAAGGCCAAGGAAGTCACCACGTACAACCCCACCTCCGACCTGTCTAACGGAGGCACCCGCTCCGTCGTCGAGTTCTCTGCAGCCTCGGTGGCCGTGTTTGAGAACGAGAAGAAGGTGAACATTGTCGTGAAGCGTTACGGTCTGCTCAGTACACAACACATGGTCAAGTGAGTATTGTTTACTTTTTTTAACATAAGGATTTGTTTTACGCCTGTCAGCATATCGAGGGTTCAGTGACACAAAGACGTAACTCCATATTTTGCCAAAATGAGTATTTGAGATCAAAATGATCAGAAAACTTAACTCCACCCAACACCCCATTGAAGTCAATCGCTAGTGACTCCTTAAGGCCCACGGCGACCTCTATCTTTAAACCACTTTTTCTCCAAATGGCCAAAATGGAGTTACGTCTTTGTGTCACTGACCCCTCGATATGAGCTCTCAGGGGAGATTAACATTTGCTTCAGCGAAACTTGCCCCGGAATTCATTTCCTCAAAAGACGTAGGGCTACTAGGGTTAGGGTTGGATTGGATTTCATGTTAGGGTTAGGCTTAGGTCTGTAGCATATGGTCCATGTTTAAAGTTTAGAATTCAATAAGTTACGGGAAATTGATTCTGTAGAAAATACTTGAGTTTTAAATATCTTAGACCACCTGTGACTCCTGTAAGCCAAATAAAAATAAAGGGGAAATAAAACGAAAAGAAGAAGAAAAAATGGGAGGAGGAGGAGCAGAAGAAAAAAGAGCGAGAGGCCAATGACCCCTTAAAACTCTTGAAGAAGCCCCTGTAAAGGAACAAAGAGCATTGGAAATATAGTTTCTGTTTTTCAGTTACAATGCATAAAATCTCTGAACTTAGTAGCTGGATTTCTTTAAACTGTCATAGAAACCAATGTGAATGTACTAAGATTGAGTCCTTATAAATATAGGTCCTGCCTATAGGTTTTCGTACATCAAATCTGTGATGCGTAAACTCTGGGAAGTCGGTAACTAAAAAGTGGCCCTTGGAAATTTAAAAATTCATACTTTCGACCCGACACCCCTGTGAAGCCATGCATCCCGGCTCCATAACTGTATCCCCCTTGCTCGAGTATCAACGATGGTTTAATAAACTGTTCACAGCGTGTGCACAGCGTGCATGCCGTGACGCCAAGGCCTTCATACTTGTCCCATCTCTTGTAATGATCTCATTAGCCTTTTGCACTTGATCAATCAAGGGATAGATAATCGCTCCTGTTCCCATAACCAAGATACTACTCATTTGTGTTTTTATTTTTGTAAATAGTGTGAATGCATTTGCTTCATGTGCTTTCTCTTTTGTACGTGACAATCATTCCATATTTTTTCGTTCGGCCAAAAACTTATGATTAATTCAGAGCCCTAAGAAAAAAATTATTCACACACTGCATCCATTTTCATTGCATGACCATATTTTATTTGATGCTAGGAATTAAAAAAATGAAAATGAGCTTTAAAATCCTTAAAATGGTGACATGTTGAAATGTTCAAAATTATTTTATTTTTAAATAAAGATTGGCAATTTTTCAAATTTTTGTCTTTTTTTCTTACCCATGCATTTGTTTTCATTTTATCACAACGATGTAGCAATAAAATAAAAATACCTGTGTTGCTAATTTGAAGAACAATATGTGATCCAATCAACCCTTTAAAAAAGAATTCTGTCCTAAAAAGGCTATTACCACTTTCTGTAATACAGTGTAATTCCAGCCAGTAACCACTCAGTGTTAAATAAATATATGCGGGTTTTGCAAAAGTTTACACTAACAGACTTTGAACATAGGCATTCTAACAATACTGTTTGCTGTGGGGACAGACCCTGTCTTTATGAAATTGATGTTGCATTGGATTATGCATGGTGTGTGTACTTCATACACACTCATATTGTAATAATTATATGTACCATTCTAATCTTATCTCAAGGAGAGTATATTACAGAGTATATTACAGAGTATATTACAGAGTATATTACAGAGTATATTACAGAGTATATTACAGAGTATATTACAGAGTATATTACAGAGTATATTACAGAGTATATTACTGTACAGAGTAGAATTCAATTTATATAAGTGCTCTCTTGTGTCCCGGGTATTTTCAAAAGGACACTTCTTCCCCTTGACACCATTGTTCCATTTCTCTTTGCCCGCTGATATTACATGTATATTACATGGGCACAATATCAAAAGCTGTATGATGTAAATTGCCTTAATCCGCAATAAAGGGAAGTTCCTGAGAATCGTTGCATCAGTTGAAATTATGTTCATCTGGTACCACAAAGTATGAATACCCCGGTACTTCAATTTAATCCTAAAGGGCTTGCAAAGTTTGGTACCCAACACTTATAATATTATTATACACTTTATACTTTCATTATCAGACCATTAAAATGTATACTGGTACTTCGAAAATTCCCTCTCGGAGCCCCCTTTTTATATATATTCTTTTCAATCAAATATTTGGAAGGGCAAAAACCTCTTGCATTTCTTTGTATTTTGGCCCAAAACTTGCGATCCTTATAGTCATGCAGTAAACCTGTTGTTTAATATCGACCACCTGTAGAGAAAAAACAACCCTCTATAAAGACCACATTTCCCCCTTAAAACAATGTTTCTCTCTTTTAAAGTTTGAAAAAGAATCTGTAAATTTCTAAAACCATGTTGCCTATAGAGACGACTTTTTGTTTCTCCCTTGCACAATCTTTCTATACAGGTCTGATTGTTTAGTCATGTTCAATCAGTCACTGATTGTGAATGTAAGGACCACCTTGCCTATAGAGACCACTTTTTTTTTGTTTCTCCCTTGCGCAGTCTTTCTATATAGGTTTGACTGTTTATTATTGTTCAATCACTTACTGATTTTGAATGTTCTATTAGAGGAGGCGCAATACCTCAGTTGGTAGAGCAGTCGGGTCTTGTAATCAGGTGACCCAGGTTCGAAACCAAGTCAATGCACTTAGTGCCCTTTGGTAAGTCATTAATCCTCATTAACATGTCCCTCGGAGTGCACCTAAAGCTGTCGGTCCTCTGGTTGCTTACTAACAAGAATTTATGCTTTCTTAGCAGTCAGGTAAAATAACCACCACTAATCACCACTTTTCTTATCAGGTTTGAGACGTTCGACGGCACCGCCGAGGCAGGACAGGACTACATCCCCAAGAAGGGCCAGCTCATCTTTGAGCCGGGTGAAACCACCAAGAACGTCGAGATCGAGATCATCGACGATTACGAGTGGGAACCAGATGAAACGTTCTTCGTCAAGCTCAACGTTGACACCAAGGGCTCAGCCATCGTAGGAAAGCACAGCATCATCGAAGTCACCATCATCAATGACGACGGTAAGAGGGATGGTGGAATATCTTTGAAGAGTAATCTGGGGAGTGTTTCACAAAGACTAAGATCGACTTTAAGTTGGATTTAAATATGGCAGGTCGTTCATGTAACTGTTTGCTCTCACCATTATGATCTTTGGATAATATTATTTCCTTGAATTATCAACAATTATAAATTCTGTAGATTTGTGACCATGATTTATATATCCTCTGTAAAATAGCTCATTTTTTCTTTCTATTTAATTTTATGATAAAAATGTGTTTCAAAGGTACAGTGTATTGAATTTGAATCCCCAAATCAGTCGTAAATCAAAAAGGTTTAACTTGATGTAGAGGTTTTTAATAGTGATCTAACTATGTACAGTTCTATTCAATGTCTAGAAAAAGCACCTTGTATATCAGATCAGATTAGATATTTCAACAAGTCACTGATTTGTCTTTATCTCCTCGATAATCAATCTTGTAGGAAGCAGTTAAGTGATGACCACTTCCTACACTCTGGTGGTATTACAAAAATAAAGGAATGTTTTCTCATTCGTTATCTGCACTCTTTCCATAGAACCTGGCACTCTGGAATTCACCAAGACCAGTTTCATCGTGAAGGAGAGCATCGGTTCGGCCGTTCTACCCGTTATCAGAAACACAGGCAGTGATGGCAGGATTGAAGTCTCATGGAAAACTAAGGTATGTATGTATGGACTACTTATGTCGAGGGGTCAGTGACACAAAGACGTAACTCTATTTTGAGAAAAAGTGGAGGTCCACTTGGGCCTTGAGGAGTTTAGTCTATGTTTCACTAGCCATTGACTTTAATGGAGTGTTGGTGGAGTTAAGTCTTTGTGTCACTGAACTCTCTATGTATTCCTGTGTATGGATGTGTTTACTCCTACCAACTGTACTTGTCAAGTAATCAATTTAATGTTTTACATCCCCAGGTTAAAACGAAATTCATCTACCAAACCATGTTAAATGATTTTCCCCCTTCTCCAAGTCACTCATTTTTCGTAATGATGTTCTGGCTTTAAACAATATGTTAAGTCTTTGCCTTAGATTGTTTGTTTGTTTCTTTATTTTTTATTTTTTTAATCATTTATAAAAAAAAATTGTACTATATTTTCATACATATTTTATCACTTTAAGTCATTTTCCCCTGTAATTTCAATCTTAAAACATATCGGAGTTTTACTTCATGTAGAACTACAGGGCCCTTGTAGAAAGCAGGTTTTGTTACTGACAATGCTACCTCGTATGAATAAAACTGCAAATAAAGGAAGTAAAAAAATCATTTGAAATAAATCTTGAATCTTCTCCTCCTTCTCTGCAGGATATCGAGGCAGTCAATGGCACGGACTACACCGGAGGCGAGGGCACGCTGACCTTCGAGCACGGCGAACGCGAGAAATTCATTGAAATCCCCATCATTGACGACCAGGAGTACGAGAAGGATGAAAGCTTCGAGGTGGAACTCTTCGAACCCACTGCTGGGTCGCAGCTTGGAAGACTCAAGAAGACCGTTGTCACCATTATCAATGATGATGGTAGGTGGTTTTGTTACTTATTTGAAGAATGTATTCAAATATGTTATTCAGAGATTGATTTTCAATGAAATGGCCTTGTTGGAGGGTCCAAAAAATTAAAGAATTTTTAAATTTTATTTGAAGCATTGAATGATAAAATTAGACCATAAAGCACACAGACAAAAAAAAAACCTATATAAGTTAAGGTACTTGTACTTAGATTTTGACTTTAAATTAGTCACTGATTTTCTCTTTATTTTTTTATTTCTGGGTGGGGGGGGGGATTCAGAACACACCAACTTCCTTTCCAGTATGCTGAAGACATCTGATCAGCTGGAGCAGTAAGTGGTTCAGCTCTGGAGCTCTAAAAGAGCCGTGTTAAAAGCAATAAAGTATATATTATTGATATGAGAAAATAACACTATTACAACACTAATCCAAAGAAAGCTTTATTAATCATTATTAAATAGAAAATGTATCTCCTTTTGCACTTTGTAATAGATAATGTAAGACTTGTAGATCATCTTCTCTTTGTTCGATCCTCTCTCCATGTCAGACTACACCTCCATGTTGGACCGTGTCGTCAAGATCACCCACGTCAACCTTGACAGGCTGAGGATCGGCAACGCATCCTACGCTGATCAGTTCCGTGATGCCATGAACGTCAACGGCGGCGATGTGGAAAGCGCAACCTTATTCGATTACGTCATGCATTTCATGACATTTGGGTTCAAGGTAGGTCTTTCTCTTTCCAGCTATCCTGAAAATCAGAGAAAAATATGGACAGTTGTTTCCCTTTCTTCCACCCAGGGAAATACAAAGTCAGGGAATTTGAGGGGAAAAATCACTTGATGTCATGGAAAATAATGGAATTCTGTTCTAGCTTGTATTCATCAGCATATAATGATAATGATGATAGCAACAACAACAAAAACATCAACTACAGTGGATACATCAACAGCAACAGCATCAAGAGCAAAAATTATAAGAAGGCAGAATTTCAACATGGAAAGTAGAGGGAAATATCAGGGAATTTTATTTTTATGAAATGCTAGGAACACCCTGCATTCTCCTTTTTGTTATTGGTAGTTTTGACATACCTTGGAATATCCCAATGTATGATTGGTTTGCTCTGAGGACGTACTTTCCATTGATTAACATAGCTGTACATGCATTTTTACCTCTTGTATATAGGTTATCTTTGCCTGTGTGCCCCCTCCACACTTTCTCAACTCCCGGGGCTACATCACCTTTGTGGTGGCCCTGTGTTTCATCTTTTTTGTTCAAAATAGAAGACTCTCTGAAAATATCATTCAATAATGCCTGGAATCGACCAACTGCAGTATGTACTTTCCATTGACTATAGCTGTGCATGCATTTCACCACCTCTTGCAGGTCATCTTTGCCTGTGTGCCCCCTCCACACTTTCTCAACTCCCGGGGCTACATCACGTTCGTGGTGGCCCTGTGTTTCATCGCTGTCCTCACCGCCATCATCGGCGACCTGGCGACCATCTTTGGCTGCCTCATCGGCCTCCTGGCCCCCGTCACAGCCATCACCTTCGTCGCCCTCGGGACCAGTCTGCCCGACACCTTTGCCAGCAAGACGGCCGCCGTCAACGAGGCCACGGCCGATAACTCCATCGGCAACGTGACGGGGAGCAACTCTGTCAATGTGTTCCTCGGCTTAGGGCTTCCGTGGCTTATAGCCGCAATCTACTGGGGAGCCAAGGTAAGTTTATACCTTCCAAAATTCTTTAAAGATAAAGTTGAGTTCTGGTCATGCAATTGCATTGTGAAAGAAACGTTGTGGAATCGATCAGAAAAGGTTTATCATCTATCATATAATTATTGGTGTGTACTGCAAGGTTCTGGAATCTTGAAAATGATAAAAAAATTGGCCCAGTCTTGGTAAAGTTACAAGCACTATAAACAGAAATATGTATATGGGACTACACAAACATGTGGCATAAAAATCTGTCCCAATTTTTATGATGTTACATGACATATTTAGAATATTAAGGCATTTGAAGACCCATGCTTTTCAGGGAACATTTGGTTACCGATGTTCTTCCACACTTGCATAATACAATGATAACTTCATGACTTCATGGAGAAGAAAAAACCCTATTTCACCTCTACCGGCAATACAAGCTTCTACTGGTATATTAATCCTTTGCCAATTTTTGTAGACCGTAACTATTCATTAAGTTATTTCTCATTTGCCCCTACCCATCTGCCTTCTCTAGGACGATACCTTTGCCGTTCCCGCTGGGGGTCTTGCGTTCAGCGTGGCCACCTACACCATCTGTGCCATCATGTGTGTTATCCTCCTCATGATAAGACGCTACGTCGGATTCTTTGGCAAGTCGGAGCTCGGGGGTCCCAAGATCGGCCGCTACATCTCCGCCGCCTTTCTCATTACCCTGTGGATGCTCTACATCATCCTCTCGTCGCTCTACGAGTACACGATCATCCAGTTGTAGGGCGTGGGCAGCCATCCTGGGGGGGCGTTTCACAAAACTTGTCCTCAGTAACAAATGACAATTGTTGTTATAAGCTACTGAAATCCTCCCTCCTGATTGGTTATCAGCAGATTTGTCACTCATTTTTGTAATTTGTCATTGAAAAAGGCTTTGTGAAACAGGTCCCTGGACTGTCCTCGCCAGCCAGAAGTACACTGACCAAATGCATGTATAATGAAACCCGTATAGAAAGACCGCCTACAGGAGACACAACTTGTTTTTACGAGCAGGAGGTCTTCATACACAGGTTTCCTTTAAAACATGTTTCATTGAGAAGCATTGTTTAAAGGGAAACAAATCAAAAGTGGTCTTTCTATACAGGTGGTCTTTCCACGCAGGTGGTCGCTAAAGCAGGTTAGACTGCATATCGTCGGTTGAGAAGCAGAAGGGTGTTAATTCATATCCCTCAACATTGAGTTAACACTCATCTGGTTCTCAGGCTCAGGAGATAATAGGCTTATATACAGTATATGCGCCATGGAGGGCAGAACAAGAAGCGATGCAATGAACGCAGGGTGCAACCAAAGGTAACCGCTGGAAACTAATTCTCATATATCGAAAAGGCACACATGCGGGTAAAGTGTCTAGAAAACTAGGAAAATGATCAGGGATGTGGTGTTTCTTCTGCAGTTGACAGCCAGAAGGGTGTTATCTTAAAGGAAGCAGTCAAAGGTAATGTCCTTCCGGCTGTTAGCAGTCAAAACACTGCGACAGTATTGGAAAAACAAAGAATTCAAAATGCGCAGACGAACGGAATTTCTACCAAAGAATAGAACCGTGTGGATGTGTACTACCTCACCCTCACAATGACCACAAACCAAAAATGTCATTCAAAATATTTGAGGCACTTCTATCTCGTATGGGTGGAGTTAAACCTGAGATGTAATGGGGAGGTCATGAGCGCAGTCTGAGGTCATCTTGAAAGTGTTTATGGGGACATGGAATTTGAAAAGTGGAAATACTTATTTCGTCTTCTGATTTGGTGATGCACATCTAGGTATTGGATGGGTAGTGTGTGTTTATGCAATCCTGCACATATTGATTCTGCGGTTAAACCACATTTAGTCAATTAAAAGTTTTATGGAATGAAGAATTTTCATGAGAATTTTTTCAATTTTGAAAAGTAAAATGTTATAGACATTTTAATGAAGATCTAAAAGTATATGATATTACATATAAACTGCATTTAGTACTATCACAGGACTTGAGTTTCCTATCAATCATTCGTAAGATTTCTAAAATATTGAAATTTTAAAAGCTTTTCTACGGTATGACTAAAAAATCACTTTCTATGTCAATTTGTAACAAACGTATATAAAATTCAATATTTCATAAATTTTTAAATATGAATGGTTGACAGGAAAACCAAACTTTGTGAGATGACCGTATATTTGTTAATATATGCTATCATTAATTTGTAGATTTTTAAATAAAAATATCTACAATATTTTTTGTTCAAAATAGAAGATTCTCTGAAAATGTCAGTCCATAATGCTTAATATTGACTAACTGCAGTTAAGAAAAGTAGATTGGCTGTTAAATCTGTTGAAGTTTCTGGTCATGTCAATGTCGTGAACTTGATTTTGACTCTCATATCAATATACTTGCAGGAAGAAGAAAAGACAGGCAACTTTATTCAATTAAAGATGTAGCCATGTTTCTGCAACAAAAAATGTACAAAAAATGTTACCAAACTGTACAATATTAGCTAGAGAACTAGCAATAGACGGTAGCTCGTAAGAGAAACACTCAGTGAAATTAGCTAGTCATTTTGTACATTGTTTTATAAATGAAGTGATTCGTTAAAAGTCACACCTTTTTCTCTGTCTCTTCCACTTTCTATTTACAAGATGTTAAGTTGTGTTAAAAGGATCATTGAAGGTTGGCATTCTCGAAATTGTAGGCCAAGTTGAAACCCTGAGTTAGTAAATAGACCATTTTTTCTTAATGATATCAAATTGAGTGAATAAGTCTTTGTCAAATGCCTACAAATTATTCCGTTCATCTGTTATGAATAATTGCATTTCAATAGTAAAATGCAAATCACATTCAATATGTGTTGTTAGGGGGCAAGCCATAATGTTTGTCTTACCTAGCAACAACCAATGTAGGTGATTTGTATTCTGACTATTGAATTACAATTATTCGTAAGAGATGAATGAAATAATTTTTACTTTGATAACAAAGGCCGTTGCATTAAATTTGATTACATTACGAAAAATGGTCATTTTCTGCTTTCAAGAATATGGCCTTGATGAATGTGCTTTTTAATTGATGGTTTTTAAGATATAAAAAGTCCAGCTTTGTATTTATTGAAATAAGAAAATATTCTTTTGCATTCTGCATGGTGTTTTATCATCAGTGTTTAAGGTCTGTTGCATGATTGTATATTTTCAAGTGGAGGGTACGTGTTTATTGAACATAGATGTATTTATTCATGTATGGGGCGGAAACCAACATAATTCACCACGCCGTGTGAAATATTGCAGATTGTTCATTTCAGGGGTTTATTTAATTAGTTTAGCAAATTACGAATGAAAATCTTCAAAGATTCTGAATGTATCAACTCTTTAGAATATTGTGTCGCTGCTTTGAAATGTCATAATGATCTTAAAGCAGTGCATATTAATCTAGCTGTTATGATTTTGTAGAGCTGTTTATCTCATGTCACATTTTAGATTGTATTGATAATGTATACTGCTGTCTAGAACAATATCCTTCTGCCAACAATTTGTATGAATAATTTTTGTTGATTTATGATGTTTTATTTTTGAATGAAATTTTGAACAAGCTTTTATCAAAAGATATTTATAAAATTAACATCAATTAAATTATTAGTGGTATTCATACAGATTGATCATTCATGAATATATGAAATCTGCACAACTATTTGAACAATAAGCTGCCAATTGATTATTATAAAGTGTTCCTGTTGACTGTAAGCTAGAAAAGAAGAAAACGTAATTTGTTTAGTTTATTTTCTCGACTTAAGGTCATGAATATTTAAATTTGAATGCAAATTCATTTTTATTAATTTTTTCAAGACAACAGATTAAGCTCTTGTGGGTGAATTTATATGAATGTGTATAATGTGTTAAAGGTAAAAGGTTCTAATATATCTAACCATATCAGAAAATTCTATTAATGTGAAAAAGAGGGTATGATATACATGTATCAATTTACCTGTTTAGTACGATGAAATAACATGTCAACTATTATACTTGGTGACTGAAATCATTTTTTGGGGTGTATTTTGATATCTTCCCTTTTGTATTTTTGTTCTTTTTCTGTCTTTCAAACACTTCGGGGATCTCTTTGCCTTCATTTCTATGTCGTTTTCACTTATTTCTATCAGTCCATTTACAACATGCATGTGTAAGATCATGAAAACAGTACCGTATCGGAAATCCAAAACGTACCTTCTGTCCAAAATTGCGAGGAGAAATGGCATTTCATCGTTCAACTCTAGTGCCTTTCTGCTTCTAAGAGTTAGAATGATTTAACCCATAGGATAAAAGAGGAGACATGATTTATGTATATGAAGAAGGAGTTATGACCTTTAAGCCCTAATAAAGCACAGTGAAACTAGAGCAAACAAAAGCATTTTTTTTAAAATCTTCCTAATTAGCGAAAAAGACTACTTTTGTATTCACATTTAATGTTAGAATCATGGTCATGTTTCCTATTTCATAGCAACAAAAAAAAAAACCAAGGGCTTTTTAACTTGAACCATTCTTTGTGACATTATGCAATATAGGTGTGGCAATATTCTCAGACTTTTTAAATATTCATTTGAGATAATCTGTGATTTTGAATAATTTCGGAGATAGAAGGACTTCCGGTGTGATTTCTTCTTTTTATTTCTGGACCCAAAAATCCAGATTTGATGGACTGTTAAGAAAAGCTAGTTAGGCCAAATGGCTATGGAAAATTTGATAATTGACAGGAAAGAAGGGTATTATGCTTATTCAGGGAGATTTATTAAAGATAGCCTGAGAAATTAGTGAAAACTACTGTTTCTGAGACTCATATTTATGCGAGCTCATTGAGTTGTGCTTGGAAATTTGTGAGCAATTCGAGGCAGAAAACTCCCCTTGAGTTTTTTTTTTTAATTCTGAAATTCAACCACAAAATATGCTGACAGAGAGAATATTCAGCTATTTATAAGACACAAAAGTGATGTGTAGATTTATATTAGCTTTGTCTTGCTTTTAACTTGTGCATATATATTACGCAAGATAAACTATAGCTGTGTAGATAAGGGACTTTGAACAAAATGGCAATATTTATGGAAAATATAATTTTATGTTTTCTTGCAACTAAGATTTTTATTTTTACTTTCATTTTGTCATATTTCTCATAGTTATTCTTTTTTAATCCCTCTGTATTTGTATATGTCTTTTATGTGTAGTAAACATCTGTATAATGATTATGATGATGATTTGTTAATTTTAATAATAAATTTGTAGATGAGGGGTAACATATGTTTGTTTTAACCTCTATAAACAGGGGAGTATGCATTTTTGGTCTATGTTTAGAAATATAGAATTGAGGATCTGTACAGATATATTTTCATGTTTCGTGTGTTTTTTGTTGTTGTTGTTTTAATGAATAAGAGATTAACAAGAAAATATGAGTGGAGCAATATATCAAATATGAGAAGAACTGAACATTTGATAGTACATTTAGAGGAAAAAGTGAGACATCAGTTATAAATGTGTTCACCACCGAGACTCGTTATGAGATGGGGATAGAGACAGAACGAGATGGGGATAGAGAAAGAACGAGACAGAACGAGACAGAGACAGAGAGAGAGAGACAGAGAGACAGAGAGAGAAAGAGAGAGAGAGAGGGAGAAAGAGAAATGGGTTAAAATAAGAGAGAGAGCGAGAGAGAGAGAGAGAGAGAGTGCAGGGAAAAAGGGGGGGGGGGGGGGGGGAGAAAGAAGAAAGAGTACACATACTTGATAGAAATAGAGGGAGGATACTGCTAATGGCATGTTGATCGTAATTCCTATAAACTAAAATTAATATCACATAGAATCTAGTTTGTCCAATATTTTTTCCCATCTCGTGTAAAATGATGTACAGTGTAGGGTGAAATTGCAATAGGGTTTCTGCTCCTTATTGTCTCAAGTTTGACGTGGTAAGGTTCTTTCCCATGTAAAAACAACAATATAAACCTGTTCCGGGAGGAAAAAGTAAAGGAGGAAGATCGAGGGTTCGATTGACCTTGCATGTAAAACTTTCTATACCCTATGATTAAGCTTTACCTTGACGGAGCAAAGCCCTGAGCAAAGTTGATATTTCTGTAAATAAACTATAACATTAATGGGCGAAGGCGGGGCGCCTCTGCCCATTAATTTTATAGTTTGTTTTTTAATGGGCAGAGGCGGGGCCCATGACCATGTGTACAGAAATATCGCATATATAATTATGTACAAGTTTAACCGTTATCGATTTATTGTCCCAATTTAGCGAATCCAAAATGGCTGCACAAAACAAGATTCTCTGCTGCTTGGTCGTCGCGCTTTTAGGCCTAGGAATTTACGATGTTCTCACAAATTTCGAGAGCAACCGATGTGCTATGTCCTTTATGTGGGAAACACCTGAGTATATTGTAAGTATATATTTTTGTAGTGGTATGTAAATTTAGTTAATGAATGGAACAAATTGTGATCTTTGTACTATTGCTATCCTACTGTACCTACAGTCCCACTAGTGCATATCAATGTTATACTGAAGAAAGCTTAACTTAGCTTAGGGAACATCGAGTTTGCCACTGCCAGGGCCAGGCCAGGCCGGGCATGAATTGTACAATCAAATTAGCAAAGTTCATGGAAATTTGTCTGTATGTAAGGAAGTAAATTCCCATTTTCTAATCCATATTTACTAGATCTATATAAAAATGTAAGTAAAGTAGTCTAGTATTAAAGGGATAGAGTAAAGGAGGGGGTAAACGACCAGCTCCAGTTTTCGGCCGATCCGTTGGATGCATGGTAAAATCCCTTTAAAATACATCGCATAATAGCATATCACATATCCCACACATACCATACCATGCCAGAGTCACTGAAGAACCACATTTGCAATGGAAAATATATCCTAAAATATCACATTTTCGCGATGTAATCGGCGGTCCCGCTACCCAAATCTGAAAAATCGAGTTTCTTAGATCTACGCATGTATGTAAGAAATATGGGTACCATAAAATGAGCTTTATTTCAAGTATTTTTCAGATTTAGAGCCCGATTTTGTGTTAGTCGCTCGTTGAGTTCTGTTTTCAGACCGCAAATGCCTTCAAAGTGCATGGTTATTTGTAGCCTTTGTAGGGAGGCCAAAATCTAACTTTTTAATTACTCATTTAGACGTCTCTAGATCTATTTATAATAAAAAAAAGTTTAGGCCTAAAAGAAAGTATTTTCTTTAACTAAGACAACTCACCCATCTGCCAACTCCAGAACTTCCATAAAATAGGAGATATCCAGCTCTAAAGTTGGGGGTTCCTTCTACGCCAATTTTTCAACTTACCAATGTTAGAAAGAATAATTAAAAATTCAAATTGTAAGTCTACTGTCATACTTGCCAATCAGCCACATCAACATGATTGTGTGCTTTTGTGTATAATGAGTGTATTGACTATTCATGTGTGCAAATGCTGCCTATTAAGACGTAGTGCACTGCTAGAGGTCAAAACGCATTAGTATTGACTCTACGCTTTGCTCGTCACGTGTGATTCATTTACTGAGACAATCCCACGTTTTTTTCATGAAAGAGCTGGCAATAGTTTGCAGTACTATCTCACTTTTTTTTGTTAGTGCTGTACATGATGCGCAGTAGTGCGCGTAGAAATTAGAGCGCTTATACTGCGTGTGGGCCTATTCTTGCGCAGCACTATGAGTAAATGCATATAGAGGTAAGTGCGCTTATCTATGTGCGCGCATTAATTCAGCCTTTTAAACTAGAGATTTATTTGTAAGCCATATACTGTTACGAAACAATCTTGATTGAAATCTTTTTACATCAAATAACAAGGACCTAGGAGATTTGTTGTATAAAACAAATGATTTCATGTTTTCATTCGTTCATTATATGATCTATCTGCCCTCGTTGATGCTGTGGGTTTCTATCGCACTCAGCCTTACGGCTTCGTGCAATAGATACGCACATCTTCAACTCGAGTGCGGATAGATTGTTTTTCATGAACTCACGCGTATGCATCATTTGTATGTACATGTACTCTATTACTGAAGTTCAAAACAAGGTTTGTTGATTTAATGCTTAAGGTAAAAAATTTCTTTATTTCATGTCAAGACTATGGTTTTAAAAAAGGTAGGAAAAAAGATGAAGAAGGAGGAGAAGAAAAAAATGGGGAAGAAGAAAAAAAGAAGGGGAAGAAGAAGAAAGATAGGAAACTAAGGAAAGGGAAGGAGAAAGAGGAGAAGAAAAAAAAAGAAAGGAGTAGAAAAAAAAAGGAGAAGAAAAGAAAGGAAAAGAAAAGAAGAAAGAAAAGATAGGAAACTAAGGAAAGGGAAGGAGAAAGAGGAGAAGAAAAAAAAAGAAAGGAGTAGAAAAAAAAGGAGAAGAAAAGAAAGGAAAAGAAAAGAAGAAAGAAAAGATAGGAAAATAAGGAAAAGGAAGGAGAAAGAGGAGAAGAAAAAAAAAGAAAGGAGTAGAAAAAAAAAGGAGAAGAAAAGAAAGGAAAAGAAAAGAAAGGAAAAGAGAAAGCAGCTGTACAGATTGACAGAAGCAGGGATATGTGGATAATGTGTGTTGTGTGATGTAGATCTTCTTGGATCAGACCTGATATGTATTTCAAACCCAAAAGTAACATCAATCTTTAGTTGGATTGGTACCACAGAAATACCTTTTCTCAATAAGCCACGTGGGTTAAGGATGTTTTCAAACTCTTGAGAAAATTGTGAGATGATGAAATGAAATCAGGACCTTGAACTTTGGTAAATCATAATTTTTTGCAGATCATGCTGATATGATTCTTTGCCTAGTCTTTGTTCATCAAGGAAACAATAATGAGTGTTTACTTATTGAATTTATATTAGACACTAGTGTACGGTTTGTATAAAGGTCTTTCATGTTCATACAATGACTGTCCAAAGTCTGATATCGTTTGTCTTGGAAGAGCTAGCACTAGTGAACTTAAAGATAAACTCCACTTCTGGTAAAAAGAAAAGAAAATTAATTCTCACAGAATCAAACGAAACTTACACTAAATGTTAAAGATTACAAATAAATGACATGTGCCAAACAATTTTGGCACATGTATACTGGCTGAGTAATGAGCATAGAAAGACAAGGAAATCAAGGTAGTACTAGCCCCGACACCATGTGTGTTGTCCCATATATAGCTTTCTGTGTACAGTGTTTGTAACTTTACCAAGACTCGGCCAAATTTATTATGATTTTGATGACTCCAGAACCTTGCAGTGCACACCAATACTTGCATGCTACATGATCAACTGTTTCTGATCCATTCCACACCTTTTCTTTCACAATGCAATCGCATTACCAGAACTGGAGTTTATAGTTTGTGATCTAATCAACATTTTAGGGCAGTTGTTTGACGTGCGGTATGTTAAAATACAAAAAAATATTTAAACAAAATTATTTAAAAAAATTATTTTTAAAAAAATTTAAAAAATATCTATGAAGAAAAAACGTACTACAGTAATTTAGAGGAAAAAACGGAATGGTTGGCAGCTCTGCATATACATATTCAGATTTTGGATGAATAGATTGATATTTGAATAAACTGTTTATATTTGTTTTCTTCTCCATATGTAGGATGTTCTTCATATGAATGAGACTCTGCAGGAGAAGTATCCCCACTATTCCCTGACAGTGTATGGGGAAGGCAGATATGCTACAAACTTAGAGTGAGTAATGAAAACAAAATAAAAAGTAAGATATTTGTAAGAAAACACAAATTGCTACATGTAAGAGCAGCACTGGTTTTTCTGAAAGTTTTGAACTTCATTGCAACTTTTTTAATTTTCAAAGTAAATTAATAGACTAATCAAAGAGTTTTATCATTGGACAAAGTTGCTGTTTATTTTACAAATTTGTACAAGTAGGAGGAAAGATATATGTATACAGTACATGTTTGTGAGAGAGATTTACAAATCATATGTAGTTACTGTGTGCATTTAATAAAATGTTGACATGTGAAATTTGGGATAAGAAGAAATATATTGTTGTTATGTTAAACATTCATACCCTCAATTATTTTTGACATAATTACGTGTATATCTACTGAATAATATGAGTACACTTCGGTTCCTTTCTGTCATGTTTCTAAATCTACAGGAAAGGGAAGTATACTGGCATTCCTATTTTGTTCATCCCTGGAAATGCTGGAAGTCACAAACAAGGTAAGAATATTAGACACATTTCAAAGATTCACCAAGAGGGAAAAAAAAATTGTTTTTTGTTTAGAGAATGAACTGCTTTTGTCCATACTAAATTTGATGCATTACAACACATCGATATTTAACTTATTGTCTTGTAAATGCTCTTTTTTATTTATGGGGGGGGGGGGGCAGTGGGAGGTTCTATTCCACTGTATCTTTTTGAATTCACCTACACAACCCTGTAATTTTCTCTAACTGTTTCCAACTCATAATCAGGGTGGTGAGTGAAGAGAGACAATTACTTTTGCTTCCAAGAGATGTAATTATTGTTGGTATGGTTCTACGAATTACTGGAAAAAAGTGAACAGTATTGAATTATATCACAATTAGGATAATGTAAAGCATCGTTCACAGAGTTGACTTTGCTGATTTCAAACGATGCTCTTGTTGATATACTCTATTTGTGTGATGGATTCTCACAGCATACTACATGTAGTATGCAATATTTTGATCACTACCAGCATACAAAATACTTTCAATAGGAATTATGCATAATTCATATTTTACATGTACAGTGCTTGTACCTGCTTATTTGCAAGGCTCAACATACATACACGCGATTCGCCCCCGTGAGCTACACAATCGCCCCCGTCAGAGTGCTCACGGGGGCGATTGCAAAATGAAAAATCGCCCCCGTGGAATTATAAAATAAAGAATATATGAATTCATGCCCTTATGGTTCATACATGTAGGTTCATTGCACTTTAGAAAATAAAAATCGTTATGATAATACATATTTTGATGTTTGGTATCATTCAAAGTAAAATAATGTTCTTAAATTACATTTTTTTTCCCCGCATCAATTTCATGTCTTTCATAGTTCGTTCCCTGAGCTCCATTGCGCTGAGAAAAGCCTCCGACAAATACAACTTCCATTTCAATTACTTCAGTGTTGATCTGGATGAAGAACTCAACGCAGTTTATGGAGGAGTGTTGGAGGGGCAAACAGGTAAAAGAAGAAAACCAAATTATTGAAATGAAAGAAGTCTAAATCACCATTTTTATCTGTGCTTCTTGAGTTTGATATATGGATTCCTGGATTTAATCACAAAAGACTGTATAGTTCTAGGTCCTTAAGTTCTGCCAGAAAATTTTCAATGACTCAACTTTTATGAAAATATGATACAAAGTTGTGAACGAAAAAAATGTATGGGAAGCTGTAACAGAAAACAGATCACTACATGTAAAATACAGAAAATCTTGGGTCACAAATTCAAGATATCGTTGTTTTTGACAATTGATTTGAACTGCAATCGGGTACATGATTGATTAATCTTGGATCTCTGTGGAAATGTATGATGCAAACATGCTCAAAGAGGTTGTCATGTAATTTGTCATGATGATTGTTGAAAACAACACTCAAGGTTTTAATTTGTTATCGTATTGAATTTTATTGATGGACCCTGTATCAGTGTTAGTGATGGTTATTAAAGACGGTCAACACTACTGGGCCAGAAGGGATTAGACCACACAGCGAGGTCACTGACAGGTGGCTATCTCATTAACTCAGCTCTCAACTTACATAAGAAAAAGAGGATCATGGGGGACCAACAGGCACCGATTTGGGAAGTTTTCTATATAGAGGGAGCAAGTAGCTACACGTAGGACAGTGGGGCTTTAAGATAGTGATCTTAGTGAGATAACAGTTTTTTTTGGACCTCGGTGCAGAAGAGAAGGAGGAATGAATTAACTGATGATCTCTTATTTGTCTTTCCTTTCTATCTCACAGAGTACGTCCATGCCTGTGTGAAGCACATCCTGGAGCTGTATAAAAACAACAAGAATCCTCCCAAACAGGTCGTGATCATTGGTCACTCAAAGGTAAGCTTTGTGTATGGCTAACCTCATTCTGTGCAGAAAGTGATGATTCATAAGAACCAGGGATGCCAGTTTCAGGCAAAAGCTTGATTTCAGCCCTTGTTGATTTATTTTCAGGCCATAGTTTAGGCTTTTTAGTGTACAAAATAGCTCATTCTAGGTGATTTTCAGGCCCTCTGATCAATTCTAACTGGCATCTCTGAAGAACAATATTAAGGACATATGGAAGTAATATTTCAGTGAAGAATGAGAGAGAGAGAGAGAGAGAGAGAGAGAGAGAGAGAGAGAGAGAGATTGGGGGGGGGGGTGTGGTTGGTTATTTAAGATATATTCCCATCAGTTGCAGGTACTATTTTTCAATACTCAATTCTCAAAACCTCCAGAAGCATAGTATGTGCCTAGCCTCATATTCAATTAACAAGCAATATGTTTTAATAACATACACACAGTCCTAGGAGGAGGTTTAATTAGTGACCATCAATGACTCATTCATGAATTTGTTTGCTAGTTTTTGCTGTTTTATTCCTTTCAAGTACGAATTTACGAAACTGAGAGCTGCTTTGGATAGAGGATTAAAAACTGAGAGCCTGAAAAGTAATCAAATTCTCTACCTTTTCTTCTTGGTGCATACAGGGAGGACTAGTAGCTAAAGCCCTCTTTGCCTTGCCTGACTTTGATGCCAGCACCGTCAACACTCTCATCACCATGGGAACACCCCATGTGAATGCCATCGTGAAGCCTGATATCTACATGGACCAGTTTACTACTAGTGTTAACGAGGTAGGTCAAAGGTCAAATTAATGAAGTAATGTTTTCTTTGATCTATATAAATGTATGTTTACAAGTTTGAATGTATTTAGGGTATGGTGCTTGTGATTTCCTCATTTGTAAGTAAATATATTGAATTTTGATACCCAAAACATTACATTCCAACAAAGCTGTACTTTACATTAATGATATCATATTAACATATATGTACTTTGTAGACTAAATGATTTACATTCACAGAAAGTGTATGAAAGAATTTGTCAATGTGTTACACATTTATTACTAATGGAGTCTTCTTATATTCTTTGTAGATTTCTGTGTCTTATTTCTTTTTTATGCCATGAGATATAAACTGCAAATACTTCAAATGTTTATACCTACCGTATATTCTTGCATAATTATTTAACAATGGCATATACAATGTACACGTTTTTAGATCTAAAAATACATTTAAAAGGCAAGATAGACCTAGAAGTCTAGAACAAATGAAAAAGAGATGTTTATTTTGTTTTATTATATCTTTTGAACAGTTCTGGTCTGAAAACTGGGATTCTGCCGAATTGCAAGATGTAACCGTTCTGTCCATTGGAGGCAGTTACCGTGACAACATGGTGCGGTCAGGGCTGGTCTCTATGAATGGGATGGTTTCACCTGATAGAGGGCTTAGTGTTGTGGTAAGTGATGGTTATGCTTTGATTCAGAAAGGACCACAAACACATGCTTGGTGTTCTATTATTTTTTCAGAAGGATTTTTTTAGGTTTAAGTAGCTGACCATGTTTAAATGCCTCCCTTGCTTCGCATTGTTACCATTTGTTTAATCAGGGCCCGTCTTATAAAGAGTTGATATCAGTCATAACTTATTTGCGATTGATATGAATCGCAACTTTGTATAAAAGAGATAGGAGACTGCAAACTTGAGATTGATTGGAGGACTAACAATTGATTTGGATCAATCGTAACTCTTTATAAGAGGGGCCCCAGTTGTAGCAAATTATTGTTTGCCAGTGCATAGGAGTTTTTCCCTGAGATTTTGGGTGATATAATTTGTTTTATTTTCTTGCTGGTTTTTTTTTAGGGAGAGGGGGGTATGATAAATCTTTTGAAAAAATGACTGACCTAATTAAAAACAAAATCAATGTTAGAAAATGTTTTGAAATGTTTTGATCATGAATTAACCTTTGAGTAAATCAATTCTAGCAACTTATATTTCATTCATAGATTATGGTATAATTATATAGCATATACATGCCGGTAGTTAAATAAATGAAATAGAAATATACCAGAATGCCTGAAATTTGAATGTACATGTATACTATATAAAATGCATTTCATTTGTTTTTGAATTTCTAGGTTGGCTCCATACCTAGGGTTTGGCTCTCTACAGATCACAGATGCATTGTGTGGTGAGTCATGATTTTAAAAAAAAAAGTCTTTCTATGTCCTGTCTTATTCAATTTTATTCAATTTCACTTTTATTTTATGCTATGTTGGATACAATTGGTTCTGTGTATAAAACCATTAACTTCAAAGAAGTTTTTTAAATCTGCCCTGTTTCCCCCTTTCTACTTGTCCTTTAATATTTGTATCGTTTTCATCTACAGTTCATTATTAGCACCACTTCATTCTGCTTGCAATAAATCTCAGATTTTTCAATTTTTAAAAATGTTCGATGTCACTTGTAGAATATGTTTTTCAAGCGTGTGTGTAATTTGGGCTTTTACAGACGTGTATCAATATGATTATTCGTTTTGGGACTGACCTTTAACGTCGGTATCCAAAAGACGTGACTCAGTCCCATACCAGGGTCTGCTGAGTCATTTTGTAGGCAAAGACAGAGAGCTGACCATACCACAAACATTACCGCTAGACCAATTCACATTTTCTGATATTTTAAAGCTGTAACAGTTTTTATTTATAAATATTTTTGTGTGCTTCGTTGTATTCAGGTGTAAGGAGTTGGTACTTGCAACAAACAGAGCTCTCTTTGATATGGTTGACAAGCTAACAAAACAGGTAAATTATACACATCGTGTATTAAATTTGTTTAAAGGTATTTCATTTCTGTGATAGAATAAAATAAACATGTATGTACTCCTTTTATTTGATTATCACCCAATCCATGAAGTGGCGTACCACTAGTTTACTTATATTGGCCAGTTGTCTGCTCCCTATAATGATTAGTTGGAATTTTATGTTATTGCCTCCAATTTTTTTGGGCAGGAAAATATGTATGATATATGTTTGATTTTGTTTTCTTTTTCTCAGTGTAATCGCACACTTGCATATTTTAATTTGTGTTGATTATATCTTAAAAACCATCACACTACAGCCATCCGGCTGCAAGGATAGGTTTTAATAAATCTTGAATGTTGAATCTGTTTTATTGTTGTAGATTTCTGTGAATCCTGAGTATCGAATTAAGGTCCTGAACCATCACTTCGTCTGTCATGATGGCCAATCAAGCTATACTTCTCGTGCTGAAGATTATCTATGATATTTGTTTGATTTTATGTATTGTTAAAATATATATATATATATATATATGTTTGATTTGTTTTGTTGTTGTAGATTTCTGTGAATCCTGAGTATCGAATGAAGGTCCTAAACCATCACTTTGTCTCACATGATGGGCAGTCAAGCTATACTCCTCACACTGAAGACGTGGTTGGATTTGCTGGTAAATATTTCTCCTCAAGTATTTTTCTTTTTTCTTCAGGCAAAGGGGATAGGAAGAAAAGTAAAACAACATCGCTGGTCATGGCTTTTGTGATATTTGTTTACATTGTTTAATAAAATGTTTTAAAATGATATCTGATTGACTATCATAATCACGTCATAATCATAATCAATATCAAACATACATTTAAAATTTAAATGACGGTGGCAACTTAACTAAACTTTATTGATAAATCGTTGTCTGCCCGGCAAAATGTCGTGTAGCTCTACACCACCTTTTGCCGGGAAGTTAAATTGCGCTTTCAGGCTTTTTTTTTTCGAGCAAAAGATTGTGTAGCAAATAAAAGATATATTTGCAAATTAATTTGAGAACATAATAAATCAGGTAAATATCTTTCTCTAAGAATAGTTTTGGCTACATGAAATATTGAAACAATGTCGTTTTCAGCAGTATGTATGTGTTAAATCTTCAAAAGTGTTTTTCTCTGTTCCACCTTTTTTACCAGCGCGCATGCTACGCCACCTTTTACCGGGCAACCAGTGAAAAATGGGTTTTGTTTTCACACTTATAACCCCTAGATTTTAAAAAGACACTTAGAGAAACATAAACTGAACTCTTGCACTCATTTTATACAAAAATCGTGGTTTCCCTCTTCATCTCCATCTTCAGATGAAAACTTCAAAGCGATATCCTCTGGTTTCCACCACGTCGCCGGGCGTCACATCGAGAAGGCCGTCCACTACACCTTCCCCATCAACCCCAGCGACCCTAACCACGCCCTCTTCACCGTCACGGCCACCATACCCTCCACCAGCGGGTGGCTCTATGCCTGCACACGATCCCACGAGGACCGGTGTATAGAGGGCGTCGACATCACCAGGAGGGCGCGGCTCATGCCACCGCTCAAGTCCAACATGAGAGTGGCCCATCTGGACCTGAAGAACCTCGGGATCGATAATGTGAAGCAGATTGTCGTCAAGATACCAAAAACAAACAAGGTTGGTGGTTTATTTTCTTTGTAAATGATGCAATGATTTATATCAGATTAAGTTGATTAATTTTGTCAGTGACATGAGGTAATCAAATTAGATAGTAAATTATATGTGCAAAAAGTGTTGTATTACTATTGACAATTGGTAACGTCCATATCTGTAGCATTATGCTGCTTATCTATATTTAAAATCTGTAGAAGAAAAAAAATCGGGTGCTAGAATAACCAGTGTTACACTTTTGTAAACTCTCTCTTACAATGTTGTAGTCTATTACAATGTTGTAGTCTATTATGAGCTGCCTGGCTGCTTGTGCATTTAATTGGATTTGAATAAAAAAAAATTACCCTTTTCATTTGTTTAATATTTGATGATTATCGAGCAACCTTCTCTCTAATGTTCAGTTTTCTTCTAATTTTATGTTGACCAGGTGAATGTTATCGCTGATTTGCATGGAAGATCAGGAAGAATTATGAATGCAACTCTACCAGGTTTCTTCTCCTACAGTAAGTATTTTAATAATTATTAAAAAAAGAAACAATATACTTTTCAAATTTGCAGCTTAATTAAACAAATAAATTATTATGGATGATATTGAATTGAACACAAAAACACGAAATTTATACAGCTCTGGGTTGAAGAAAAAATGGAGTATCATCATTTTGTATTCGACATATTTTTCCAAAATTGATTATATAAAAAAATTAAAGCAAACATATTGGTCTTGCCCAAATACAGTAAAACTACTTTTAAAAGACCACTTATTTGAGACAAGAATAGCAGTCTTTGTAGGCAGCTAATCTTTCTAGACAAGTTGCTTTAGTAGAGGCTTCAACAGGAAATAATTTTCAAGGGAAACAAAATATGTGGTCTTTCTATACAGGTTTACTAAAAACAGGTTGCACTGTATTAAAATTATATTTATGTTTTTATTTATGTTAAATGTTTTGTCTATGATTTATGTATGTTTCTGATTTGTATTATGTAAAACCAAACATTTGTGGGAAACATACACTAAACTCTTATTTTATATTGTTTATACACAGTCAAACCTGTGTATAGCGTCCACCCAAGGGAAACACAAAAAGTGGTCTTTGTAGACAGGTTCTTTTAGTACATGTTTCAATGAGAAACCATTTTCAAGGTAAACAACAAATGTGGTCTTTGTAGACAGGTGGTTACTAAAGCAGGTTTGACTGTATGGATATGTTTCATTTATGTAATGTTTTTTTTAATGTTTATTCATTTTGTTTCCCCTTCTAATTTCATGATAGAACCCAAGACAGTGATGAAGCAGCATGACTCCCATACATTATTCTTCAACATCTCACTCCCCGATCTAGACTCGGTGTGGAAGGCTTACACCGCTATTCTAGAACCCGCCCATTGCGCTGATCCTGTAAGAAAGGGTGAGTCTATGTAGAGTGTCTGTTAAAGACACATGGTAGTCGGTGTTCATGTGTATTGCATCATAATTCGCTGACACTAGATTTGATTGAATTGCCAATTAATGTGTATGTGTGTGTAAAAGTCTCTGTAGCAGGGAACCCGTAGTCCCACCGAAAAATACTCCCAACTTTAATATGTACTTCTCAATGGTGAGGGAAATTGATATATTTGATGAGAATTCCAGAAAGTGGTAAGCTAGTGCACAGTGCATTACACAAGAGCTGTCTGTCGCCAAAGTGAAGTCCACTCTTGGTGACTAACAACATCTGTTATTGGGTAAACTTAAAACACCAGAATGGTGTCAAATTCCCCATGGAAACCCACTACTATGCATCTTGAAAGAGAATGTTGGACTCTGGTCAGATTCAACATGTAATGTCCTTTGGCAATTGTATGAGGATAAGATAAAATCATCAGTGACACACTGTATGTAGAATCAAACAACATGAAGTTGTTCCATTATTTCTCTGAATTTCCTTCTACAAAATGAGAAAAAATAGTTGTAAATCCTGCTACTTGACTTGCTATTTCACGCATTAATTTGGTTGTATTTGAAAGAAGAAAAAAAGAGGGAAAGTTACATTAAACAAAAAAAATTCTCTTTTCAGATGGAAACACCACCCTGCACTTTCATGTACCTTGGTATCAGGAGGATGAATGGTCCGTTGCCAAGGCAACAGAAAACAATGTCATGCCCCTGAAGCTTCAGAGTGGGCGACCGGCGGACGACCTCCGATCCGTCCAGCTCCATGCATACGTGTACTCCAGGTGCCATTACAGGCTGAGGATAGCTGTGTCACACAGAGAGATACCGGGACAGGCAAGTCTTATTATCTCTAGATGTTTATTTCTTTATTCCTCTCTCTTTATCTCTTGTGCTCTCTCTTTCTCTCTCATGCTTTCTCTTGTTTTCTCTCTCGCTCTCTTTTTCTCTTGCTTTCTCTTGCACTCTCTCTCACTCTCTCTCACTCTCTCTTGCTAAATCTCTTTCACTCTCTCTCTCTCCCTGTCTCTCACTCTCCCCGCCCCACTCTCTCTCTCGCTCCCTTGCGATACCATATCTCATTGACTTTAGGCAGCCATATTGTTCCACGTCTGTCTGTTCCTCTCTCTTTCTCTCTCTTGCTTTCTCTTTCACTCTCTTTCCTTATCTCTCACTCTCTCTGCCTCACCCACTCTCTATCTCTCTCAAGGTACTATATCTCATCAACTTTAGGCAACCATATGTTTCCACAACTGTCTGTTTCTAGCCCTTGTCACTTAATGAGCTCCATTCTCTGATCTTCAGGCGCGGATCTACGGGGGGGGGGGGTTTAGGGGGTTTAAACCCCCCCCCCCCCCCCTTGGGCGGCCCAAAAAACAAAAAAAAAAAAAAAAAAAGGAAAAAAAAAGAAAAAAAGAAAGAAAAAAAGAAAGAAAAAAGAACGCACGCTGGAGAGAAACCCTTTCAAGTGCAAATATTGTGAGAAGATATTCAACTCATCTGGTAACTTAACCAAACACATGATAACTCTGGATATAACTGTGTATTAAACTGTTACTTGATTTAAAAAGACGTTATCATGCACTGCTTTTTATGGTCTCCATTGTGTTAATAGATGCCAGGAAAACATCCCTTACGGGGTTCAAATAAACACCCCCAAAAAAATCGGTTCGCCGCTTCGCGGCTCGTGGACTATGCTCCGCATCGTCATTATTTTGGTCAAACCCCCCCCTTAGCAAAAAGCTAGATCCGCCCCTGATCTTTCACTCCCCTGTCTTTCACCCATCTCTGCTGACTATCCATTCATCGCACCCTTCTCCTTCCCCTACTCTTTCCATTTTATCTTTCGTAGCAGTACCATATGCTCCTATCCTCCGATATGTATCAAGTGTCCCATAATCTCATTTGCATAATCCTTAGCTCATAAACAGCAGTAATTGAGTTTGAGCTTGAGAAAGATGTGAGCAGATCATTAAAGTTGAAGAGTGAATAGGGAAGAGTGTAGTTCTGAGAAAAAAAAACTGTTGGTATTCATCTATAGAGTAGTTCTGAAAGTTCTGAAAGATTTTAAGGCGACAGGATTGTTTCATGAAAAGGATAATATTTGTCGGTAAATTGAGCTTATATTAATCTTTAAAGATTTATGGTATTGCAAAGTTTCAAGTAAACAGACCCTGAGTTTTTTATGAGACAAGATATCCGTCTCATTTTAAGTCTTAAAATTTTGTATTTGTATATAAAGCACTTAAAAATATAAAATATGTATCGATTACCATAAATTTCATTGTTTTAGAGAGGAATACTTCAGTCATTGTTTACTCTTCTTGGTTGTAACTCTTTGAACTTATTTTAACATGCAGGCACACAAAATATGTTTGATGATTGATGGAAGAAAAAAAATTGTCTTAAAAGCCTATAAATCAACAGTTCTTAGCCACACAAAAAAAACAACAACTAAGTAATCAGAGTTGATAGTGTGAAATACGCTTTTTTTTACTGCTTTTGCTTCAATATACAGTGTTACCATGGTGAAACTGAGTAAACACATGTCATCAATGCTGTGAAACTTGGGTTATCACATTTTATGTTTACCTGTAATCTTTGTACATGGGCAAAGGTCTTCTTCTGTATATTTGAATGGCAGTTGTGCAGGTGGTAATGTAGATTGTAAGAATGAAACAACTTGTGCTTGTACATATGTGTACAAAATGTTACATACTGCGGTGGTCTGCCTTTTACATGAAAAGCTTCTTGTGCAATGTTTGATAGTACTAATATATGGCATACAAGGAATCTAGAAACGACTGTATTTTTATGTTTTAATATTTAATATTTGTTTATTATTTTTTACAAAAAGATATCTACCAAGAGTTTGCATCTGTTTTAGGAAATAAATTGAAATATTGGCATACTGTAGCAGGCCTCGAATTACATCAAATTTGGGTCAAGGCCACTTTTTCGAGAGGGCACAAATCCACTGAAAGGGGCACAAATCTATCCTAAGGGGCACTAAGGCCAACGTGGAAAGTGCGTGTAAAATCACCTCACGCCGTTGTTTTCAAGGTGTGGGGGGGGGGGGGGATATGTGCACCCAGGGGCGGATCCAGGATTTCTTCCTTAGGGGGGGGGGGGCCCACTTTTTTTTTTTGTCCCCCAAAAAAATCGCAACGACTCAGCCAGCCGCTGAATAAGCGGGGGGGGGGGGGTAAGAGGGGGGGCGTACGTGCCTGCTCGTCTGAATACAGTTCCCCTCCCCCCGCGCAAAGCGCGGAAGCTTTTACGTTTCATTAAATCATTAGAGAAAGAAGAGGATTCGTTGTACCGTTTTTTACTCTTAATCCTCGTCTAAATTCATCCCCCCCCCCTCCCCCGCAAAGCTCGGAAGCTTTTACGTTTCATTGAATCATTAGAGAAAGAAGACGATTCGTTGTCCCGTTCTCGACTCTTAATCCTCGTCTGAATTCAGTTCCCCCACCTCCTGCGCGATCGAAGCGCGGAAGCTTTGACATTTAATTTGATTATTAGAGAAACAAGACGATTCGTTGTACCGTTCTCGAAAATAATCCTCGCCTGCATGAATACAGTTTTCCCCTTCCCGCGCAAAGCGCGGAAGCTTTTATGTGTCATTAAATCATTAGAGAAAGAAGACGATTCGTGTGTGTGTGTGTGTGTGTGTATTTGGGTTTTTACAGACGTGTATCAATCAGATATGATTATTTACGTCTGGGGACCGACTTTTAACGTCACCATCCGAAAGACGTGACTCAGTTTCGAACCTGCGTTCTCGGCTGAATCAGTTTGTAACTTCCACTGTTAGCTGGATTACAGGCGCACGCCACAACGCCTAGTTTGTGACGATTCGTTGTACCGTTCTAGACTCTTAATCCTTGTCTGAATTTCAAAAATGTTTTTTGTCTGCTCCTTTTTCTTCCTACGTCCTCTTCCTTTTCTCTCCTCTCTTTTTTTGGCTTTTTTTTGGGGGGTGCCCCCATTCCCCCCCCCCCCCCCCCCCGGCTACGTGCCTGCTGTCAGATGAACATCTTTTGATACCTTGTTCGCCCCCGGAAACTCATGGGTTGAAGGCAAATTACGGTCAGATAAGCATTCAGGGGCCCGCCTCAGGGCCCCTGGTGGAGTCTAGGGTGCGGAAACCCCTGAATTTCAGGGGGTTTCAGGCATTTGATTACGGTCAGATGAACATATTTTTATACCTTATTTGTGACACTGGCAGGATACTGATTGGCGTGAGGTCCAGCGGGCGGAGCCCCCAGAAGCCCATGGGTTTAAAGCATTACATTACCGTCAGATTAGCATCCAGTGGGGTCCAGGGGGCAGAGCCCCCGGAAGCTCAGGGGTTTAAGCATTTGATTACGGTCAGATGAACATGTTTTTATACTTTATTTGTGACACTGGCAGGACATGATTGGCGTGAGGTCCAGCGGGCGGAGCCCCCAGAAGATCAAGGGTTTTAGGCACTAAATTGCAGTCAGATGAGTATCAAGAGGCCTGCCAAAGGGCCCTTGGTTGGGTCCCGGGGGCAGAGCCCACGTAAGCTCAGGGGTTTTAGGCGTTTAATTACGATCAGATGAGCAATTTTTGATACCTTATTTTGTTGAGAAACTGGAAGTTAACTATTTTTTCTTTCTTGCTCTCTTTCTTTCTATTTCTCTTTAAAATGCCTTTCAAAAAAAAATTGGGGGGGGGGGGGGTGCTGGAGGGGGGTGGTAGTTTCTCCCTTTGACGTTTCATTGAAGAGAAAGAAGATGATTCGTTGTACCGTTCTTGACTCTTTATCCTTTTTTGAATTCCAAGGGAAGCGCGGAAGCTTAAACGTTTTTAATAAATTATTAGGGAAAGAAGACGATTCGTCTCGATCTCGACTACCGGTATTATCCTTTTCTGAACTCAATTCACACCCCTCCCGCGCGATGGGCGGAAGCTATGACGTTAATTAAAACGTATGGTAAAGAAGACGATTCTTTGTACCGTTATCTCGACTCTTAATCCTTTTCTGATTTAATTCCAGACCCTCCTCCCGAGAAAAATCCAAGTTTTTCACTGATTAAAAACTGTGAAAACGCACCAAAAAAGGTCACAACGCGAAGTAAAGATGTTGAACCAACGATGGGTAAACAAAACTTCCCGATATTGATTGGTTCAAATAAAAAGGATGGATTGCAAAACTAAGCCTGAGTCATTACGGTTTTTGTGCCAAACGTTTCAGTCATTTGGATGAAGACATTCTTTCATATCTCCGTATCGGCAATTAAATCCCGCAAATTAATTTAGGAGTTCCATAGTGAAAATTAAGTCTCGCCAATAATTATTGTTTTAGATCTCCGTAGGGGCAACAAAACCTTCCGGTAATTATTGTTTTTAGAGGTCCGTAGAGGCAACTAAACCTTGCCGATAATTATTGTTTTTACAGCTCCGGAGGGGCAACAAAACCTTCCGGTAATTATTGTTTTTAGAGCTCCGGAGGGGCAACAAAACCTTACGGTAATTATTGTTTTTAGAGCTCTGTAGGGGCAACAAAACCTTCCGGTAATTATTGTTTTTAGAGCTCCGGAGGGGCAACAAGACCTTGCCGACTACTATTGTTTTTAGAGCTCCGTAGGGGCAACAAAACCTTCCGGTAATTATTGTTTTTAGAGCTCCGGAGGGGCAACAAAACCTTGCCGACTAGTATTGTTTTTAGAGCTCCGTAGGGGCAACAAAACCTTCCGGTAATTATTGTTTTTAGAGCTCCGGAGGGGCAACAAAACCTTGCCGACTAGTATTGTTTTTAGAGCTCCGTAGGGGCAACAAAACCTTCCGGTAATTATTGTTTTTAGAGCTCCGGAGGGGCAACAAAACCTTGCCGATAAATATTGTTTTTAGAGCTCCGGAGGGGCAACAAAACCTTGCCGACTTTTATTGTTTTTAGAGCTCCGGAGGGGCAACAAAACCTTCCGGTAATTATTGTTTTTAGAGCTCCGGAGGGGCAACAAAACCTTGCCGAATATATTTATTTTTAGAGCTCCGTAGGGGCAACAAAACCTTCCGGTAATTATTGTTTTTAAAGCTCCGGAGGGGCAACAAAACCTTGCCGACTATCATTGTTTTTAGAGCTCCGGAGGGGCAACAAAACCTTGCCGACTATTATTGTTTTTAGAGCTCCGGAGGGGCAACAAAACCTTGCCGATTATTATTGTTTTTAGAGCTCCGTAGGGGCAACAAAACCTTCCGGTAATTATTGTTTTTAGAGCTCCGGAGGGGCAACAAAACCTTCCGATAATTATTGTTTTTAGAGCCTCGGAGGGGCAACAAAACCTTGCCGACTTATCATTGTTTTTCGAGCTCCGGAGGGGCAACAAAACCTTCCGGTAATTATTGTTTTTAGAGCTCCGTAGGGGCAACAAAACCTTCCGGTAATTATTGTTTTTAAAGCTCCGGAGGGGCAACAAAACCTTGCCGACTATCATTGTTTTTAGAGCTCCGGAGGGGCAACAAAACCTTGCCGACTATTATTGTTTTTAGAGCTCCGGAGGGGCAACAAAACCTTGCCGATTATTATTGTTTTTAGAGCTCCGTAGGGGCAACAAAACCTTCCGGTAATTATTGTTTTTAGAGCTCCGGAGGGGCAACAAAACCTTCCGATAATTATTGTTTTTAGAGCCTCGGAGGGGCAACAAAACCTTGCCAACTTATCATTGTTTTTCGAGCTCCGGAGGGGCAACAAAACCTTCCGGTAATTATTGTTTTTAGAGCTCCGGAGGGGCAACAAAACCTTCCGATAATTATTGTTTTTAGAGCCTCGGAGGGGCAACAAAACCTTGCCGACTATCATTGTTTTTAGAGCTCCGGAGGGGCAACAAAACCTTCCGGTAATTATTGTTTTTAGAGCTCCGGAGGGGCAACAAAACCTTCCGATAATTATTGTTTTTAGAGCCTCGGAGGGGCAACAAAACCTTGTCGACTATCATTGTTTTTAGAGCTCCGGAGGGGCAATAAAACCTTCCGGTAATTATTGTTTTTAGAGCTCCGGAGGGGCAACAAAACCTTCCGATAATTATTGTTTTTAGAGCCTCGGAGGGGCAACAAAACCTTGCCGACTATCATTGTTTTTAGAGCTCCGGAGGGGCAACAAAACCTTGCCGATAAATATTGTTTTTAGAGCTCCGGAGGGGCAACAAAACCTTGCCGATAAATATTGTTTTTAGAGCTCCGGAGGGGCAACAAAACCTTGCCGACTATTATTGTTTTTAGAGCTCCGGAGGGGCAACAAAACCTTGCCGACTATCATTGTTTTTAGAGCTCCGGAGGGGCAACAAAACCTTCCGGTAATTATTGTTTTCAGAGCTCCGGAGGGGCAACAAAACCTTGCCGACTATCATTGTTTTTAGAGCTCCGGAGGGGCAACAAAACCTTGCCGACTATCATTGTTTTTAGAGCTCCGTATGGGCAACAAAACCTTTTTCGGGTTGGCTTACGATGACTATAATGTCGGCAAAACTTTTGTGGATTAAAATATTGTGGCCGTAAACGGTTTGATTTTGAAAAGGGCATTCCGGCCAGTGAGAGGGGCATGGCGGCAAATTGCCGATTGCCGGTGGGTAATTCGAGCCCTGCTGTAGGTGAGCAGAAAATGCCCAAGATATGGAGATGGAGAGCAGTTTTCAACTGTAAAGCTTTAAAAGAGCTCATGAAATTGAAAATGACCTTTGGTAAATCAAACTAGCCCAGTACATTAACATCACTGAGGTAAGAGTCTACTTTACAAACTTATTCAAGGAGAGTTCTCATCAACACATCAACAGATATTTTTTTACTCTGAAATTGTATTTTCAATGATTAGAATATCTAGTTATTCACTTGCAGAATTCAGATTGCTTCTTGGTTCAATATTTGTTTGTCTAAGAGTCCCAAATGAATCCATCAGATATTACATGCACCAAAGTTCATAAGGATCATATTTCAAATCAAATTAAATGAGATTTTAATTTATATATTGTAAAAACAAAACAAAACAGAGGATGGCACATGAGATACACAACTGAAAACAGAGTATGATTGCCCTTTGTTCTATGAAAACGTAAATAAGATGACGACTTTGAAAACCCAATAAAAAAAAAAATAAAAAAAATCCTCACTATTTGATTTGTTTAATTTTTTAAAAATGCAAATGGCATACAATACATATTACAATAAACATGTGTACCGGTATATGTTTTCATTCATTTTGATAAGAGATTTGACACATTCAAATTGCTGATTATCATTTTTTTTTTTTTAAAGTCCGTCAATTAAACTTTTATTCAGTTAATTGTAATATGTAAACTTCCCAAATGCTCTAGTTTTTCAAACTAACATAGTAACATAGATATTTCATTTTCTGATCTTGTCATAGTTAAAGACTTCCTGATGGCTCTCAAATGTACCTAAACAAAACTATTTGCATAATTTGGTAAACGTGAATGTATCCACACATATACACGTAGGCCAACAATCGGACAGGCTAAAATTCAGATTGATAAACTGATTGTAGCATTTAGATTTAAGATAAACATTAGAAAGATCAAGGAGGATATAGCTGGTATCTCTTTGGAAAGATCAAAAGAACTCATTTTGCATGATTATGCCTGTACATGTGTGTTCTTAGCTATTGTATTTCTCCAGAACCATTAAATATCTATGTAAAAAAGCTATTTTGACTTTTATGAATAAAATAATTTTTGATTGCATATAGGCCTTTATTCCATTTAAAACTACACATTAGTTTCATTTAACTTTTTGAAATATATATGTTTTAGATAATGTACTATTATTTCTAATTTTCTACACACTCTTTGTATATACGGTATTTATTATTAAACAGCGAAGCATTTAAAAGCACATATAATGTAACTCAAATATAATAGTAGACATAATATATAGAATAAGTGCTGGGGAGTGTTTCACAAAGATCCTAAGTCAATCTTAACTCTAAGTTAGACTTCAACATTATGGAGAGCCATTTGTAGCCTTAGAATAAAATATACTGGTATTCAAAAGCGAAAATTCAAGTATTTTAGACTTTTTTATAAATTCCCTGTCAAGAACATGAAATCTCTTTGATAATAGAAAATACGAATGATTTGAATCAACGTTTTATGCCTTTTAAAATAACTTTTACAAAATACTTTCAAAGATGCTAATGGCTTTCCATAATTTCTAAGCCCAACTTAGGATCTTTGTGAAACACCCCAGCTGTGACAGCTACTTTTGCTCTTGAGCTTGTTGAAGAGACTCAGCCAATCTCAAAGGCATGAGTACAGATGTATTCCCAAGTGACATTGTACGTTTCCTTCTAAACTTTGTCGATGCCGGAGCTGTCAATGGCTCCTGTCTAAGTTTTCCTTGTGCCATAGGTGCGTCCGTCATTCCACTGGTGGTCCTACGCACTTCAGGGAAACGCGACCTCATGGCACTCAAGACGTTAAATTGCATTTCTTGCGTTCCTGATTTGTTCTGCGTTGTTTGAGGCTGTGCAGTGCTGATGAAGCGGTGTTGATGAGAGGACTGGCTCGGTGTCAGTGGATTGATTTTAGTTTGCGTGTTCGTCCTCTCAAGTTTCTTAGTCTGATTGAGTTCATTACTGAAGGACTCTCTTCTGATCAACTGCCGTTGTCCATTGGGTCCGGGTTTGCTGTCTCTGCGCTTCAGATGGCTCTCACTCCCTCTCCTCTGTACCCTCCCTTTTCCCTGGACACTGTTGGCTTGAGCCTGCTTCTGACGCTCCTTCTCCCGCTGACCGAAGTCGTAGAGGTCCATCTGAGGGAAGAAACCCTGGTAGGCACTGTCCGTGACGTGAAGCCTCCGCAGTCTCCGCTTCAGCATGATGTCTTCAAGCTCTTCCTCCTCCTTCTCACCATCCTCATGATCGTCATAGTCGTCACCCAGCAGTTCTTTCTCCATGGCTATAGCCTCTTGGTGCCTCCTGCGTTCCTCGATCATCAGCTCCCACTTGAGCATATGACGATCCTGATCCCTCGCGAACTGATCCTGTTCATTGTACACTTTCCGACTAGGCACATAGTCGTAGTAGGAGAGAACCCGCTTCTCCTTTGGCTTGTTCTGCTTGAGAATAGGCTCTGTATGGCTGAGGAGCGACTGGTAGGCTCGTGCGACCACAGGCTCTGGCAAGGTGTTGGAGCCTGCCACCAAGTACTTCAGATGATCCTTGTCCCAACCCATGATAGCTGGACAGCTAGCTCTTCGTCCCCGCGGAAAACGACCAATACTCTGTGAAGTCACGGTACTGCAATCATCTCTTTTCCTTTCATTCTGATGGTCCCTACTTTGCTTATTCCCGATCGGAGGTAACGCAAACTCGATGGACGTGTCAGAACCACTGACGACAGAGTAAAACTCTGACTCTGATAATGATTCTACATCTTCATCGCTCTCCTCTTTTATAGCAGCCATTTCGGTTCCTTATCAGTGTTTGTTGTCTGTAAAAGGTTTACAAGATTAATTCAAGGGTAGCAATTGGGAGTAATCACAGCACAATACAAACATTACAGAGATAGTGGCACGCATTGTTAAATTTCCAGTTCTTTTGGTTTTCCTAAAGGCTCCAAAGTCCAGACCCGTACATGCAGGAGGGTTTCTTCAGATGTTTTTGCAGTAAACTGAAGAGTTTTAGATTGATAATCTGTTAAGAATCCAATCACTGTTTTCAATGTCCTTGCATTTAATACAGGTATGTAACAAATGCATCCAAAATAACTCCAATGATTTCCCAGTGCTCTAGATAGATGATTTTCAAATGGCTTGACTTATTAAGCAGTTTAGTGCTCTTCCCTCCGTCATCAGTCTTTTATCGGCTGTGGATTGAAGGCGAAAGAAAATTGATGTAAGGGTTCCACTCCCAGTAGGTTGCTTCCTCGATGAAATGAGCATCTCATGTGTTTATTGTTCCAAGAACATTCCACTATGTGCAAGAAAATTGCATCAAACATACAGAATTTATGACTTTCTGAGTGGTCTGAATGTTTCATAGCTCTCTGTCTGTTTACATGAATGTTCCACATTTATAGCCAGTTGTGATTTATAGAGGTGCCGGCCGGCATCATGAATCATGTTCTTAGCCTTCAAAAAATAATTGCAGAAAGGTAGTTGATGAGTTCACCAGACAACAGTACCTATGGAAGTGGAGAGATATGAAAATTACTGTGTGCAGATATTGATAATTTTATAATTTTTTTAAATTATAAGTATGCTACTGACCTGTGACATAATTGTACTATTGATCTCTCATATATCATACATAAAATATTACATATGCTTTTAGACTGCAAATTCTGCTTCTGGTTCTTAATTCTCCTCAAAGTTGCACAACTACTTCTAAAACAGTAAATGATTGGAACGGATAAACTGTAGACTGCCGACTTGAAGTAAAATTAGTCCGGATTATTGTTATTGTCACTTTGAATGACGATCAAAGTTATTGCTGGTGCTATCACTTTCAGTATTACACGTTCCCTCATTTGGCTGAATTTGTTAGTTACAAAACTTTTTCTGTATACACTTTTGATCAGTCAAGTTAATTTAGTGCTTCTGATTCTAATGTTCCTTTGTCTGTTGTCTGTTACGGCAAAAAATCATAATTAATCTTCAAACTTACCATTAATTGGTACGTCTGACTCAGCAATATCTCCTGTTTCGCAACTGACCATCTCTGCAAATTTCTAGAGCCGAAAGTATCTTGCCGAATTGTTGAGCTTTCAAATCCCACTCGGGGCTTTGTGTTTAATCCCCTCCTCCAGTTCGTCAATTGTCACTAGGGTGCTAGCCAGTGGGGAGATAAACACCAGGTCCAAAGAAACACAACGATTGTTCAGGGCATTCCTTTCACTATTTCAATCATTATATAAACTGCCCCTTGTAACCCAAGCTTGTTTGTAAAAGCAAATAAATCAGAGCCTGTGACAAAAGATGAGGAGGAAGTATTTCAGTTGAGTGGGCACATTGAGAATATGTCATAGTGTGATGGTACCGTTATATTCTAAATACAATAATCAAATAGTCTGGAGGCTTTTCTTCTCCCCCTCCCACACTTCTCTATTTTTATTTCTCTCTTCTTCAAATAAAATATACTTTGAAATGATCTAATGATGATAAGTAAATTTGATGATTTTTCTACTTTATTATATTTTAATCTCTATTATTTAGTACTATACTATTCCTTGGTTCCTAGTTGCACTTTAATGAAAAAAGTAGATTTCAGCTTAAAGATAAGCTTGCGTTCTAGTAATGATGGAAAATAAATTCTCAAAAAATCCAACAAAACTTACACTGAATTTTCAATATTACAAATAAATGACATGTGCCAAATGATTTTGGTAGAAAATGTGTAGGGGCTGAGTAATGAGCATAGAAAGATATGGAAAGCAAGGTCCATGTAAATACATGTAGGCCTAACATCATTTAGTTCACTATGTACAAATGAGAGTCGTGGTTTTTATTGAAGATGATTTTCAGCAAACGTTTGTGAGTTTGTTTTTATTTTAACAATCAATCTACACTGTACTGCAGGATAAACAATCCAGAATGAATTATAGCCATGTTCTCTCGACATACAATGCCCATACTAGAGCTCAAGATTAGCTTTAAGAGGATTTAGTATTTGAGATGCTTACATGGACTTGAAGATTTTGTAATCTTCTATATTGACTGAATTTATAAAAGAACGAGATTATTCTCAAGCTGACTGCATCAGCAATGTAACCATGGAGTGTGCAGGAGAGACCATGAGAGAGAGAGAGAGAGGAAGAGAAAGAGGGGGAGAAATAGGGAGACAGAAATATAGTAAATGGGAAAAGAGAGCAATGGTAATTGAGAAAGAGAGAGGCAGAGAGAGGTAGAGAGAGGTAGATATAGAGAAGGGGGATTTAGATATTCAGGGTGTACATGTATATTTCCTTTTATGCAAATGTATGCAAACAAAAAATGCTACAAGTAATTTTTTTTTGGATAAAGATATTATATTTTGGTAATCATGAAAGTTGGCCACAATGAAAGTTCTAAGCTCCAGCTGTATGATATTGTGTATGTTTTTAAATACCATGAAAAATTCTCTTTCATGCACCACTTGCTAAAGCTCGAACTGAAGGGGCTTACCAAAGCACCTACATGAATTGTTCAATGATCTAACAATAGATGGTGAAGAAACCAAAAACATCACAAGTGATGCAAGATCGTTTTTATCTGGCTTCCTTACTTTAACTGCCGCTGAAACCTTTAAAAAAAGGCCATGAAAGTAGTCTTATTGTCAATGGTACATGTAAATAACCTCCAAACAATCTTGTCTTTTTAAAGTAATTGCCCATTAGGTCTTGCACAGTGAGGTTTATATGATAAAAGCATGTGGGTATGAGATGTTTGTTTTCCCTTTCAAAGTTCCAATGTCTGTTTTCCTTCTAAATATTTTCCTTTTGAATGTTTGTTTTCCCCCTTTTTCAATATTTACTGAGAATAAAAACCTAATTTGATGGTTTGCTTTGCTTAGACATTCATTAAAGCTGCTTAAAGAGAAGGTTGAGTTCTGGGAAGAGGTGAAAAATAATTTGTGAGCATTACTCATTCTTATTATGCAAGTGTGGAAGAACATCAGTTAAGACATGTTCCCTGAAAAGCATGGCTCTTCAAATGCCTTCATATTCTTAATATGCATGTAACATCGTAAAAATCGGGGGGGGGGGGGGGGGCAGCTTTTTACGCCACGTGTTCATGTAGTCCCATATACATCTTTCTGTGCAAGTGTTTGTAACTTTACCAAGACTTGGCCAAATTTCTTATCATTTTCATGATTCCAGAACCTTGCAATACACACAAATTCATATATATGCTAGATGATCAACCTTTTCTGGTCGGTTCCACACCATTTCTTTCACAATGCAATCGCATGACCAGAACTCAACTTCATCTTTAACAAATAGATGGGTGGTTGAAAGAAAGGTTTACAAAAGAAAGGAATGTTGAAGATAAATACATGCAATTGGATTGGATGAGTACACATATGATAGTCAAACAAATCGACCCTGGAGCTATAAATCATCATGCCAACCAAATATCATATGTGGGTATGCAATTCCTTTCCTTCATATGCAGATCTCCCATAGATTGTCTTAGAAAGTAAAGGTATTACATGTAATTTTATATTTTAAAACTCTGTAAAATTATCTTCATATTTGAACACTGTAATAACAAGAGCTACAGTAGATGAAAGAGTACATGAAAACTTATATTTAACTTTTGTGTATCTCATTACATCAATTATGTGTATGCATGAACCCTTATTTGCATTAATTGTTTGTATTTTCTTCTGCTTTCATTCTTGTATTGCAGCTGATGCGTTTCTATGGCAACCTGTTGCCCAGCTTCGTGGTGGTTGTAGCTCTCCTGGTTGTCTCCTTCAGTTTGAACAACCTTGTAATGCAGAGTAAGTTTCTTCATTACCGTAGTACTCATCGTCATCGGTAAGAGATGAGATGAGATAGGAATGGGGTGCTTCTTAGTTTTACCAGGCTTCCTTTACAACTTGCATCTATCCAAATCTGATGAACAAACACCAGACACCATGAGCTGGAAGGATGTTACTAGGCTATTGCATTCCCCAATCAAATATAATTTGTAGTGTGACTTTATGCAACTTTGATTGTTTCTTTTTATAAACATTTATGTATTTATCAATGTTTTACGTTTAAAAGTGATTTTTTTTTGTATTACTGAATCAGTTATTGTTATTGTTGTTTTTTTTTCTCATAAAATAATATTTCATAATAATTACTTTTACAGGGGGGCTTACACCCTACAAGCTCTGCTTTTCAGTCGGCCCTCCTTCCCTTTCAATTTTATGTTTATTTGTTTAATGTTTTGTATTTTGCAAATTGATCTCTATGTATATAAATATGTGAATATGTTAAAATGTACCATCATTATAAATATGAACGATCGAAAGAGGAAAAATAAATGAATTGAATTAAAACTCAGTTGTGAGATTTCAAGCCTTTCTGTCTCCCAGCCATTGTTCATGAATATTTGAATATTATATCCACTGAATAATAAGTCTATTACTACATGTTTTTGCTCTGTTCTATTTGTAAATATAGTAGTAACTGCTTTCGCATAAAAGAGATTTTTTGAATAGTTCATTTAAATTTCCAACAAGATGAATTCTCTTCTTTGAATCACAAGAATTTAGAAATGATTTCTAAATGAATACTGATATGATTCTTTGCCTAAGGAATTCATTGAAAATGTTTGATTTAATATGTATTTTTGTAGAATTTGTATGTCTTTTAAATATAGCGAGGTATCGTTTCTTTCTGTAATATTCATTGACAGAAACTATGGCTTGTTTCAATTGTTTGTATGATTTACTTGTGGATATTATAGTGATGTACTGTTAATTTTCTCATTTTGTTTTCTTGACAGAGCCTGTAGAGTCCTACATCATGACACAGTCCACACACTGCAAGCCATTCATTGTGGTCCCGTTCATTACCATGCTAAGAAAAATCATTCCGCACATGTGAGTACCTATGTAGATTGTGTCACACGCAAAAAACCAAGATCATTATTGCATGTCTAACACATGTGTGTAGCTTAAAGGTATAGATCCGTTCTGGCCATGCGATTGCATTGTGAAAGAAACATTGTGGAATCGATCAGAAAAGGTTGATCATCAGCATAAGTATTGGTGGGTACTGCAAGGTTCTGGAATCATCAAAATGATAAGAAATTTGGCCTAGTCTTGGTAAAGTTACAAGCACTGTACACAGAAAGATGTAAATGGGACTACCCTATATCTATCCAGTCCGGATAGATATAATAATTTACCAAATACATTAATTAGAAGGTGGTTTCCCGGCAAAATTTGTATCATCACGTATTAGTCAAAACATATTCTTTCACATGATTGGTAATAAGAGCTTCCATTTCATTTTTTGAGAGGGGGCGTTTCCAAAACTGGTCTTTACCTTTAATGAGGACTGTTCATGTTGTCAAATAAACCTTAACTCGGGAATTGATGTTGACTTGAATTTTAGAATGCAAGTTTTTCAAGAAAATACAGATTTACATTTTTTGAAGGAAAAATATTATTTAAAGATCATAATTGAGAGACCAATGGTGATTGCAATGAGTGGCATGAATGGCCTGCCATAGTTAAGTCCAACTTATAGTCGATCTTAGACTTTGTGTAACACCCCCCTGATCATATAGTTCAGATTCCAAGTCCCAGTTGCTGCACTAATATCTTTTAAAAAGACGTTAATCATTAGTCACTCTCCACCCAGGTCTAACAAAGGTATCCCTCAACTTTCAACGCCTTTGGGTAGATGGGGAAACAGCCAGGATAATAGTAGTACAGTCAAACCTGCTTCAGTGACCACCTGTACAGAAAGACCACCAGTCTACAAAAACCACATTTCTTGTTTCCCTTGAAAACGGTTTTTCATTGAAACATGTATTAAAGGAACCTGTCTTCAAAGACCACCTGTCTACAAAGGCCACTTACTTTCTTGTCTCCCTTGGGTGGTCTTTATAGACAGGTTTCACTGTATGAATAATGTAATAATACAGTTTGCATTATCATTTCTTGACAGATACGCCCCTCTGGACGAGGCAGACAACTTCAAGGTACTGGACGACCAGGGTATCAACTTTGGCATGCTACCCATCGTATTCTTTGTCTTTGGTTATGGAATATTGACCATCTTGGCAGGCCTCTTGGAGATGGATGTTCTCTTCTTTGGAAAGATTCTCTCACTCGTCAAAGGGTAACTAAAACTTGGAATTATATTCTTATCAATAAAACATTATTTTTTTTCCCCCTCCTCCTGCTTAGGTAGCTCTATAGTGAAAGAAAGAAACATAATGTACAGTCAAACCTGCTTTACTGACCACCTGTATATAAAGACCACCTGTCCACAAAGACCACAGTTCTTGTATCCCTTAAAAATTGGTTGTTCATTGAAACATGTATTAAAGGAACCTGTCTACAAAGACCACCTGTCTATAAAGGCCACTTTTCTTGTCTCCCTTGAGTGGTCTTTATAGACAGGTTTCACTGTAATAGGAAATTGAACTAGGTTCAGTCGCTTGACCCTCAATCCAGAGGTTGAGGGTTCAAAGCTCTGCCCAGTGGGTATGACCCAAGAAAAGACATTTTATCGTAAGATATCCCTCTTGAACAATATTAGATGGGTACCTGGAAAGAGAAAACTCATGCGAGCATAATAAGAGTAGGCAAAAATTAATGTAATATTGGAATGCCTTGCACTTTCTTGTTGTTTTTATTACAAAAGAAACACTTACTTTTCTTTGGTGTTTTAATTGTTGTTGTTGTTTTAAAGAAATCCTACTATGTTTTCCTCATTAGATCTCATACCCAATCTATGCATGAACAATTATTTTCCTTTCGTCCTTTGTTAATACTTACAGAACGAGTATCGATGCTGACAGCACCCCTTATACCGGTAGTCTGGGGTACTCTCTGCTCCTCTATGCAATCCTAGGGGGTCTCATGGCGGTCTGTGTGGGCTCCTGTGGGGCTGTGGTGCTCCTGGTATTAGTGGTGCTCTATCTACTAAAGGTCGTCGCACTTCAGGCTAGGGTCCTTGTGTTAAAGGGATGCCTCAATCTGGTATATTTAACATTACATTTCTTCAAATATTTGGTAATCCATTTCAAAATGCAATGAATAGGCAATGTACAGTACATAAAATACAATTTATGTTCTGATTGTAAATGCTACATATTGTAAACGTTAATAGAGTCCATTGAGTGTTCCGAGTGTGATTCTTGTATCATGCTGATTTTGTATTTTTGATATAATATTTTATTTCCCCCCGTAGGTATAGAATTGAATTTAGTCATAAAACATGCCACTAATTAAAAGAAATGTTCTGAAGAATCTGCTTTCAAACCAGAATATTTTATTACTACCAGGGCTTGCCCTTAACTTTTTGTCGAGGTGGCCAGCAGGGCCACTTGAGCAGGAGATCTGGGTGGCCAAATGGAATTTCAGGTGGCCCGGATATTTAAAAATCGGCAAATTTGTGGTTAAAAAAAAAAAAAAAAAATCAGCCGAGTTTGATTAGGGACAAGATTTTTTGAGAGGGTTCTAGACATTGTTACATGCGTTTAAAAGGTCGTCTAGAACCCTCGGGGCCCCAGTACATCGATAAATTTAAAAAAAAAAAAAAAAAAAAAAAATTATTTTATTTTTTTAATTTAATTTAATTTTTTTGGTGGCCACCCGGGCCACCTAGTCGGTGATTTCAGGTGGCCCGACGCCATTTCAGGTGGCCATTGGCCCCGGGCCACCGCCAAATTCGAGCCCTGACTACACTTGTGATTAACCACGAAAGTAGTGTGTAAATGCAGTGGAATCCAATTATTTGATATTTCATGAAGGACACAGATACTTCTAATTTGATAAAAAGATCTGAATACATTAATAAGATAATAGAGATATGATAATATCTTTAAGATAATATAGATATCAATGTGACCTTTCGCAGTTGAATCCAATTATATTATAATCCATGAATGACACATATATTTCTACTTTGATTAAAAGGTCTGAATACATCAATGAAAGATAATAGAGATATCAATGTGATCTTCTTTCCCCCTCAACTTTCAGACAAACGATGCCATTGAAAAGGACAAAGATGTGAAGGAGATTGAACAGGAGAAAGATGGGAAGGAGATTGAAAAGGAAAAAGATGGGAACGAGGAAGAGACGAGTGTGAAATCTCAGGAAGATGAGACAGCAGCCAGCACTGCGGAGCCCTCCCCACCTACACCACCCTCCCCACCTACACCCTTAGATGTGGCCCAAACCAGTCTCCATTTCCATTTTGCTCTCATGGTCCTCACCCTTCTACTGGCTCTCCTCAATATACCGTCCCTCGCTTTCTGGGTGAAAAATATGCAGTAAGTTTTAATATTCTGAACCATTTAAAGTATTTTTATTTGTCTCCCAGCAAAGAAAGTCTATTTAGAACGCTATTATAGAAAAGGCCTATACATGTATTTTGTTTTCACTTGTATGCTGCCTTAAAAAATAGAGCACCACACTTTCACTGATTACTACATGTACACGTACACATGCCATTACCCCCTTCCCAGTTTATATCTAAGATGTTTTATGACTGTTCAATCAATTTACACATGTGTTTTTTCCTTGATGTAGGCATGACATATACAACCTTGAGAGAGACCCGGCTCTCTACCCCACCCTTGTGGTGATAGCAGCCCTGACTGTACTGCTGGATCCAGCTTACACCATTCCAAAGAAAGGGTAGGTTGACTCACTTCATCTCTTTTGCGTGTGTTTGCCCTTCCTTGTCATTGTATAGGGATACTGATTTTATAGAGGGGTTAAAGCCCCACTGCACTACTTATAGCTACTTGCGCCCTCTATATAGCAAACGATGCCTAATTGGAGACCAGTGGTCCCCCATGATCCCTTTTTCTTATGTTAATTGCGACCTGATTTGATGAGATAACCACCTGTCAGTGACCATTCAGGGAGGTCTAATCCCTCCTCGCCAAACTAGTGCAGTGGGGCTTTAAATTCACATTATCAAATATGCTTGCATGACTTAGTTTCAAGTGCTGTAACCCCTCCAGGGCTGAAAATAGTAGTTTTGTTGGTTACTACATACATGTACATGCCTCCAGAAGACAAACCATTCTTCCATCGAACTGCTCCAATACATGTATTCCCTAAGCTTTAGCACGCCACTTACATATGTATGCTGGTGCTTTCAGTATTCAAGGAATTCCTTTCATCCTGGTTCCCTTGAACTACACCTGGGTGGAGAGTGGCAAATATAGATTAATGTCTTGCCATCTATAGGACATACATGTACATCTCCATGCAAGTGCTGTACCCAGGCTTGAACCAACCCCTTTGAATCTCTCACCAGGCGTTCAAACCACTTTTCCATGACATCTCTGTATAATTTATTTTGATGATCCAGAAATATTGGATGAAAAGAAATCAGGTCAGATTAATACTCTTTCTAGAATTCAACATGTCATTAAAATACCTGCCAACCCTTGCTAGTTTGGAGGAATTAGTCCTATTTTGGCGTTGAAACTAATGTTCCGAACCTTTGGTTCCTCAAATTTCCTTAAACCAACTGTATGAAGTGCACACTAAGTAGAGTATATCCTATTTTTTTCTTGAGAAATTCGTTATTCCAGCTTTGAAAGGTTAGCATGTAATAATAATAATAATTATAGGCATTTCTATAGTGCCGTCTATCTAAAAAAAATTATTCCGAGGTGCATTTATTATTACTCCGGCTTTAGCCTAGCTGCCATTACAGCGCTCCAGCATTTCAAGGAATTAATTCCTGCCAGGTACCAATCTACCTCACCTGGGTCAAGTGTGGCAAATGAAGATTAATGCCTTGCCAAAGGACATTAGTGCCGTATCGGGGATCGGACCACGACCTTTGAGTTTGAAGTCAATTGCTTAAACACTTAACTACGACACTTTATTAATCTTGTACATGTATTCTTTATGTTTTGATCCATCATCACCAGGCTCATAACCAAAGGTCTCTCCTGGATAGTGCATGCCTTCACCCTGATCGCTCTACTGTATGCATCAGACGCTATGTATCGTCTCTCCTACCTCCTAGCATCAGCTATCTTCCTGGTAGCCGTCAACCAAGTCATGCCGTTATGATGATGGGAGCTTTTAGATTGATCTTAGAGAGAAAGAGAGAGAGAGAGAGAGAGAGAGAATCCTTCGTTCATTTGTCCTGTAATTTTTTGTTTGCGCCCTTCATGGACTAGGAGTTGTGAGACCGTTGATCTTAAATCCAGCAATAGTTCCAGAAGACTTTTGCAATGAAAATCTAAATTGATTAATTTCATTTCATTTCTTTTCTTTATTATGTCCATAAAGGATAATTTACAATCATACCCCTTGTAAATTTGATGTTATATGTAACTCAGGAATTAAAAAATGGACCGGTGGAATTAGGACCTTTGTTGAATACTTTTAGATATAAGCTTTAATATGTCACATTCTCACGAAACATAATTTAAAAATTACAAAACTTGGTAAGGGCATGAATAATTTAGTTGTTAACTGTATATGTAAATCCCGATTCACTGTTTGTCAGAAAAATTGAATTATTCACTTTCTTGATGAAATATTGTGCAGTTTGTTCATGAATGTATTCAAAGTTAGGGTGTTGTATCTCCAGAATCACCTATTGGTCCTTATTGATGATGAAGTATGGCATTTGCTTTAATCGCCAGTAGAATAGTTGTTGCTAGGTCAGGTAAACCTTTGTAAACCAGCCATCTTTGATCGGTACTGAGTGTGTAGAATTTGAATGCACTTGTGAAATACCAATTATCTATTTGTGTGTGATATGCAAATTGATATTTGATCAGATTTGCCAAATCTTAAAGCTGGATTGCATTTAAGCTCTGAACAATTATTGCTAGTTTTCAGATCAAGGGTCTTACATTCATCATTTTCATCTCTCATAGTACTTATATGCAATACTTGAGGCATTCCTGATTGATCAAAAACATTTACATTCTCTTTTAATACTCTGAATCTGCAAGTTAATTTTAGTTTTTAGTACACAAGCAAACTTGGACAACCTTTCTCCCCATAATTTGGCACAACAAAATACCTCTCATTTATTAACTATGAATTACTAAGTCCTTGTCTTATTTCAATCAAAACATACAGACATTTGTATTTATGTTATTTTTGCCAATTTTGTGATTTTCATATGGTGTAGTTATTCTGCTATTCTAATCACCTGAAATTCATGTTGTAACCATGAGAAATTGCTGTTATTGTGAGTATGCCGTCCTTGTTTGTCAAGTACACTTCTATTATGATCTCGTAATTAACACATTTTTAACACATTTTTAAAATTTAGAAGTAATTATGCTGTAGGCATTCCTGTTAACAAGTACTGTTATTCTGCTATATTTACATGTTTCTCTGCGAGGGATCGGCATTTAAATGCATTTTTATATTTCTATGCCGTTGTATCATTACTTCTCTTTTTACATATATATATATCCTGTTCCTTGTTAATGCATAAATTAAGCTGTATCTGACCCGATGGAAATGCATATTACTTTGATCAGTATTGCGTTTCCAATTTAAATTTGATATAAAATACAATCTATATAAATGGTGAATGGGAAAACAAACTTTTTAATCAAAATTAGTTTACTATAGAGTACCGGAATGTGACGTCATACTGGTCAAGGTTGCCAATTCAAAACAACTTTGTACTGAACAATGGCGTGGTGATCACACCAGCACCAAACACTGAATTTGCCCTGCTCCAGACCGTTGCTTGAGTGATTTTGCGGTGAACTTCAAGCCCAGGCTCTGCTGTTTAGAACCAGTAACCGGGACGACGAGTTAATATGATGTTACCACTTCAGTACTCTATAAGCATGGTAGGTAAAAAGAACATATGCATGGGAATTCTGGGGATAATTGCTATATAAATGGAAATTTAATTGTTTATGCTAGAAGAACACTAGGAGGAGAAAAAAAATTGTTGCACCATTTCAATACTGTGTTTTATATCAGCATGTTCATCATTAATACAAATGACAATCAACAATCCATTCCCTTTTTAAAATTTAATGTAAACCTAATTTTTTTGTTTTTTTATTGAAGTCATCACTATTTTCTGTGGAAGTCTGATAATGATATGTTTTGGTAGGTGTTGATATGTGTAATGTATGATGTTTGTAAATTGGCAAGTGTAGTAAAATCAACCACCGTCTCTTCAAAGGAAAAGTCCATGCTGGCATCAATTTAGCTTCAATGAAAACATGAAAATAAGAGAAATTGATCAATAATAGTTTAGAGAAAGTTGGTTGTAGTTTACATGTTGGTTGGGTAGCCAAGCCCTAGAGCAGACTCAGAATCGAACTTTAGGTTTCAATAGTTGAAGTGCAAACAACTTTTTTGATTGTATTGATAGCCATAAATCCTACCTCTTGAATTTTAAATGTTAACTCTTTAGTAATTATTATTTTCTATCTTCTTGATTTTGCACCGAGTTTCAATTATCTTGTATTCAGAGTAGAGATATAGTTTCACTAGATGGTGCAGTGCATGTATAGTGACACGATTATTCGTGACAAAGGGGTAAAGCAGCATTTGTAATAGACTATTAGTATCGTGACTTTGAGCACATTGATTGTCAGAAGGCACCACTGCCAGTTTAACAAATCAAATACAAGTTTACCAATATCTTGTAGGAAAAGGCCTGCTAATATTTAAAGGTAAAGACCAGTATTGGAAATGCCCCAATTTCAAAAAATGAATTGGAAGCTCTCATTACCAATCATGTGAAAGAATATGTTTTGACTAATACATGATAAAAAATTTGCCGGGAAACCGCCTACTAATTCATATATTTGGTAAATTTGTTTCTCTCATGGTCTGTGAGAGATATAGGGTAGTCCCATATACATCTTTCTGTGTATAGTGCTTGTAACTTTACGAAGAATGGGCCAAATTTCTTATCATTTTCATGATTCCAAAACTTTGCAGATGCTAGATGCTAGATGATCAACCTTTTCTGATCGATTCCACAACGTTTCTTTCACAATGCAATCACATGACCATAACTGGTCTTTACCTTTAACATCACAAGAAGGTAGTGAAATGATTATTTTTGACAAAAATGTTAAGCATTTGAAATGATTGTATTTATAATCTGAATGTATTTTACATCACTATTATTAGTCACAATAAAAAGATCAACAAATTTGCCAGTATGTGGAAGTGAAGGGAGTGTGCTTGTATTTTAGATACATGCATCACAATAGGACAGTGAAATGATTCTTCAGTTTGGACAACTTTTTGACAAAGGTGTAAAAGAGCATTTGCAATAGATAATAATTTGTGATTTGAATGAATTTTAGAATACCTACTAGTTTTGCAACATTAATAATTGTCTTTCGTTACGACAGCCTCCCAACATGAAGATGAAAAACAGACGAGACAAAATAGCTCAGGTAGTTGAGTAAAGTCAAGAAGTATTGTTCTCAATATCAAGGAAGTGAAAAAAGGTATTCATTAACAAATAGACTATATTCTGCAATTCCTTCTAGATGTCTAAGCTTTGTCTGAAGTAAAGTTTAATAATGGAAGTTTGACTGAGCTTTAAGATTCCCCTTTGTTAAACATAACCTACAGTGGCTTTAACCAGTGAAGTTGTAGAAGAGGGGTCAATGTACTCAAGTTCGAACGGCACAATGTTTATATTATTTCATAGATATCGATGCACCAGTCAGTTTGAAAAATGTAAAAGGTAATTTTTCAAGAAAGAAAAGGCATAGTTAGTCACTTGTAGTTTTATTGTCAACAACATTCTTCTTGGTATATAATGCGAACAAAAAACAACAACAGCAGGGCACAAGCATAGATAGTTGTTAACAACAAATAGTCAATGAGGAAGTTGCTGCACAAGAAGGATGATTTATTTTTATCCTAAGGCTTGCCCTACGTGTCAATATCCATTCCATTCAGTATCCTTGTTCACGTAAATGGTTCATGTTATCTTTTCTAGGGAAGGACTTTATTTGGATTGATCACTTGATAGCATTATGCCAATTTACAGCTGCCTTAATATGCAATATTGTGCCAGTTTAGGTGTTTGTTGTATGTATACATTTGAAATTATCATGTAGTCATGTCTATTTGGGAAATAATGATTGAGTGATGTTGAATGAATCAATAAAGTGTTGAAATGATAATATGCAATTTGAAATCCTCTTCATTTTCAGTCTGTGTTGTATTCAAAGTTTAATCAAATTGACATTTTATACAGTAGGCTTACGGTTGCACCATGTAAGAGAGGGGGTAGTCATGATAAAGACTGTTGGTAATCGTTCTTGAGCTTATAGTTATAGCGCCGGTCGGAGAGGATGGGTAGCAGATATTACATTTTGTAACTCTTTTAATAATTTTGCCTTCTGATATCTTGAGTTATGAGAAATCAGCATTATTAAAAAAACATTGTTTCTATGTGATGCCAAACAACTTGGGTCACCTCAGTGTCAAATCTAACAACCCATTTTTTACCAGTAAAAAATGACAAATTCCAAGATTGGATTTGAAGTCACATTTAATTCCTTCTGACAAAGGATATATATGCAATAATTAATAATAAACTAACCATTGTAAAGTAGGAGAGTACATAAAAAGTTAAGCTTTTTATGGGAATACAGTGTACCGAAACAAATTATAAAAACAAGTTACTGTAGGAACATTCGTATTTAAATACATTTTTTATCAAAATACATACCGGTACCGTATATTGCATATGAGTTGCAAAGTGTGAACAAGAGAGTCGCCAAACATTTCACCAAACATTTAACAAAATCATTCAAAGTGTTGAAACAGCTGGTCAGCATTTCATGAAACCGTCATACATGTAAGTACAAGTTCACAGACATCCCGTTTAAACGCGCGTTTAACTTAATACACGCATTTCAATGGGATGTAGGTGAACTTGTACTTATGACGTTTTGGTGAGACGCTGCCCAGATTTTTATCGAGAGCTCTGGAGGGCCAATCGAGAATAATTAAATGATTACATATAGGGCACAACAAAAGAACAAACTATTACCAACACCAAATTAAAAAAAAGTAAAAATCAATTATTTCACATCTAGGATTTATTGGTTGATTCTTCAGTCAAAAGACTTATTTAACCAACAGCGGTAATTAAAAAAAATATTTATTAAACAAAATTAATATACCGGTAATCAAAATTTAATTTAAGTACATGACAAACAGGTAATTCAAAGTTTTGAGAGCGTCATGTTTTGATTACACCCACAATACATATACAGTGTACTTGTATGATGAAAATAATTGACACAAAATACAAAAATTACATATGACTCTTATCTTGAATGCATAGACAGATTCACTCACATGATCAAGTAATGTACTATTTTTTTAATATGGTAATTAATGTTTCTTTCCTAGTTGCATAATATACATACATATACATGATATAAATATAAAAGACAATGAACCTTAAATAGGTCTTGTAGTCTTGAGATGTAAAATTAGATACAATATTTCAGATAAGCGCTTACAAAATGCCATATATTAGTAAAATTGCAGACAAACTTTCAGATAAGAATATGACTATCATTTGCTCTGCACAATAAAACATGAATCAATGGTGTTGAATTTATTGCCATATCACAAATTATGAACATTTTGTGCATTACATGTATATTCTTACAATTGCAATTCCAGTATTGACAAACAATTGTCAACAATTACTTCCTCCTATTTTTCATCATAAAAAGTCATATTTTGTAAGGACATTAACAAGTTTGTAATATGTTCAGAAGATTACCATATATATACATGTATTAATAAACAGTTTAAAATTGAAGAGAGATCATTGAATACAAATCTTCATATTTACATAAAAAGGCACATTAAAATCATTCATTATGATGAATCAACAAAATAAATCAGCTGCATTCAGTATACTGCACTATCAAAGTACTTTTCATTACAAAATAATGATCTCTATTTCTTCAGGGTCACCAACACTGATACTACTCATTAAAAAAATATATCTATTTCCCAAATGCTAAGGAAAATAGTAAAAGTAAGAGTGACGGACATTCAAGTTCCTTAACTGTTAATCCATAGCATGCCAGGTAAAGTTATTTCATGAAAATTGTGGTTAATTTTATACATTCCAACTGTACACAAAGTTGTTTAAGTTGATTGGTACATTTGAATGCAAGTTACCTTTTTAAAATCAGAGTTTTCTTTTAATCAACCAAAGCCTTTTTCAACCTTTCCATGGGTTAATTAATCTTTGCCTCCTATAATCCAGTTTCTGAATTCCTCCCCTATACAAAAAAAAAAAAAAAAAAAGCATTTCTATAATTTCAATGCTTTACTTGGGGTTGGAACCAACTACATTGTATTTTACATTTTCACTTAGTCTTTAAAGGTATAGACCAGTTCTGGTCATGTGATTGCATTGTGAAAGAAACGTAGAGGAATCGATCAGAAAAAGTTGATCATCTAGCATATAAGTATTGGTGTGTACTGCAAGGTTCTGGAATAATCAAAATGATAAGATATTTGGCCCAGTCTTGGTAAAGTTACAAGCACTGTACACAGAAAGGTGTATATGGGACTACGCGATATCTATCCAGGCCGGAATGATATGATAATTTGTTCGTTTATTGTGTTGTATATTGACTTTGTAAATTGAATTATTTCAGCTTCCCAGCTGCATGTTCTTTTATTTCAATAAACCGAATCAAATCAAATCAAATTTACCAAATATATCAATCAGTAGGCGGCTTCCCGGCAAAATTTGTTTCATCATGTATTAGTCAAAACATGTTCTTTTCTTTGGTGATAAGACCTTCCATTTCATTTTTTGAGAGGGGGGCGTTTCCAAAACTGGTCTATACCTTTAAGCTCAACCCTAGTGCTTCCTATCATCCAACATATTTCAAAGTTAGTCATTTTGGTACCACCTACCAAAGATGTTTGCTGCTAACAGAGGTTCCATCAAGGTTCCCCCTCTGCTCCATATCTGATGCATCTTTTCAGAGTAACCCCATTCCTTACCCACCTGAGGAAGTCTCACACCGGACGTCAGTACCTCAGGAAAGAGCCGCGTTTGATCGGACTGCCCCTCCATCCGCAGCTCAAATTCCTGGAAGATGGTTGCCGCGTCGCTCATTTCGGCTCCGCACTGGTACGGGTCGGTGTTGGACTTGCAGCGAATCAGGCCGCAGCATTGAACGTAATAGTCACCGTTCATCGTGTGCAGGCCATCGAAAGCCCCCAGAGCGTACATCTCAGAGTCGGACTCGCGGACATAGTCAACGGTGCAGGTTATGTTGTTGTTGCTGACAGAGACTCGTCCTTTTGTTCCTTGCAGCACTGTTAGGTTGTAGGGGTCGTCGTTCATCTGTGCGATGAAGTATTGAGGAACCTGCCTAAAAGTACTCTCCATTGACTCATCAAAAGAATTTGCTGAAGACTGATTTTGTGTAGCACTGCGTTGATTCTCTTTGAACTGGGCATCATCCCGTTGAATACCAGAGAGTAGACCTGAGTTTATGCCTCCATCAATACCTGCAGAAGTTATGCCTTGGCCCTTGGAGTGCTTTGACTGTGAATAATTATTCAAGTCGGCGAATTGACCTCTAGCTGACCTCTGACCACTGCTTTTGACCCTAGCAACCAGCATTCTCCCTAAGAATGACTTCATATCATAGGTGTAATCAACAGCACCGGTGGTTGGTGAAAAGATCCCGCTTCCGGTCATCTGAGCGATGGGGTAGTGCTGGTTGGCGGCGAGGAGGTTGACCCCGTAACTCAGACTCCAGGATTGCTGGTACTCTGCCGCACTCAGCAACGGAAGCTGGTTCATCCACGCCGTCGGAAACACCATGGTGTCCACACCCAGCTTCCCGACAAGTCTCTCCGCCGGGTATGGAAACAGAAGGTCAAAGCAGGTGAAGAGACCAAAATACCCAAAGCTCGTCTTGAATGCTGCCACCTCTGTTTGATTGTGTCCAGGATTGAATACCTTCGCTTCTCCGGTGTAGAGATTCTCCTTGTGGTATTTCGCCACCAGCTCACCTTCGTTGGAGAATGCGACGTCAGTGTTGTACTGGTAGCGCCCATCTGGAGGGCAACGAGGGTCGGTTTGGTTATCACAAGGTTGGACAGTCATTAAATTGGCAACAATAGTGATGTTGTGCTTGAGTGCGATGCAGCTTAACCTATACTGGATTAATGTTTGTGTGCTGAACTTCTCATGACAGGGAATGCAGCCTTTTGATTTGTGAAATGATGGTTCTTCGACAGTTTCCAGAAATGGAACAACATAGTCTCTCTCTTCTTCAACAAAGCCTGTGATGCCATACTCTGGGAAGACCAGAATATCTGCTCCCTGGGTGGACAAGAAAGAAAAGACGATTAAGTTCATGTTTTATTCGCCGTTTGCTTTTCACTTGCAATTCTGTGTTTATCTCACTTCTATACGTGCAACAAATTAAGTGTGGACAGCAAACTTGTTCTGTACCACAAAACACTTACCAGTAAGAATACATACAGTTAAATGACAATATCTGAGATGCAGAGTCCATCATGCACCCTCACTTTATCCTAATAATGACAGCAAAGCAAATCATGCACTAAATTCAAACCTGTCCATTAAGGCCATCCAATATAACCACTAAAAGTGACCACTTTACATCATAAAACTTTTCGAATGAAGCAAGTTTTATAACACATCTCTTCTTTTTTTCACTACAGTGGTCCGGTTACTTGAAATAGGTACCTTGTGAATTACGCTGTAGTATGTCAATTGAAGTATTTATGAAACATCTCAAAACACACCTATTTACATTGTAATTAACTGCTTTACATTTTCTATCATATTTTTTTTGAGTTTTAATTCATTGATGTATTTGTTTTGTAAAGCGCTTTGATCAGTTGTAAATTGGACATAGCGCTATTAAAGAAACAATTTATTATTATTATTATATCTTCTTTGGGAATGGTCTCTTTTATACAAAAGACCAGTGCTAATTGCCACAATTTAATAAGTTTGACTTGAATGATACTTTTATTTCAGACTAGTCTTAATTGACTTACCTTTGATGCAGCTTCAGAAGCAAGGTAATTGAAGGCATCTAGATTGAGCTCGATGATGGCATGGGCCTGCTCTTCGTTGACGAAGGGTAACAGCCATGATATAGCCTTGTATTCCACCACCGCTGCTGTGTAGTCTGCTTCTGTTACAGGTACGGTGCAGAGGACCAGGACCAGGACCCATGAAAAGACTCCTGCTAGACATGCTTTCTTGACTGACATCTTTGCTTTGAAGTTCTTCTGGAAAATTAATAAACAAATTAAATTTGTCAGTATGAGAGAATCGGGACAAGCCTAAAAAGGTATTTATTTCAGGAGAATTTGAGCATGTTAAAACTGTTTTTAAGACTTAGCTTATCATCTTTTTTTTTAGACCATAGATTGTAAATTTTCAGGGTGAAACGTCCAAAACAGATAAGGCCAGAAGTTGTTGTTAGGGCAGACAGCCAGTGGGACGGATTTTGGTTTGTTGACAAACCAGGAGTTAGCTGAATAATTTTCCTTTTAATTCAGAAGACACTGTAGCTTAATTTACGTCTACCATAGCGCGTATGGAATTTATGCTAATTCTAGTTCAGAGCGACGTGTTCACAGATGCCATGTTTCTTTCGTTAGGAAAGGATCCACGGGAGACGAAAGTCTTACTATGTTGTTTTAGTTAGCCAGGAAATGTCGCCATAGAAGTAAGTTTATCTTTAAAATATCATGCTTTTGATATGTGGTGATTTAAGAATGTGTTTTGGTCAGGTTGTTGAGGGAAAATGATTTTACATAATCAATGTGTACCGAGTACGGTTTATAAATCGCTATGCACAAAACTGTATAGTGATAGGGTCTACGTTGTATGGTGTAAGATACTAATCTCTGTTTTGTGAGGACATTCTTTGTTTCAGTTGACGATCGGAGTATGACGTCAGAAGCGATGGTTTTTTGGTTGAATTTTAGTCTGCCGAGTGGGGGCGTAGTAATTGAGCTGCAAATGATTCTCAATTTTGGGAAAAGTCATCCTTCTGATTGCGATCAATATTTAGTATTTCCAGACAAGCCCAATGTTGTTGAATCGCCTTTTGTGAACGGTATCGCATCATGCTTGAAATTGTCGCTATTTATTGAAGTGCAGTCAGTCCGATTGGTTGGTTATACGCTACATTAAGTTCAACAACAGTGCTTTAAGTCAACATGAGCGATATGTCCCATCAAGAGTCCGTCAAGCCCGGGGATTCAGCAAGCCAGACTGGCAAGAGCAGCACAAGCAGTACCTCCAGAGCTAGAGTCAAAGCAATGGTGAAGAGAGCGGCCTTGGCAGCCCAGGCAGCAGCTCTCAACGAACAACAAGCTCTTGAACTGGAGGAGTTTAAGCTGAAGCAGAGAAGGAGTAAGCTTGAGCTACAGACAAGACTCAGCATGGCAAAAGCTGAGGAAGAGGTTTTCTCCCAGCATGGAGAGAGCATGACTGCTGCTGCAGATGAAGATGTCTCCCAACAAAGAGGGGCCTTGACGATGGAGCCCAGCATGGCTACAGATTTAGAGAAGGCTGTCTACCAGCTGAGACAGCCCTCACAGGTGCAACCTAACAGGGTCAGCACTACAGACAAGGACTTCTCCCAGCGTGGAGAGAGCATGACTGCTGCTGGAGATGAAGATGTCTCCCAACAAAGAGGGGCCTTGACGACGGAGCCTAGTGTGGCTATAGATTTAGAGAAGGCTGTCTACCAGCTGAGACAGCCCTCACAGGTGCAACCTAACAGGGTCAGCACTACAGACAAGGACTTCTCCCAGCGTGGAGAGAGCATGACTGCTGCTGCAGATAAGGATGTCTCTCAACGAAGAGGGGCCTTGACGACGGAGCCCAGCATGGCTACAGATTTAGAGAAGGGTGTCTACCAGCTGAGACGGCCCTCAGAGTTGCAACCCAACATGGTCAGCGCTACTGTAACAGACAAGGACTTCTACCAGCATGGAGAGCCCTTGAAGTATGATACCACCACTAATCAGAGTGAAACCACAGAACAGAATGGCTCCATATTAACTGGGTCAGAAGCAAGTTACGGAATCGCCATAGGGGCCGGTATGCGATGTGTACTTCCCATAGGTCCAGTGCATGTTCAGGCAGCAGATGGAGATAGATGTGTTCGGACCTACGCTCTACTGGACTCTGGTTCGACCACTTTCTTCTGCACAGAGGGCCTAGTAAGGAAAGTGTCAGCACAGGGGGAAGAGCGCATACTTTCCATATCAACTTTGGACGATCCTGATGGAAGGATCCAGACTCAAGTTGTGAGTCGTATGGTAGACACAGGTCTCATGACAGAAAGAGTGAAGCTTCAGAAGGTTTCTACCAACAGGAATACCGACTTACTGAGTGATGACATGGCCAGTATGCCAGACTTAGAAGGATGGCAGCACTTAGAGGGGCTGGATCTACCATTTGCCTGCGGACAAGAAGTGGGACTCCTGATAGGGCAAGATGCACCATTTGCCCTGATGCCCTTAGAGAGTGTACATACTGTACTTGGATGGTCCTTGCATGGCCCTGCTGCTGCTATTCCAGACAAAGGAATGTCGGTGAATGACAGAAAGACTCTTGACATACAGAATGAAGGGAAGTGCAAAGAGATGGAACAGTACCAGTTTCACATACCCTTCAAGGAGAAACGACCTACATGTAGCTTGACAGACAACCAATGGGTAGCAGAACAAAGGTTGCAGAGTCTCAGAAGGAAGCTCGTTAGAGATCACGCTCTGCACTACAAGTACACTGAAGGTTATGCCGAGGTGGTGGAAGAGCAAGATTGTCGACCAGGTGATGTAACATGTCGATACCTCCCTCATCATCCAGGTTTACGATTTGGTACTGGTGGTCGACGAGCACTCACACCGCATTGTTTGGCCTTTGGGAAGAGTCCTTCAGACATGGCCAGAAGAGAAAGGCTTCGATCGACAGTGTGAAGTGAAGACCTGAACCAGCGAACTGCGGGGAGACCAGTTACAAAGCTCTATTTAATTTGGAGGCAGATTCTTTGAGACATTTCTGTGTTTCTAAGATGAGGGGTCAAGCCTAGCGCTGTTCCGTGCCAATTGTAGAGGTATTCGTGTTTTGTGTTCTTAAAATCAGAAAGCGGAACTGACATCGATCCTTTTTCGCGTATTAGAGTAACATTGATCAGTCAAGAAATTAAGGAATTTTTGTGCGTCAGCATCATGGACAAAGTGTCAACATTTGAGCAACTTTCAGAGACTTTTACAAGAAATTTGAGGAAAGTTCAGCGTTTCAGAAGAAGTTCTAAGCAAGAGAAGAAAAAATGTTGTCAGACAAAGTTGATATTTAGTCAGAAGAGGAAATACATATTATTCTGATCCTTTAAATAATTCAGAGAATGTCAAAGAACAAGATTTTTGAAGAAAATGGATTATACCATAATGCAAGACTGACATGGTGTAATTTATGTTAGCATGATATTGGAAAGTAATGTTTTTGTTTTTCAACCTTCTAAACAAACTCTATATTTATTAGAAATGGTAAATGTGCTTTTCCTTTATATTCATATGATGAATGCATTTGTATTTATTCTATATTAGGTTTATTTCCAGAGGAGAAAGCTTAAAGTAGCAGAATGAATACATTCAAATCAGTTATACATGTTGATGATATGTCATTTATTACTGTTTCCATGACAACCAAATTACATGGCGTTGGCTATTTGGTAGAATATGTAATACCAGAATCGATAATGTCATATATGCAGATTGTGTATAGAAAGATTGAAATGGTATATGCAGATGATGTATTTGTCTATGTAGGGACTTGGAAGTTTCGACTAGGAAAATTTATATTTTCTAGCATAATGTCTCGTGAAGTTATATTTGGGTATAACAACATGACTCTATGTGTACTGGAATTGGTATGTGAATTCAATTCAGTTTTAAATAGTATCTGTGAAATTGTACAAAGTGTTGATTACAGAATCAATATTTCCTTTTATTGGGTGACACATAACAAGATTTCTCTTTTAGTTTGTATAGGATTGAAAGAAGTGGTTGTAGTGGTAACAGTTGCCAACAGAGATTTTTCAAAGTGAAATTTTGGTTTTCGTGATATACGGTTTTCATATTTTAATGTGGGAATTTATAAAGTTAATTTATTGAAGCATGTTATACATTGATACAGGTAGTATGGCAACCAACTTTGTTGTAAGTTTATTTGAAAAGGAAATTGTAGTCCTTTTTGGTGTTGTAACAAGGAAATCTAGACATGAACAACTTTTTTCTTTTTCGTTTGCAAAGAAAGTTGTTTGGTTGCATAGGTGTTCATGAAAATTAATGTAAATTAGATTATTTGTTAATTAGTGTATGAAGGCATTCAGTATAGATAGCTATGTTTTAAATTTTGGGATTCCTTTGGAATTTTGGATAAAGTATATACCTGTAAGTCCAGGTTGAGAATGAGAAGAGATTAGAGAAGTAAATGTTCAGTAAAATCTTCACATTTAGGGGCCGGAATGTAAGATACTAATCTCTGTTTTGTGAGGACATTCTTTGTTTCAGTTGACGATCGGAGTATGACGTCAGAAGCGATGGTTTTTTGGTTGAATTTTAGTCTGCCGAGTGGGGGCGTAGTAATTGAGCTGCAAATGATTCTCAATTTTGGGAAAAGTCATCCTTCTGATTGCGATCAATATTTAGTATTTCCAGACAAGCCCAATGTTGTTGAATCGCCTTTTGTGAACGGTATCGCATCATGCTTGAAATTGTCGCTATTTATTGAAGTGCAGTCAGTCCGATTGGTTGGTTATACGCTACATATGGGTTACATTGGAGGTCTTATTGTTTTTAGAAATGACAATGCAACAAACAGACGCGATGTTAAATACCGCTTCATCTATGTAGATATGTTTAATACAATGTATTCAGGTGGTTTAATACGTTATTTAAGCTGGGGCTTATTGTTGGCCATTTAGAGTGATAGTTTAAGTGAGAAAGTTGAGTTAGTAAATACATAAATGAACAAAACAGAGTAAGCTTATAAACTGGAATGTTTGCTCTATAAATGGAAGTTTGTGAGTTATGATGTAAACAAAGGACTAGGGGTTTAATCTTACATTTGATTAACGAGACGTTGTTTCGGGGATGTTTAGATTAGTCTTTGTATTTAGCGGGGAAGTTTCCTTAGTCTTAGTGAGTTTGTTATAATGAGGTTACAATACACATTTCAAGGAGTTAAAGTACCTAGTGATTTGACTTGATTTCAGTTTCAGAACAGAGCATAGAAACCGCACTGTCAGTCAGAAACTTCTAGATTTGTTTATCTGTTGATTCAATGATAGTATATATCGAGCTTGAAGTTGATACAGTTAATTTGATGTAGGCATTTAGTTTTCATTAGCTTAGTTGATGTTTGAATATATCAGTCTTCATTTATATGTACAAAGATTGTACATGTATTTATGATCCTTTTGTGTCTCTTTTGCATTCACAGATTGAATAAAATTGCAGCTTGATTTTCAAGCTCTACCTATGCAATTCAAAGCGTCATTCCTGGTTTATTCCTTAACTTCAGTGATCCAGATTTGTTTATATGGAAATGCAAGCATTACTTTAAACAAGTTACACAACTTTGTTATTCCTGGCTCATTTTTCCTGATTGAGGTGTTATATGAAAGGGCAGAAAATGAACTTTCTAGAAATATTATTTTAGCTTTGAAATTCAGATACCATTCGCCAAATGCTTTTTTGTTACCCTTTCTTCAAATTGTTTTTAATCACTTATGCGTGAAATCTGCATCATATGGGTTTAATTGCATCAAATGAAAGACGAAGATTTAAGTTTTACAAATATGTGCCATTTATTGATTATAATTGTGATTATGTTATGATAAAATAACATCAATAATTCTCGGTTGACCTGGGCTGACATAGGAATAGCGAATTATTCCACCCAATTACTAATTAGCACAAAGTCAAAGCATAAATAACCAGTCGATATCAGCACCAGAGAGAGAGAGAGAGATAGAAAGATAGATCATGAGAACACCATTCTTCCAGAATCTCGGGTAAAGGTAAAGGTAATAAACTGACTGCAGTTTTCCAGTACTAGATCCAGTAATATTAAAGGAAATAAATAAGTACAACATGATTGATTGACCAATGATCTGTGATTGTGATTGATCAACTCAACAGACACGATCATGAGTCTATTTGAATTAGATGTTAGGCCAATCATGCCAAAGATTCAATGGCATACAGTCATTGACTTATTCATGAATCATCAATTCATGTTAATTGTTATCATGTTAATTGTTATCATGGTTATTGTTTATCAATTAGTCTAGAAATCTAGGCCTTGCTATTGTTTGACTTGATGAGTGACATGAGTCATGACAAAATCGAAAGTAGATCTAGAACTTTTTCTAACATGATTTAGACCCCCTAGCCCTAGCCTAGATCCATGGGTGTCGATCCTTACGTAATACCTATTCATCAGGGGGGGGGGGGGATGAATGAATAGATCATTCCCCCCCTGATGAATAGGTATCAGTTACAGATCGACACCCATGCCTAACAGTAACAGTTAGATCTAAGTTAGATCTAGATCTAAATAGAAATAGAATTTGGATCTAGATTTCTAGAACTGATTAATTTCTTTAGGCAAAAGCTCTAGCTTAGTCTAAGCAATACGACTTATATACTTACGTGTAAAACGTCTGTCATTTCCGCGCGCTGCCTTGGAATTATTGGCCTGGCCTGAGATTCTGCAACTGGCAATACTCCAGCGGGAATAACACAGATGTTCACGCTGAACTGTCGGCCCACAATTCGGTGAGGAGAGGGTGCACGTGTTCGGCCGTCCGACGACCGTGATCAGCTGCTATTTTGGTTTGACTGCGCATGCGTTGCCACGTTCATTTAGACTTGACTTGACTTAGCAGCAGCCGTCGTTTTGTCTGACACGTCAACTCTTTTACATCGTTGATAACAGCGTAAGAATCACTTTGATGTTCCTTTTTTATTCATTGAAAGAGTGTGTGTAAAATTGTTCAATTCCTACTTTATTATATAGTGATGTGTTTAACTAGATTTTAGCCGAAAGAAATGTGACTGTGAGATGGAGTCATCGACATGCTTATTCAGTCCCATGTTGTGCATTTGATGTGTGTTGTTAATCATAATCATAAATGTTATCTTCATTCAAATCAGTTATGACTGTCACTGTATTTCGACCATTCCGTATGACTATAGTTACCATTTACAGTTACCACTTACCAGTAAGGGCGCTGGTCTGAGAATGAGGATCGTTTGCATAAACTAGGATATCCTCGTAAACGCGGCCAAATAGAGTCCTAAAATTACAAAATAGATCTAGTCTAGACCTCTCTAGACCCCTAGACCTACACCCTGTACTGTAGGTCTATATCTAACTAGAACCTAAGTCCAAGGATCATCCGCATTTTCTCAGACATTTTTTTTCTTTGGCGCTCTGTGGGTGTAGGGTTCCCAATCCTTTTCCGGGTTGTCAGTTTTCCTGAGGATTTATGGTTCATAAATAGACTAATGTGAAACTGAAAGTGAAATTCTTTGTGCTTCGTCAAGGAGAAATGCATCATGGAGCATCATCGCAGGATCCGTTTTTCACATCACCAACATGCGGATCGTTAATAACGATCGTCTGCGAAAAATGTTGACGATCATTATTTATTAGGACACGATTTGTCCACGTTTACAAGGATATCCTCGTATCCTCGTTTATACCGATGATCCTTATACTAGACTTCATGCGTTAATTGTAGGACTATGAGTGCATTTTGACCACAAACAGTTTTAACTGGTGTGGAAAAGAGTTATGTTACTACTTCATATTTTTTTCTCCATAGATATATATCTACTAAATGTTTTTACGATGTTTATAATTTTAGTATTGAGACATGATCGATCTTTTCCTCCCTTGAGGATTTCGTAATTACCAATTTCTGCACGCAAAACACCTTGCAAAATAGACTGAAAGCTTCAGTCTCTGATATCGACGATTGTTCTTGCTGAAATATGTTAGTTTTATTAAAGAATTCCCCATACCAGATGGTTATTTCTGTCTACTTACAAACTACCTTCAGAGTTTATAAATTTTATAAAGTATAGTTTACTTGGTCTGATGTGCCTTATTTTTTAGTTGATTTCCCTGATTGCCGAAAAAATCTCTTTCCTCTGTCTCCTAGATATTATGTAAAACTGTATCAAATATGTGGATAGGTTTGATTTTAGCAGATTTGGAATAAAATTAATTATCTGTAGCTTTTTCTGGTAACTTTTTTCGAATTTACTTTTCTCTTTGTACAGGAAAAGGTAGACCTTTACGTGTGTGTGATACCTTAAACTTCCTGGAAGCAGCCAAACGATGCACCATGTGATCAACTCCAAATTACTTGCGAATGAAAAAGCATCAGTGGTACGACAAGTTTAAGAACATATCAGCCCACCAGGGTTTTCTTGGAGGGAAAGGATTCAAAGACGGGGGTAGCCTCCATACAGCAGATCAGACTAGAACTTTGATTTAAAGGCAGTGCTGGAAGACATTCAAGTCTGTACTCCTTGGGCAAGTGGAAGGAAGCCCCGATCCTGGGGCTAGTTCCCGATCCTAGGGCTAGTTGGCGCGAGACCTGCTGGTCACCATAGATCTTGAAGTGACTGCACCCCTGTCTGGTGTATCGGACACGGATCATTTATACGCCAAGATGGGGCAAACTCCGTGGTCAGCGGTCATCAACCTTAGTAACAGCATCATAGGGGTCAGTGTCCTGGCCATGCCATGGTGTTTCAAAGAGGTCAGTAACTATCAGCTGGTCATTTCTTTATTTTTTAATTTCTTTACTTCTTCTGAGGTACTTTATTGTTTAAAATCATCAACAAAGGTGCATATTGGACTCGATGACAATATTTACAAAATCAGCTTGTGAATCAGCAACATGACAAAATCTTGTCACTCAATTAAGGACAATAATTATTTTCCCATTATTTTGATGCAAATTTGATGTTCTGATTAATCCATGCATATCCGCGAGAAATTGTGAAAGGTGACCGTATTTATTAGGAATGTTGTCAATGCTCTGTATGTTAACATGTGTTTCACTCACCTGTAATTTTTTTTTTAAATTATCTTTTAGTCACAAGGTTTCATCACCTCACGGATGATATTATATTTATATATATTTTTTTAACATCATGAGTTTTCATTTTGTCTTTCTATACAAGTATTTTCTTTGTAAACTTGTTATAACCTATCAGTACATTTCCAGTGATGTGGGCCTCGAGTTCTATGCAAGAATTTATATTGGATAGTCTATCTAAGGATGAAGAATAAATACCTTTTTTCAAGACTTAGAATTTCAGAAATAGGAACATTGATTGCATCCATGAAACAAATAATTAAACAAGGCAATTAGAATTGTATTCCTGATGATTGTGCAAACTGGAAACACTTGGTTGTAGTTTTGACACTTAATCTTTATTTGCCCATAATCATATGTGAGTTTGTAATTCATTATGCAGGTGATAAGTCTCATACTTTTGAAAATTAAGTAATGTATTATTTCATGGTTCAATGTGAGAATAAAAAAAATTCTTGAATATTTGTTGAATTCTAAGAAGAATATATTTTATGTTAAGAAAAAGGAATGCATGAAATCCAGAAGGTTTTTAAAAAACAATGATTGTTCTTTTTATGTAATTGACTATTTTTGTGTACATACATGTACATTCTTATCTCTCTTTACCAGTATATCTTATTTTTCCATTTATTTCTCAGTGTGGAGTGGTTTTGGCCATTTTGCTGCTCTTTATCACTGGCATTGTGAACAAGTTCAGTTGCAACCTTCTTCTGAAATCAAGTAAAGCTACCAGGAAATATTCCTATGAAACGCTCTGTAAGTAATCGATGCTTCTTTTATAGTACCAGGATCTTTTCTTTTTATTTGTTCCCTTATCTTGTTTCCTGCTAGACTATCGTTACAATCATAAAGCGAGGTACATGCTGGCATCAACTTGGCTGTTAGTAAAAGCTGAATTATGAAAGAAAAGGTTCTTTGACATTTTGAGGAAATTCTGATAAAGGAAAATACAGTTATGAAGTTTAAAGTTGTTATTTGAACACAAATATTGGCCACCATGTTTTTTCAATATTTTGTACTTAAAATTTCGACTAAATTTAAGTACCTTTGATAAAAATTATTCTGATTGGCCTAGATATATTACAGGACACATTTTTTACACCTCCTACATTTTATATAAGAATTTCCCTCCTCAATTTCCAATTAATGAAAATATTTTTATATCATGTTTAAACAAATTTGAGAGCTGTTTGGAATGGGTGCCAGAGATGCCAATTTGAGAGGATTCTTAACTTCCTTAATCTTTAAATCTCAAATATTGAATAATCTATTTTTTTTTTTTGTACATGTGCTTCAGATTCTAAATAACTTATAGGATTGGATCTAACAATAATAATAATGATATTTGCACATGTTCGATTGTATTCTCCAGTACTCGTTTTATGGGTGATGTGAGAATATACATTGTTTTCTCATTACTTTGCTTTTTAAACATTAATTTAATATACGCAGGGAGCTGCTCCTTAATATGAGAATGCAGTTTCTCTTAAAACGTGGTGTGGCAACTACTTGCTTATGTATGTGTATCTCCTTCCTGAGCTCATTTGCTTAATGACTTGAACAGGCATATAAAAATTAATTTTTTGACTGAGAAAACAAATATTTAAATAGTCACATGTGGTGTTGAACACTTCAGTCAAGTATAATTTAATCCTGTCCCAGTTTGCATATTGGAATCAATCACACTTACCTTTATTGATCTGAGGGTATTTAGTTTGCCCTACCTTTTTTTCTTGTTTTTTTAGTAGCCCACAAAATTCAGTCCATCTTGGTACATTGTTGTCAGTTTATCCGTCCCTTTGTTCTGCATGTCTAGCAGTTCCAAGCAATATTTAATTTTTCTTTATGGGCAAATTTCATGCTTAATATGCCATTATTCACTTCAGAATTCATTCCTCTCTTGTGAATTATCAATAATTCTTCTTTTCTTATTTATAGTTTCCTTCTCAAAGACAGTCACCACTCACATGACCCTTTCAATTGAGTGTGTTAGCCCAATATACCGGTATTGTAATCAATAAGAAATACATTGTTATGAGATTTTTTGGTGTGATAAAAGTTTTAAATCATGTGAATTAAAATGATTTATTTGTCAAAACAGCTCATCATACTTTGGGAGGTATGGGAAAACTTGCAGTAGAAATTAGGTAAGTAAAACTGAGTGTGTTTGTAGACTAGGTATATTAACTGGAAAAGATTTAGTAAATCACATACTTTTAGATTTGAATGCTTTTGTAGTGGAGTAGCTATGGATGTTTCTATAAATATTATAATGATAATAAGTTGTTTTGATTATCTATGTGAACTTTGTTTAATTGTCCATCAGTACTTCAGTGCCTCATCATGAAATGGAAATGGAAATATTACCTTTTTGTAGTTATAGGTTGTAATTAGCTAATGTACCGGTAGTTTAATTGGGTGCACACAAAAATCATATCAGTTTATTTGACTCATTTTAAAATAAATAAATTAAAACGATAGATCAAATATATATATTAAAGAGATAAATTGAGTTATTTCTGCCATGTTAAATACTAATTCATTTGATGCTTTTTTTTATTTGTTTCTTTTCAGCGTAATCTTATTACTGATGTGTACATGCATAGCATTCTTTGTTATTATTGGTGATCTTGGCCCATCGTTGGTGTCAAAGTTTTGGGGCATTGAGGTAGGTTTCCTTTCCAATTGTTCAAACCAAGGGCATTTTGTCATTTTGTATTCCATGTGGTAGCAAGTACAAGTACATGTACACAGGGCTCTTGGTTAACCTTCTATTTGGGTTGCTAGCCAAGCATCCTTGATAATTACTGTACATAGGTTGCCAAATTCATCTTTTAGTGGCTGTATAGTGTAGACTGCACAACGTTCACAATATATTACCGTTTTATTTTTTTAAAGTATATTTTTGCCAAGATTAAAGAGAAATTTGGTGTAAAAGTGGATATTTCTTCCTTTGAACTTTCAATAAATGCAATCTTTTCTCTTTTGATTTTGTCATGGTCGCGAATATTTATTAACCATAGGTCGTCTTGATTTTGTTGTTGTCTTTTGCCAGGATTCAAGAGGAATTTACCTCGAAATCAACGGAGATACTACTATGTTTCTCTTTTTATTTTATATTATTCTTGTTTTATCTCCTTCTTTCAGAATACCTCAAACCTGAGAACATTTATTCTTCTGGGGACCGCCATCTTCATCATCTTGCCTTTAGCCCAGAAGCGCAACGTGGAGAGCCTCAGTGCTCTCAGTACAATGTCTATCTGCTTTTACTTCTTCTTTGCCACAAGTGTGAGTACAATATACGTTAGATTGACTTTTTTTTACTGATTTTTCAAATATGATTGACTTTGTTTTATTGAAACACTCTGTACATGTTAAAGTATGAGTACAATATGGGTTAGATTTACTTTTTTACTGATTTTCTTGATTTTTCAAAAATGGTTGACTTTGTTTTATTGAAACACTCTGTACATGTTAAAGTGTAAGTGCAATAAATGCATTAGATTAAAAAAAAATCTTTTCAATTTCTTTTTTTTTTCAAATATAGTTGACCTTTATTTATTTTAACGCTCTGTACATGTTAAAGCATGAGTATAATTTATGCGTTAGATTGACTTTTTTTACTGATTTTCTTGTTTTTCACAGATGGTTGACTTTGTTTTATTGAAACACTCTGTACATGTTAAAGTGTGAATACAATATATGTGGTAGATTGACTTTTTAAAACTAATTTTCTTGATTTTTCAAAGATGGTTGACTTTGTTTTATTGGAACACCCTGAACATGTGTATCCATCTATGTATGATGATACAGACTTTGTTTTATTTGCTCTCTGTAGTCATGTATTGACAGTTTACCTAACCCTTATACGTCAATGGAATGGATTATAACTAGAAATTTGAGTGATTTTTATTGAAACACCCTGTACATGTTTATCAATCCTCATACATGATCATTCAATCTTTCTGTGATTTCTTTCGATGCAGGTATTTGTTGACAGTTTACCTAGGCTAGTATCATTGGAATGGATTAATACTGTAGTGTTTTGGAGACCAGCGGGAATCCTGAAGGGGATGTCTATCTTTGCCTTGTCTATGTGTTGTCAAGCGTAAGTAATTGCATCATTTCTCCTTTAAAGCCTGTCTGCACTAGTTTGGCCAGGAGGGATTAGACCTCCCTGCATGGTCACTGACAGGTGGTTATCTCATCAAATCAGCTCTCACTTAGCATAAGAAAAGGGGATTATGGGGGACCAACAGGTACTGCTATTGTTTGCTATATAGAAGGCGCAAGTAGCTACAAGTAGTGCAGTCCCGCTTTAAAAACAGATTTGTTATTATTTCATCTTTAAAGTCTTAATTTTAGGTAGTTAACTGGAACCACATAGATTTTATTCTCTACTTTACCATTAATTCTTGAAGTGAATTATGATAATTCTATGCTGTACCAATAGCCTTGTCTATTTTTGATAAGCATTTAAGTGTGATTTACTACCTACATGTATTCACCTAACAATGTATATTATGGGTTGGAAGTTGGAGATAGACATAAATGTCATGAAAATCAGGAATAATTTGCATCATATACATGTAGCTAGTGTAAGATTGATTGCTTATGCCTCCACATTAACAATTTTTTTTTGCTTTTAAAAAATCCCAATGTGGGGGAAAATTTTGACAATCTTTAATGATATCTTCTTCAGATTAAATCAGAAACCTTTGCTTGATCAGTGACATTACTATTACATTTTTCTTTCTTTTTTAATTCCATGATCATCCTATTCTGTTTTTCTTTTTTTTGGATGCAGAACATTATTTCCAATTTACAATTCTCTGCAAGAGAGAACCCCCAAGATGATGGAAGATGTTGTTTCCAAGGGGGTCAACTTGGTCGCATTCGTCTACATGGCGGTAGGTCATGCAACAAGACAGATTTATTCTTAATAATAATAATATTCCTTGTTTATATAGCGCTTGATAAATACATCAACGATGTGTCTAAGCACTTTACAGTTATATTATTACCCCCGTCATCGAATTCAGGCTTAGGAGAAGATATCCATGAATTAAAGAGAAGGTTGAGTTCTGGGAAGAGGTGAAAAATAATTTGTGAGCGTTATCATTGATATTATGCAAGTGTGGAAGAACATCAGATAAAACATGTTCCCTGAAAAGCATGGCTCTTCAAATGCCTTCATATTCTAAATATGGCATGTAAAATCGGGACAGATTTTTACGCCACGTGTTCTTGTGTAGTCCCATATAAATCTTTCTGTGTACAGTGCTTGTAAGTTTACCAAGACTTGGCCAAATTTCTTATAATTTTGATGATTCCAAAACCTTGCGATACACGCAAATACATATACTAGATGATCAACCTTTTCTGGTCGATTCCACACCGTTTCTTTCATAATGCCAAGGCATGACCAGAACTCAACTTCATCTTTAATCTGTGCAAGAAAGCAAATACAGGTAGTATTTTGTATTGCATACAGTGTGTTTATTGTTTGTCCATGAGTACAATATTTGTGATAGTGAGAATCTCTCTAACCATACAAAAATCCCAGAATCTCTCAAATTTGAAACTCCTGTGATTTACTTGACAATCAGGACTTGTCGGAATTAATTCCCTCTTTCTCCTACCCCCCCCCCCCCAATTTGGAGGCCCTGTGTAGAAGAGAGTTACCAACTTTGCACGCTAAGAACCCACTGCACTATTCGTACGAGAGTAGGGAAAACCCCGGTGTGGCGACCCACCTGCACAACCCCAATCAGTTATACCGGGAGGAGAGACCCGAGGGATCCAGTGATTCAGTTTGCTTTTCCCCTCCCAGGCACAGTAGATGCCAAATACTTATATGATATTGGATGGCTTTGAGTGTGATACACGAATATATTGCCGAGCTATGACAATATTGAACGATTCCAATATTTTCATAGCGAGAGCAATATATTCTTGTATCACATGAAAACAAAGCCATATAATATTATCATTATTATTATCTATATCAGGCTGACTAGCAAAATAACAAAATTAGACTTACCTCGGTAAACATGGCTTTTTTTGTGTGTGATATCGATATCAATAGTTGAAGTTCCCGGAGGACTGTTCAATACGAAAACAATATTGATCAGCCATCCAGGTACTGTGCTAAAGATATTGAATACACTGATTTATTGTACCACTTATATAGATGATAATTAATAATACTACTTATAATAATAAAAAGTATTTTCAATCCTTCATTCACCCACAGATTGGATTCTTTGGTTACATCACCTACTACACGGACGGTATCAAAGGGGATATTCTTCTTAATCAACCCCCTTCCTTGATCTCGGATGGTCTAAAGCTCGGCTTTGCCCTCTCGGTGGCCCTCAGCTTCCCCCTCTGTGTGTTCCCCTGTAGAGCGAGCATCTTCTCGCTTCTGTGCCCAAATGTAAGTACAGTGAAACCTGCCTATAAAGACCATCCAATGGAGACAAGAAAAGTGGTCTTTATAAGCAGGTGGTATTTATGTAGAGGTTTCTTTAGTACATGTTTCAATGAGAAACCATTTTCAAGGGAAACAAAAAATGTGGTCTGTGTAGACAGGTGGTATTTTTACATTAGAAATTATGATTTTTAGGTAACTAGTGGCATGAATGGCCTACCATAGTTCATAGTTCAAAGTCGATCTCAGTCTTTGTGAAACACTCCCCAGTTATTGTATTGAGCAACTACTGGGGGGATATGGATGCCTTTAAGATTTGTCTATGCTTTTTCTTATAATGTATTCCCTCTTTTCTCCTTACCATGCTTTGCTATGGCGCAGGCAGACAGTAACCCCATCACCGGTATGACCCACATTCCTCCGATCATGTTCAGAGTCATCACGGTAGTCATCCTTGCCATCACACTGACCATAGCCATCCTCATACCAAATGGTAAGTAGGGTAGTCTCACTCTGTCGTTGTACTTCTCTCTCTCTCTGTCTCCCCCACCTGTCTCTCTTTCTCTCTCTTCTCTCTCCCTTCCTCCCTGTCTCTTTCTGTCTTTCTCTGTCTCTCTTGTCCATTCTTTGTGTCTCTGTCTGTCTATTTCTCTTTGTTTCTATATCTCTATCCCTCTCTCTCTCTCTCTCTCTCTCTCTCTCTCTTTTCTCTCTCTTTTTTCTCTCTCTCCCTCCCTCCCTGTCTGTTTTCTCTCTCTCTCTCTCTTTCTTTCTCTCTCGTGTCCATTCTCTTTGATTATCTTTATATCTCTATCTCTCACCCCTCTCTGTGTGTTTCTTTCGCTATCTATTTATGTTTGTTTCTATATCTCTACCCCTATCTCTCTGTCTCTGTCTCTGTCTATTTATGTTGGTTTCTATCTCTCTCCCTCTCTCTCCCTCTCTCTCTCTCTCTCTCTCTCTTTTTCTCTCTCTCCCTCCCTCTCTGTCTATTTTCTCACTCTCTCTCTCTTCTCTCTCTCCCTCTCTCCCTCCCTACTTGTCTCTTTTCTCTCTCTCTCTCTCTCTCTTGTCCATTCCCTTTGAATATCTTTATGTCTCTATCTCTCACCCCTCTCTGTGTCTCTTTTACTATCTATTTATGTTTGTTTCTATATCTCTACCCCTATCTCTCTGTCTGTTTATGTTTGTTTTTATCTCTCTCTCCCTCTCTCTGTATCTTTAAAATCATACATGTACATATTTGTATGTTATAGAGTGATAAATGTTTTCAATGATTTTGGATTCCGGTGAAAAATATTCAACTGAGTACTAATCACGTGCATTCATTTCTTCTTGTCCCACTTATACTAGTTGAAGTAGTGTTAAGTCTGACTGGTGCCACCATGGGCTCTCTAGCTTGTTTCATCTTACCAGCACTCATCTACCAGCATACAGTGGGCGTCCCAACAAGATTCATGCCAAAGGTATGCTAATGCTTTGAAAATCTTCAGTTACGTTATGTTTTTCTTAGTTTATGAATATGTGTCACAGTATGCTTGAGATTGTGGAAAATTTGTTGCTACTTGGAATTTTGAAATAGAAATTAAGCCTTAAAATCATTAAATCGGCAACACATGAGATTCAAAATCATTGTTTTTTTATCAAAATTTGCTATTTTTCAACTTTTTGACAGTGTTTATTAACCATGTACAGGTATATTATTTTCAGAGACGTTGCATTTTATTAGAACAATGTAGCAATGAAATAAACATAATGTTATTGTTGCCAATTTAAGCACAACGTAATCAGTATAGCCCTTTAAAAAAAAAAGGCTGTCCTAAAACTTAAAGGAAAATGTCCCTTCCATAATGAAATGTATTCTTCTATTGCAGGTACTGCTCATCATTGGCATCTGCTTCATGCTGTTCAGCACCTATGACAATGTCCGCCCCGGCCCCCAGGATCCCCACATCCCCGCCCCGGTGCAGGTCTTTGACAAACTGGACAAGATTCAGATCGCGAAGCTGGATGAAGCCCCCGTCGACGCCCTGGTGAAGAAGCCGGATGGTGTTCTGGAGAAGTCAGCAGAAAAAATGGGATTACAAGGTATGTGTGCCAGGGGACTTAACTAGAGTTGTAACATCACGGATATCTCCAATTCCGTTTAACCGCCAGTCAAAACCGGACGGTTTTCGGTTAAACGATTTAAAATAAAATAAATTATATTTTAAAAAAAATAATAATAAAAAAAATTGTGTTTTAATTGGAAAATCAAAAGAAATCACATTTATTAACAAATAATGTACATAATTAGAAACAAAATCACTGAACAAAAACAGAGACTTTACTGTCGGGCATTCTTTGGAACAATGACTGGGTTTCACTTTGTTTATGAAGCTAATGAATCTAGTATGCACGTGTATTCATGTTTATAGCTTACGATCGTGATATTGCAGAGGTCAGGATTTGGGATTTAAATGGCATCAGTAAAGTATTGTGCATGTATTTCAAGGCTGGGATCTTAGTTTTACGAGTCAACTTCTCACTACAATCTTCCAACTGATTGTTATCGTGTAGATTGTTGCTCTGCAATTCAACATTCAACAGTCAGGGCTGACTTATGATGAATATAATGTCACCCAAACTTGTTTTTGTTCAGTGATTTTGTTTCTAATTATGTACATTATTTGTTGATAATGTGATTTCTTTTGATTTTCCTATTTAAAAAATATATTTATAAAAAATATATTATAAACAAAATATTATAAAAAAAATAATAATTAAAACAAAAAACAAACAAAAAACAGGAAAACGGTTAGGGCCATGGACGGTCGGATACCGGACGGTTGAACATTTGACTACAGCACTAGACTTAACTATGGCAGGCCATTCATGCCACTGGCTGCTCTCACCATTATGATCTTTAGATAATATCTTTTCCTGCAATAATGAATTATCAACAAATGTTATGTAAATTCTGTACATTTGTGACCATGATTTATACGTCCCTTGAGAGACAAATGCCAGTAGATGGTGAGAGCAAACAGTGGCATGAACGGAGTTAAGTCCGACTTAAATTCAATCTTAGTATTTGTACATAGTTCTCATGCATACTACCCAGACTCCCTTCCTAGTCTGTGTGGAACCCTGTACATACTACCTGTAACCAGCACTTTGAAATGACATTTATCAATCTTTCATCGCCATCTTTCTTCTCCCACCTCTGTGTGTGTACAGGAGATGATGTAATAAAAGAGAAAGAGCCAGCAGATGCCGGTGATATAATGGCAGCTGAGAGAGGTAAGTCGACAACATTCAGCTCTTCTTGTGCTTCCTCTCTTACAAATTAATTTATGGGATATACTCTAAATACAGTCAAACCTGTCTAAAGGGAAACATGCAAAGTGATCTTTTTAGACAGGTGGTCTTTGTAGACAGGTTCCTTTACTACATGTTCCAATGAGAAACCATTTTCAAGGGGAAACAAAACGTGGTCTTTGTAGACAAGTTTGACTGTACATATTCATTGCATACAGGGGCAAGGGGAGGCTGATATTCTAATGTAAAGATAAGACAGACATACTTGCCTCTCTCTTGCCATTCTTATTAGAAAAGAAAGCATGTAATATTTTGTCAGTACATCTTCAGTGTACTATTTCTTAAATTTTTCTTCACTGTAATATTTCTTCAAAAAATATCATTCAATATTTCTTCAAAACAATATTCCTCCAATGTAATACATGTATTCCTTTAATATATCATGGCTCGGCACTAACATATGTCAAACGTTATGTCCATCCAAAATTTGTTTCCGGACTAAATTTTTAAATCTTAACATAGAATCCATTCATAATAAACTCTCAAATTTTCAATCCGGATCCCCTTCCATGAAGCTTAGTGTGGAGCCCTGTATATCTTCAACGCAATATTCCTTACGTGTAATATTACTTCAACATTTCAAAACATTAAAAAGTCATAATTTTTTGAAAAACCGTAATTACTATACGTATGGAAACTTCAAATTGTCTGAATTGGTCAATACACTGTATTAAAAATGTACCTGTAAGCTTCAAATATTATTTCAATATTTGTTCAACATACGATGTTATTGTTTGGTTTTGATAGGAGATGGTGAAGTGAAGAGGCAGGAGCCACCCATCCCTCATGCACCTGTAGATTTACCAGATAGTAAAGACAAGGTAAGCAAAGATAATAATAATTAATAATAGTTTGTTCTTATATAGCACTTTTTAGGACCGCAGGCCCTCTCAAAAGTGCTTTACAGATATATATTATTACCCCGGTCATCGGATTCAGGCTGGAGTCACTGGTAGTTGTCTCTTATCATTTGTATGTAGATACCTGTAAAGATTACAGATTTCTGTACTATAATGTACCTATCATCATCTGTTTGGAGCCAGAAGGGCATTAAGTCTGTGTAAGAAAGATGGGAGTTCATGCCCTCCTGTCTACAGACAATATCTAGATTTATTATCTATGTAAGGCTTCCAAGTGGTACAATAAATCAGTGTATTTAACATCTTTAGCGCAGTACTCGGATGAATGACCAATATTGTTTTCGTATTGCTCAGTCATCCGGGAATTTCAAGTATCGATATCGATATCACACAAAAACAAAGCCATATTTACTGAGTCAGCGTGATATAGATAATAATAATAATAATATTGTATTGCTTTTTTTTGTGTGATACAACAATATATTGCTCTCGCTATGACAATATATTCTTGTTTTACACTCGAAGCCATCCAATGTTATACAAGTATTTCAGGCATTTAAAATCCATGACATTGGTATTTAATGGGGGAAATCATAGAGTAATACCAATCTTGGTAATTTATATTTTATAAACCTTTTTCATCATCCAAACAATAGAGATGCTTCAAATATGAAACACACAGGCAACCCTGATTCTAATAATTCTGCTTTATATCTTTCAGGCGATTGAAGACGTCCTCAAGGTGGGAGAAGGGAAGGAGGGTGAAGGAGAGAAGGATGAAGTTCAGCTGGAGGTTCCTGAAAAGAAGGTAGAAAAGGAGAAGGAAGCCGAGGGAGATAGAGATGGACGGGACCTAGGTGAGCTATTTTTGTTTTTGCCTGTCAGTAGTTCTGGACCCCATTTCACAAAACTTGTCATCAGTGACAAATGACATTTGTTGTTAGGAAGCCAGTGAAATCCTTGCTTCTGATTGGTAATCAGCAGATTTGTCACTGATATTTGTCATTTGTCATGGAAAAAAGGCTTTGTGAAACGGGGCCCTGATCTCTGGTTTTCTTGATGGCTGCTTGGTTCTATTGTCCTTTGGCAAATTATTATTCTACAATTGCCACCCTTGACCCAGGTGTAGTCAAAGTGAATATCTGTTCAGATAATAAAATGTACTGTTCATTTATAATTTTTGCCTGAGCCTTTGGGGGTATCATAATTTCCAAAGGACTTGAAAATCATATGGAAATTTTAAATGTATTATAAAAGAAAAAAATATTACATCAAGACACAAATAGATGAGGATCAGTGTATGACAATAAATGTCTGGTTATCAAATACAAACTGTATAAATAGAGATGACAAAATTGAAAGAATATTACAACTTATCTTACTTTTTCCAGTGAACAATCCTTAATTTCTGAAAAAAATAATTTGTTATTTATAGAAACGGGATGCCTGGAGCAGCGCCAATTAAAGTCATAGTACATGTACAGTATGTCATAGTTTTGTTGGAAATATTTGAAAAATTGTTTCACATCAAATTTTTTTTTTGTCAATAGAAGGCGATGCTGGTGCTGGTAAGAAGGAATCAAAAGAGGTAATTGAGTAATCTTTGTAAAAATACTTATTAAAACTTGATATTGGTATTTGGTATCAATATGAAAATTGTGGGTCAGGTTTAATATTGTCATGTCTAATTCATGTCATATCATTGCACGATGAGTACTGCTGCATGCATTATGGAATATCTGTGACATAAGTTCCATTTTTGTCTCCTCAGAACCCCCTCCCCCCTTCCCTCCAAAATTAAAATTAAAAACAAATCTTATTTTCATTTTAATAGGTGTGTCGTTTGGATTTGATGAGCATAGTTTCCTATCAAGTTCATGAAAGATATTTTACTATCCAAATAGATATATCAAGAGTGTTACTTTGCCAATATATATATGTATTGAGTGATAGTTTGATCTGTAGACTAGAAATCCGTCCAGTCTGCTGACCGTTTGATTATTTTCTTGTATAGATTGCTGGAGAGACGGAGGAAAAGTTCAAAGTTCAAGAGGAGAAACAGGAAATACAAGAGAAAAAGCTTGAGGAACTCCAGGTATACAACCACATCCATACCTATACAACTCCCATTATCCTCTAATTATGTTAACAATTAAATTATTCATACCCTTACCAAGTTATGTAATTTTTTTTAAGTATGTGAAAAATTGATTTGTCCCAATTTATGTTTCTTGAAAATGTGACATATTTGAAGATTACATCTAAAAGTATTCAACAAAAGGCCGTAGTTGAACCTCATTTGACTGATATTTCTCAGTTTGTAATATATGTGTTTCAGCGTCATCATTCCATCGATATTCTTTTTACCTCATAATTATCCATGGTTTGCACGAGTGAGAATTTTTGAATAATTTGATTTTATGCATTTATATCCCATATAAACAAACAAAATACTTTTTTTTTTTATTCATTAATTTTAAAAAAATTAAAAAAACGGTTTAAAAAAATTATTTTGTTGAAAATGCTGACCGTAGATTTTCAGATTTTTAGGTCGCTCTCAAAGGGCAATACAACAATTTTTTATTTTAGGCCTTATACCACTACTGGTCTTTACCTTTAAGTCAAAATATCTTCTTCTTTCTTTCTCTCTCTGAGTTCTTCTCACACTACATCAGCAGAAAGAAGGAAAATTCATGGGGCTATCGTATTGTCTAGTTAGGATATTACATTGTTAAATAGGGGCACAGGGCAATGTATTGTTAACTTAGTTGAGTTCATGGAAGATTTTTATGCCTCCGTTACGAAGTAGCCGGAGGCATTATGTTTTCGGGTTGTCCGTCCGTCTGTACGTCCCGTTCTCGTGATCGCGTTATCTGAAGAACCGATTGATGGATTCCTGCCAAACTTTGGTCATGTATGTTACTTGCAGAGCCGATGAACTGATTAGATTTTGGGGTCATGAGGTCAAGGTCAAAGGACATGCGGCTCATTATGTATGCAAAGTTCCATCTAGTTTCTTTCAATGTCCTGCTGATAAAGGACAGATCCTTTGATGCCTTCTTACAAATATTCTATGAAAGAATGTCTGAAATAGATATCACTGTAAAGCTACAGACCTGTGCAAGCCAAGCAGTATATGAATGAGCTTGTTATGTAAGTACTTATTGGGAAAATTTTTAGAGAGTTGCTTCATTGATTATTATGGTTAAAGAGTAGTTTGGTAATACCTCTTTGTCTTGTTTCCCTGATCCAGGCTCGTCAAGTAATCCAAGAGAGACTGATCGTCAAACAGGCCGAGGAGTTGGATATACTCAAGAAAGAGCATGAAGACGAAAAACAGAAAGATGAAGATTTGCAAAATGTAGCCGTCCAGTTGCAGCAGCAGCAATTACCACAGCAACCTGCTGTTGTAGGTGACCTGCAACAGCCAGCAGGGCCAGGGGTGCGTTTGCAACCTGTGGCAGGCGGACAACCGATCATCGGACAACCACTGGAAAGACAAGTTGGTGATCAACAACTACTTGGGCAACTAGGGCAACTGCAAGTCCCTGTACAACCTGTTGGGCAACTACCGGTGGCACAACAAGCTTTGGGGCAACTTCCAGTCGCACAACAAGCTTTGGGGCAACTTCCAGTCGCACAACAAGCTTTGGGGCAACTACCAGTCGCACAACAAGCTATGGGGCAACTTCCAGTTGCACAACAAGCTTTGGGTCAACTTCCAGTCGCACAACAAGCTTTGGGGCAACTTCCAGTTGCACAACAAGCTTTGGGGCAACTTCCAATGGGACAAGCTGCTGTACAGCCTCTTGCTGCACAGCAACTCGCAGGACAAGGGCAACAGCAATTTGCACAACAACAGCAGTTGGGAGCAGCAGGGCAACAAGTTGTTCAGGTCGGTATTCAAGGTGCTGGTGGCATGGGGCAAAATTTACCAGTGCAACAACAGCATGCGGGTCTAGAGGGCATGAACCAGGTAGCAGGAATGGGTGGAGTGCTACCACAACAGCAACAGCAACAACAACTGATGCAAGGAGGGGTGGCACAACAACAAGGTGTCCTGCTTGATGTTGCTGGCATGCAAGCTGCTGCTGTAGGTGGTGGTGGTGGTTTGGGGCAAGCTAACATTATGCAACAACAACAGCAACAATTTCAACAACCTCAACAGGTTCCTCTTGCTTTACAGCAGCAGCAACAACTCTTACAACAGCCACCACAACAACAACAGCAGGTACTAATGCAGCAACAACAGGTTCCTGTACAACAGAACCAGCAACCAGCTCTGCAGATCTTACCCGATACAAGGGATGGTCTGCTGGGTGGTGGTGCTGCGATGGGACAGCAACCGCTGCAACAACAGGGCATGGTTGGAGGAGGAGGTGACGGTATGGTGGCTAACGCAGGGTTTGCGGACATGAATCAGGCCCAGGGTGGCGCCGTGGTGGTGGAAGGTGGCATACCACAACAGCCACAACATGTCGAGGTTAGTTGATGCTTTTTGCTAACTTTGCTTCCCATGAACAATGAACTCTGAGTGACACTAACCAGTGAACATCACAGACTCTGATCATCTTCTATTCTGAACTTGATATGCAATAGTTGATGAAGTCCGCTCATAGATACAATCTATACCTTTTATAATCTCTATTTTGCATCATCATCATCAAACATTTTAACATGTCTTTGTAGCATTCATCTGTTTCATGTAAATCTTTGTTCTTCTTCTTCACATTGTTGTGTGTGGTAGATCTCTAAATATAAAAAGATAAAAAGGTGCTTACTTACTAAATATGACATGAAACAGCTTAAAGATGAAGACCTCATTTTTTCCCACATTTGTTAGTCCCATATAAACATCTTTCTGTGTACAGTGCTTGTTTCTTTTACCAAGACTGGGCCAAATTTCTCATCATTTAGATGATTACAGAACCTTGCATGAGACACCAATACTTATATGCTAGATGATCAACCTTTTCTGATCGATTACACACCGTTTCTTTCACAATGCAATCGCACGGCCAGAACTCAACTTTATCTTTAAGTTGGAGTAAGGTTAGGATAATAGCTATAGTGTCCGTTCCTAGGTTGAAGTAAGGAATTCTGTTTAGTGTAGAGACACGATGAACTGACCATGAAACAAATTTCCCCAGGACATGTTCTCTAGAATCAGAATCTGGTCCAAACGGAGCAAGTGGATACTAACAGATTGGGAAATAATAACCAATTATGCTCAGTATAGTTGAAATACTTTCTGTGGAAGTTTCATTGAAGAATCATACTGTGTAAGCAATTTAGATATCTTTGCAGTATATTTTCTGGACAGAAGTCATAGCCTGTCGATACAAATGAGTTTTGACCCTCTTTAATCATGCAGAACTTCTTCATGCTAGCTATACTGTCAAAACAGTTTTGCTTTTTTTTTCTGTGTGTGCTCCCGATAGGCATTGAACCCATGTCCCTCATGTTCATGGCCAAGACTTCAAACTACCTAAGTAGAAGACATGCGTCACTTTATTAGTGAACCATTGGGTATCTGAGGTGTCCTATCTTGATTTCCCGGGTTTCAAAATATGAATTCATACTTCAAAGAAAAGTAGGAATGTTGATCAATATTGGAGGAAGGATGTGCCTTGTGTTTGATTTGCCTTTATCTTCGCTTGTTTATAAAAAGTTATTTCATTCATTAGTTATTTCATTTATTAAGGTGCATTCCATGATAGATGTGTGGAATTACTGTTCTTTGTCAAAGGGGGAAGGAAGAGGGAAAAGTATTCATGAAGCACCTCTATTTGGGAATGGACCATGTGGTCTTTTTTATAGTGCACAAAGTGGGACTTCTCTGTGTTTAAGAGATCTTTGAATATTAATTTGAGGTCATTTGTAGTCTTGTACCAACTACAAACTCTTCTGTCAGATTGATTTGAACCCCGGACTGCAAAGATCTTTGAAGTCAATCTACGATTTGATGTTAAGTACTTGATTGAATTAATGAAGAAGAAGCACAAACCTAGTTTGTTCATGGATGTTCAAATGATTTGAAAATTCCCAAATCACCAATTTTGGATAAACAAATCAGATAGATTTGATGTTGTTTAGGAGATTTCAGAAATTTATCAGTACTTGGAATAGTCTTTTAAGGCTCACTTTCAATATTCATTAACTTATTTGACTTGAAAGTATTACTGAAGGAAAGGAAAGTTGTGACCTATCCACTTTGATAATCGTTATTACCTTTTTTGATGGCAGCATTCACAATGCTATTGCCTTTTATTAGCTGCCTCTCCATTCGTGCATCGCTATTACGTGATCTGTTCTATACATTTTGTGAATTTACATGTACTTATGGATTAATGCCAATTTGAATTTGAATTTAAACCTTTATTAGGCATCAGAGTAGGCATATATTTTTAAAAAGAATTGTCTTTTTTCTTCATCTTTATGTATGAAATGATTTATCAAAATAATCTATAATCCATAAATCCATAAATCAAGTCAGATAATATACGGATGACACAGGGTCAGTCTTACTTTCTTTCCAAATATCTTGCCAACTTAAAATCTATATCTGTCAACAACAAAAATTGTCAATACTGCACATACAGGTAGTTCCTTTTAATTTTTTTTTTTTTTTTAATTGGGGGGGGGGGGGGGGAGGGGGGAAGTTTCTTAAAGGTGAAATCTACACTTTCTTTACTGCTCTACAGCACATGACTTGAAAGGTAGTACATACAAAGTATATATCTTGTGCAACAGCTACATGTACATGAACATGAATAGCCTACTGTTATTGAAGCGATCTCTTCTATGATGCATACGTGTGCTCTTTTCTATGCGGCAAATTGTGTATATTTTGTTGTGAAACCAGGGTTCATTATATAAATGTCCATTCATGTCCTCCCTAAATATGGCAATAACAATTAACTTCAGATTGGGGAAGAAAATGAATGGAATGGTATGATACATTTTACAAAATTTACAAAAATAGATTTACATGTAGGGTAGAGTACCATATTGTTGAAATGATTTATAGGATGATAAGGTTAGTAGAGAAAGTTTGTTTTTAAATATATACATACATATATAATTACATGCAATTATGTATCAGTCTCCCATGAAACACTTCAATATGATACGATCCTAATCTTATTGCAAAGAAATGTCTTGCCTTCATTGTGTGGCTAATGAAAGAAACATGCTACATGTATTTCATGAAATATTTTGTTGTCATATATCATTTTTTAACCATCGATTGTTGAATCAAAGTTGTCTATATTGACATGTGTACAGGTATAAACACTTATTATTATGGATGCGATATATAATAAATTCTTATCGACCAGAATTGATATTCTATTAAACATGTTTTTGATCATAATAGCCCAACAGATAAATTGAAATACACGTATATCGTACTATTACAACCAAAAGTTGATGGAAATAATGATTTCACAAACATAAAAACAAAAAAATGCCTGGAACTCTGGTGAACAAGCAAAACAAAATGAAAGATGTGATCGTTCTTTTTCTTTATATATTATACATGTATAGTGTTGCCAACTTGAAGATTCTTATATGTACAGTAGTTAGCTCCTACATGTAGCTAGTATTTAAAGAAAAAACAAAAAAATGGGAATGAGGTACATTTATTTAGTTTGCTTTTCAAAATTGACTATCTGATATTGCAATGCTTTCTCAATTTTCAGATTTCTTAATGAAAATTACATGATCTTTTCAAGGTTTTATTGAAGTAGATTGTTAGTGAATTTACACATTTTATTTGTTCCATTGAAATTGTTGAAATTCATGCAAATCTGTGTCTTTTGTTCCTCATGAGGAGAAATTAAAATGTTTGTAAATACAATCATGTTGGAGGAAATATAATTTCTATTTTATGAAATTGGTATCCCTTAGGCTCAAAAAAAGAAAAAAATTCTTTTATATGAAGCTTTTATTGACATGTTCTGTGTCAGTGTGCTGATGTACAAATTTGTGAATAAAATTTTTCTAGCAAATCTACAAGTAATGGCTATTTTCTGACTTGCTTTAAATCTATGTTTGTTTGACGGCTTTGTGGATCATGACTTGCTGTGATGCGTATCATGTGTGGTATTCTTTCAGACTGTTGATTTCCTAGATTTTCTATTCCATTTGTTATCTGCTCTATCGTCTGTTCTGTCAAAAGAAGTGTAGAAGTGTCATAGCCAAGTGGTTTAAGCACTTGACTTGAAATTTGAAAGTGGTGGTTCAATCCCCGACACGGCACTAATGTTCTTTGGCAAGGCATTAATCTACTTTTGCCACACTCGACCCAGGTGAGGTAAATGGGTACCTGGCAGGAATTAATTCCTCAAAAAGCTAGAGCGCTGTAATGGCAGCTAGGCTAAAGCCGGGGTAATAGTTAATTTGTGCGCCTCGGAATAGAATTTCCTAGATAGACGGCGCTATATAAATGCCTATTGCTATTATTACTAGCAATTAGAGTGTAGTGTGCATCTGCTTGCTAATACATAGTATACAGTGAACATGTATATATCAATCAGCTTGCAGTATTATATGACAGATATTCATTTCATGTTGAAACTCATATACAAGGACAGAATCAGCTGTTTGGATATCATTAAGCTTCCGCAATGTCTTTTAAAAAAAAGGCATCCATTTCATTCATCATCGTGTTTCTTAATATCACATGACCTAATGCACAAAACTAAAATTCAGTTCAGATTTTCACCAGCCAATCACGATCCAGTTGTCTGTTGGAATTTGTATCCTAGATCCTGATTGGTTAATGCTGAAAGACTTTATGAGCTAATGATTGATAGTAACATTTTACATTCAAACTCTGGTCATTCACTATTAACCAATCAGAAAAAACATTTTTTTAACCTGTGCCATTTCTAAAATTTAGCTCTAGTAGTGAGTTTTTCTGTGGCCCATTTTGAGCATTCATTTCATCCCAATCCCATGAAACATTCAGATATTGATCCCTGTAGAGATTTTTGTAGGTGTTCCTTTGTCTGTGATGTTCACTGGTTGAAAAGGGTTTGTGATGATCAAGTTTTTAGTGACATAAGTACCTAAAATTGTTTTATGCTACAGATTGTAAATTGATGAACAGTACATGAACAAGTATCGGTGCTTTCGTTTTATTTACCGGTACTCTTTCTACTTTCCAAAGATGATTAATTTCTTGATTCTTGATCAGATTTTATTGATGGCATTAATCACAAGTCCAATTTTTTTTCTACTTCTGAATTTGTCTTGTTCTCTCTTTTTAGATGTTCAGATTTTCAAATGTAAGAAAAAACCTGGCCTTTTTGTTAAATATATATTTAAAGTATATATAATGAAAGATATATAATGAAAAAGTGAGTATGGCATGTTTTATGCAATTGTAAATTATATAACATATAAGAACATATAAAACATATAAGAACAGTTGCCAGTATTTAAAACAATTGCATGGATTATAACAACTTGTAATTCCGATTCAATTATGGGACATACATATAGTCATCATATTTGATGCAATAAATATCTAAATTGTATGTGTGCTCTTTGTCAACAAGGAAGTAACGATATACAACAAGATCGAGGGTTATTGTTGATCAAAAGCCATATTTATTTCTGTTTTTAGTTTGGAAATGAATAGATTTCAGAACCGGTGATTGAGCTGAATTCATGTGGTAAATTCCATACATTTATGAATTATGATGATTTCATTGGGGATACCATAGGTTTTTGTTTTACTCACGGTATAATCCACATGGTGAATGGATGTGTTACATTTCTTTCATTCAGTCCTTACATATACATCATGTGAAGGTTTTTCAAATTCGAAGTCCCGGTTGTCTGGTATATATGAACATTATTTTGTTTCCATCACTTTAGCAACATTAGAAAGCTCATGTGTAGAAAACTTTTTAGTGGGTCTGTCATCATGTTGTTTCATTGGCATTGTATATATCAGTCTATCCACTTCCATCGCAAGAATTCCATGAGTGCATGTTGAAACCAGTGATGCATGTTGCAGACATTTTTGAGATCTGGGATAGAATTCAATTTGTTGTCAGAAATATGAGTATTTTACTCAGTTTTCAGCTTTGATAAATATTTAGCCAACTTTGGTGTTCAGTCTAAGTCATGGAGGGGGAGGGGGGGGGGGGGGCTACTAGTGATTACAAACATCCTTTTAAAAAATACAATAAGACAAAACCTTACAAAAATGTCAATGGTTTTGCAAGTGCAAAGCTACCTTTGGTATAACAAAGCATAAAACCTCTTTGTAAGGCATAAATCCTCTTGCCAAGTCCCTCAGAGAGGACCTAAAGCTACTGGTCCCCTGGTTGTGCAATTACAAGCATACACCTACTTTCTTAGCAGTAGGGTAAAACAAGCAAATCATCAAACTACCAAGTGTCTAGTAAAGAGAGGATTAATACAAGAATCCTATGAAGCCGATACTAACCTTTTAAATTTTGTTAAAACCTGACTGGATAAATTTCAAACTTTAATTGCTTGCAGCCGGCAGATAAGATGATTAAATCTGCGGATAAAGTTGCCATTTTGGAACCCGGGCAAGACCTGAACCTGGCCGGTATTCAGCAGAGAGTTCTCAATCAGGCTGGAGCGGACGGAGATAAGGAGAGCAAGAAACAAGAGAAGGAGGAGCAAAAAGAAGAGGGGAAGGAAGGAGAGAGTGATGGAGTGATCCAAATTGTGGGTGAGGAGGAGGAGGCGGAGGAGGCGGAGGAAGGGATAGGGAAAGGGAATGGGGATGGGGATGTGGTCCCGGCGTTGGAGGAGGAGAGGGGCGGGGCCATTGCAGATTTGAAGGATACCGGTAACCAGGAACTTGATAAACCGGAGAAAAAGAGAAGACACAAGAAAGGGAAACGAAGTAATGGAGAAACTGAGAGAAGAGAGGAGGATGAGGAGGAGGAGGAGGAAGAAGAAGAGGAGGAGAAAGAAAACGATGGGAACCAAGGAGCACCCCTAGATGATGCAGAACGTCCAGAAGACCAGCTCCAGGGGATGGAAGACAAACTCCTGGAGAACCATCTGAAGATGATAGATCACCAGGAGGAGGAGGAGTTTGCTGATCAGGAGGATGTGATTGATGTCAACGAGAAAGATGCGGATGAGGGTAAGATCGAGATGAACCAGGAGCAAAATGATCCTCCTCAGGAGAAGAAGATCATCCGGAGCAGAGAGGTAAGATGATGGATCTCAAGAGCTGTTCGTTTGTTTCTTTCCTGGAAACAGCACTTTCAGTAGTTCATTAACTAACCATATAATACACATATTTGAAAACTCGCCTTGAAAATGCAGCTTGCACATATTTGAGGAAACTCTTTTAACCTAACTGGCTGAAAGAACACTATCAAACCAAGGATATACTCATGCTTTAACATTGATTGCAAGAAAGGCAATGCAATAGGTAAGATTATAACAGGCCAAATGCTCATCCATTTAGGCTTATACATGTATTTAATTTTGAGCTTGTAATTACAAATATTGGGCAGATTTCTCTCATTTACTTAAAATTTGGAGAAAAATATTTCTAGCATGACAGGATTAGGGTGTATGGAAGTTTTAAGGAAAATACCTGACGATTTTCAACACACACATGACTCCTTTTTTTTTTAAACAGTGAAAAGGAAATTTTAATGCTTAAAGTCCTTCACTTTGATCACTAATTGTCTTCATATTAAAGAGAAAATTCAAAATTGGCAACTTCACCAACCGTTACTGTAGCCCTGAAGTTTAAAGTTAACTCGAATGTAGTCAAGTACCTTAGAATTTCCAGTAGTGTATGCATGTATGTCTCTACAATATAAGAAACTACATGTATATTGGCTAATATGTTAGATCATTATCTTAGGATTATGCATGCTTCTTTAATTAATCTTTCATTTTTACAACTTTTTAAACACAATTATCCTGAACAAATTTATTTCAATAACTGTTTTATTCATCACCCATTCAGTATATATTTCTCTTTTATCATTACATTCACTGCAATTCTGTGCAATGTGAAATAATTTGTGAGTAATTTTTTGCATATTTTCACATTTAAATATACTCAAGTTCTGGGCTTAATTATTCTCATGCTCATTTTTCATTCTTTTTTAAATTCCGATGTGTATTTCATTTTTGTTTGATCTCTTTTATATCTTAATCCTTTTCATTTAAAAAAAACATAACAGTCTCTCCTGCCGGTATTGACTTTTTTGTAGGACCCTGCTGTAAAAAAATTGATCTCTCTTTATGTCCATATTTTTCTTTTCTTTTCAAAATTGGCAACTTCACCAACTTTTATTCCAGCCTCAAAGTTTTAAGTTAACTCAAATTTAGTCAAGTAGCCTTATAATTCTCAGTAGTGTAAGCATGTACCTCTCTACAATATAGAAAACTACATGTATATTGACTAATCTATTTAAATCATTATCATAGGATTGTGCATTGTGTAATGTGCATGCTTCTTTAATTTATCTTACATTTTTACAATTTTTAAAAAAACTATTATCTTGAACAAATTTGTTTCAATTACTGGTGGAGGTTGAGTTTAATCACATAAGTTTAAAACAATTTTGAAAAGCAGACAACACATTTTGTTTTTTATCGCTTTACTCATTACCCATTCAGTTTATATTTCTTTTTTATCATTACACTCACTGCAATGTGAAATACTCTGTTAGTAATTTTTGCATACTTTCACATTTAAATCTATTATTTCATACTCAAATTCTGGGCTTAATTTTATTCTCATGCTCATTTTTCATTCTCCTTTTTAGATTTGCATGTATTTCATTGTTATAAGTTCACTTTTATATATCCTAATTGTTTTTGTTTAAAAAATTGCTGTGTCCTGTAAATGAAATGGATCTCACTTAAAGCCCCACTGTCCTACTTGTAGCTACTTGCTCCCTCTATATAGGAAACTTCCCCAATCGGTGCCTGTTGGTCCCCCATGATCCTCTTTTTCTTATGTTACTTGAGAGCTGAGTTAATGAGATAGCCACCTGTCAGTGACCTCGCTGTGTGGTCTAATACCCTCTGGCCCAGTAGTATTGACGGTCTTTAATGCTTATATTTTTTCATTTCTTCTCTCCCCTGTTCTCTGTTTGTCTCCCATCACAGGAGGTATAGTAGGACTGGGGATAATTATGAAGATAATCATCATCCTGTTCAGGGACCCAACATGCAGCTGTATCACATGTCTTCAGAGAGCAATGGATCAAGAAGAAAAAAAAATTCCATACATCTATTTTTCTATTCAAAAAAATATATATCTTGTTTTATTTCTTTATTTATGTATTTAGAAAAAATTATATCACCTTCATATTTCCATTTATTTATTATTATTATATATATATATTTTTTTTTAAATATTATTATTATTATTATTATTATTTTTTTATTTATTTATTTTTTTATTTATTTATTTATTTATTTATTTATTTATTTATTATTATTTTTTTTTTGGGGGGGGGGAGACTTGTCGTGAAAGTCTCATTTTTTCATACTCTCGGTTTTATGAGTACATTCACGTACATACTCACTCACAAACAAATTTGTGTAAGAGTCAAGTGCCATATTGAAAGGGCAATAAAATTCAACCTTCTTAGTTACGGTACTATTGATGGTTTCTTTTTCATTATTTGTTAATTTCAGTTTTCATCAGCATTTATCCAGTTGGAAGTAAAAGTGCACTTTGTTTTTAGGTTTAAGAAACTTTGGTGAATAAACAAGTTAAGTTGTGCTGTTATTATTAAATTTCCTCTATTACTGTATTTCTGTCTGTATTGTATATGTGTGAAATGTGTTGTTGAATCTTTACCTATATGTAGTTGTACATTCCACTCTAAGCTTTTCATATTCCAGTTTGCATCTACCTTTTTATGATTCTTAGTTGGATATACGGCTGAATATTTTGATTGTTTGAATAAATTTAACTTATATGAAGAAACAATAATGATTCCAAGAACTTGTAGTGGGAGTATATTGGGGGGGGGGGGGTTACGTGTGCATGCTTTTATTATTCTTTGGTCAGTGAATTGGCAAGCCTCGTTCAGTAAAATTCGGTACTTTCGATATCAATGTTACAAACATTTCATTGCCTGTGTAAAAATATTTTGCAAAGTGTTCATTACAGGATGTTATTGATTAATTTGATATTTTAGCATGATCAGATGAAATGATTATTGTCAATGTCAGACAGTCTTTAAAAGATTAAGATAATTGCAAAATGAATTTTGATACTTTTTTCTCTCTAAAAGTACTGCTTGTTGCCTTTATTTCAACATCTTTCTTGGGTCTTCCTGTCATTCAAATGATGTGACTTTGCAATACATTTGTATGTGTGCCTTTAGTTCTAAGTGTCTATATTTTCATTTTCCAAGTTGTGTTTAGGGTGTGTAATGGATACAACCTTTAAAAACCCATTTTTATTTTGAAATGGAGGGATTGAAACAAAAGCGAGGTAGACAAATTTGATCTATTGCTGTTATCTATAAGATGAGCTTTATAATGATTTCCTCTATATTTGTGTAATACCTGACACCATGTCATGTCTTAATGCTTATTTTAATTTTACCTGTTGACTAGCAAATTTTCTCATTTTCATAGCCTATTACAAAAAACACATGGGCATTGCTTTATGAAACCGTTGTAAGTTCACTGAATTCCCATTGAAACATGTGTTAATTAATATTAATAATATTTAATTTTTATATAGCGCTTAATACAAATGTCTCTAAGCGCTTTACAAATATACTATTACCCCGGTCATTGGATTCAGTGCTTGCCCGCACTCACATACCTGCATTTCAATGGGTTGTTGGCGAACTTGACGGTTTTGTGAAGTGATGTCCTGGGACCCGCTTCACAAAACCTTTTTTCAATGACAAATGACAAAAATCAGTGACAAATCTGCTGATAACCAATCAGAACTGTCATAGCCATAGACAACAGGTTAACGTCTTTTCATATCTATGTTTGTCTTTATCCAAAGAGATGGATTACAGGGGAGCATTTCACAAAACTTGTCATCAGTGACAAATGACCGTTTTTGTTATAAGCTACTAAAATCCTTGCTTCTGATTGGTTATCAAGAGATTTGACACTGATTTTTGTAATTGTCATTGAAAAAAGGCTTTGAGAAACGGGTCCCAGGACCACAACCCAATGTCCTAATACTGTTTCTTTCCAAATATTATTCTGCACGGGCTTTCAGGACATTATTTGTTTATCTTGAATCGTCCTGATATCAATCAATACAAAATGAAATATATATTTTTATTGATATATTGTTTATTGATATATACTGATGAAAACATAAATGTGTAATTTGTAGGAATACTATTCTAGGAAATATTTCTGTACTACGCAAATTCGTAGTGCTTGGTAATGACTCTGATATTAGTACAGCCTGTAATGTCACAATATCGAATCCCGTGAGATAATTGTGCCAAAATTGATTTTTTTGGCTAACTTTGTCAATTTGGGGGTGCTGAATCCAAAAAACTTTGGTACCATTTTTTTCGACCACGTCTTAGGCGGCCATTTTGAATTTCAAAATGGCCACCATAAAAAATGCATTTTTTACCATTATTTCATATTATAGACATTGGAGAAGGTGCAAATGTGGGATAAAATGTATGCTTATGATGTCTGATATATCAATACACATTTTTATAAAATTTTGCTTTATTTCGATTGGCCGCCATCTTGAAATTCAAAATGGCCGCCATTGCTAATCCTATTTTATCTCATGTCTCAAGTTATAAGCACCTGGAAAGGTTTGTACCGTAACAGTATCATAATATTGATGCTATGTGTGTTTTCAAACAAAACACAAGCTCCCAGTAACTGACCATTCGAATTGGCCACCATTTTGAAATTCAAAATGGCCGCCATGGAATAACATTTGCTATATTAATTCATTTGAAAGTACCTTAGAATCATCCATTTTGAGAGATCATCTGTATTTAAAGCTTGCAGGACCTGGTACATAGAATACCGGCTGTCATCTTGATCATCGTATATATGCCTAAACGCATCACCCCCCCCCCCCTTCTTCCACCCGGGGGGGGGGGGGGCTTAATTATAACATATAACAGTTACTGAATGTGGTGTTAAAGAAAAACTAGAAAAATAAATGCCTTGGACTGGACGTATTAAAACTTCAGTGTGCAAATACAGGCCTGTTATTCCAGAGATAAGACATGATGAGACACGCATCACATCAGAATGCAGTATCACGTGTCTATGCAGATTGCCAGCATACATCTTTGATATGACATGTGCTCCCCATGTGCTCTCACCCACGTGGATGTATGTGTATAGATACATGAGAGAGCAACCAAACTTCAATCTTCCACAGGGAACAAGAACTGGATTCTTCAAATTGGTGAACTCCATGCCTGCTTCGCATCACTGCATGCAATTGCAAAATATCTCGAGGACAGTGGCTTGGAATCTATTAGCATTGAAGCAGGCCTCTTTTCCCCTTCAACGATCCGCCAAATATTCACTGGAAAGTGGTTCAAACGTGGTATTGAATTCCACATGACCAACATCATGGCGTGCTATGATCTCCTGTTTGAAGCATCAGTACATCATGAGCACTTGGACAGCATGATTAAGAAATGCGAAGAGCTTCGTAAGAAGTTACACGAGAGAGATAGTGACATTAAACAGGTTTTTGAGGAGGTAACTTCGATGATTAAAGAGCATTATCAAACCACAATCATCCAAGAGAATGACGAGATGGCAACATTCTTACTCAACTACATGAAGCAAGTTGAGAGTTTACTGCATGTGATTCGAGCTAGCAGACAGGGGAACTGGGAGCTGCATCTCGCTTCCATGGAAGAGCAGGTCAAGTACTACTTTGCACATGACTTATACAAGTATGCTTGGCTCGTGCCAATCCCGCCCCCCCCCCACTCAGAGGTCGGAATGACCGCATGCGTGTTGCCAAAATGTCCGGTAAAGGGGTACTTTTCGTGCGACAAAGTCCGGCCCGAGAATTGTAAAAAAAAAGGGGTGTATTTGACTTTTCACCCGGAGATTTCTTTAAAAAGGGGGTGTTTTTCTTTTTTTCTCTCATCTCTTTGGACTCCTGAGAAATTATTCCGAATTTAGGGGGGTACATTGAGCATTTTTCCTGATTTAGGGGGTCTCCAAGGCAGGAAAAGCACGCGAAAAGCCCGCGAAAGGGGGGTTCGGAAATGTTGGCAGTCCTCAGATAGGGGGTGCTTTCAAAAAAAGGGTACGAGCATATGCGTACCCTAAATAACACTGAGTGGGGGGGGGGGCCCGGGGTGCCAATCTACCTTCTTCAAATGCATTCGCTGAAGACATCTGATCCTACTACTTGGGATGCACTAAAGGCAGGGGACTTCATGATGGTCACTAAATCTGGCATCCCATTCACGAACCTATTTGTTGACCAAACATTGGAACAGCTGATCAGGGAAGTGAAAGCAGCTGGCGGCATCACTGGAATAACACAAAATGAAGAAGCACTGGGTAGGTTTTTCATGATTGCCCCTGAATTGGTCATCCTCATTCAAGACTTCCAAGATGCTTACTGTTGTACCACCAATGACTCTCAAACTACGAAGGAGCACTATCAGCTCAGTGGTTCTGTGGCTCTTCGCATGCACCACTCAACAATCAAGAAAGCAATCATACGACACTGCGAGGGCAATCCATTTGAAATCAGGTCAATGAAGCTGATGAATATGGTATCTAACATGCAAGTTCCTGAAGCTTTCAAGGAGGACATTCTTGAAAGAGATGTAAAGGGAAAGATCATGTTCCAAGAATTTGTATCTGACAGAATAGTTGAGTCATCGGCCAAGAAATCTATCTGGGACCCAATGAGGAAGGCCAAACTGAAGACATTCAGCTCTTGCAGAAAGAAGACACAGTGTAAGATTGGAGCCAAGCTCGTCAAGCTAAGAGAGGATCGCCAACTTCTTGCAAGATTTCTCGTTGTTCAGCAGTCCAGACCTGGAATGATACATTCACTGGGTGACACAATTGGAAAATATGAATTTTCTGTCATTCCTAGGTCGCTATTTACCTCAGATGGCCTTCTCCTTATCCCATCAGACAAAAGCTCTTTCATCCATGCCATAGAAACCTATGGAACTGAACCGAATAGTCAGTCTGAAGACCAGATCGATGAGCAGCAAGATTCACCCAACATAGAGACATCAGGAGAAGACAAGAAAACAGACAAACTGTGCATCGTCGATGCCATGGCAGTTGTCC